ATACTCAAGGGACTCGGCATGAGCAGACTAGCTACACCGTCTGCGACCCTATTATGCTGCACATATCTGGTGGGCGATTCGTTTGTCCTCACACCTTCGTTTGTACCAAGGGGCGGCCGAAAAATCCTTTTGTGGAGTCGCATTCGATGAAACCATATCCATGGGATCCGGTTTTGAAAACACCGCTCCTTGCAAGACCAAGAATCAAAACGCAAAAGCCACTGGTGCAGGATTGTTTGTGCTGTTGGTAACCAGCTCCCAAGAGCCCCATGCTTCAAGACGCGGATTTGCCGGAGCCTTGAAGTAAAATACACAGACCGTGCTTCCCTAACCTGCCTGCACCATCGACCTTTCCCTGTCGGCGTTTGGGTTCAGTAGGAAACCAATCCACCCGATTCGGGCCCAGTCGAAAAACCTCAAGATATCTCAAGTCAAGCGGTGGAGATGGGGCTAGCGCCGGGCTGAAAAAGCCGCGTCGCAATGCGTATTCGCCATCGACGGCACACTTGAGCCGCATCATCGGGTGCGAGGCCTCGCACAGGTGTGCCAGACACAAGTGTCAACAGGGCAAGCATCCCGCTCAAGCATCCCGCTCAAGCATCCCGCTCAAGCACAGTGTAGCGCCCAAAGAGCTGCACCTGTGGGAGGCCCTTGTTGGACCAGTGGATGAAGAAAGCCACCAAATCACCCGGCCCAGCGACGCCAGATTGCAACACCCTCTCGAAGACATATACATCCTGGCTCAAGACATTCGTTCCATGCTGGAGTGCTGGAAACATGACGTCACCAGCTCGCCTGTCCAGAACGTGCTTTCACGTCGGGGCAGAAGATGAACCCAGATTGTCTTGCCTGTCGTGACATCATGCCGCAGAAGAGTCCAAGAGGACTTCTGAACGGAATGTCTCAACAGCTTTGATGCAGCGGCGATGCTGGGTTGTAGCTTCTGATGCAGCCGCAAAAGACCTCGGGGAACTGCGTATGGCAACCGCTGTAAAGACATGGCCTTTAGGGCTTCAAGAGCTTTAGCATTTGGGAGGTTTTGGCATGTATCGGTTAAAAGGCTAGCGGCTAAACGCTACTTAGGGCGTTACGGCTTCTAGGGTCTTGCGGTTTCAATTTATTTTGGCATAGAGCGTTTCCACGACTTTTTTGTGGGACAATCAGATACGCACAGATACGCTAAGCACCAGGACAACTGCAATGAATTTCATGTAGATCAGATCTCACACTTCAAGGATGTACCAGCACGTGTCATACCTGGCCCTACAAACACGTTCTCTCAGGGCGCGGAGCTCATTTTCAGTGAACAGAGCTTGTAAAAAGTTACAATGCTAACGCCACACCTCCTCGTCTCAACTCGGGTGGCGACAGGTTTCGACTCGCCATATGCATCTTGCCGCAGAATTAGGCATGAGGAGTAAAACCTAAACTGTTGTCAAACCCCGAAACCGCCCGAAACCTGCTCTTGTCTCAGAGGCCTGCTACGCATGTCTCAGCGTAAGCTTTCAGAAACCACCACAGCGACGGCGGCTCAAGGTACAGCTGGAAAGATGTGAGGGTTTTGTTTTGGCGAAAGATTTTGGTTCTTTGAGGCGCGAGGCCCGGGATGTCCTTGCATGACCATCTCACGACTTGCCTCATGCAATCGGGCCTTCTCATCAGGCTCTCCCAATCCATCATACCAACACACCGTCTGAGGACCGTCAAAACCCACACAGGCAACTGTTTGACTGTCAACTGAAACTTGTGCCAGGGATTCCACATCAAGTTGATCGATAGGACAACTCCGATGGGACCGGCCAAAGGGGCTTGAGCTTACAGTATTCGTCCTGGCTCAGTTTCGCGTTAGCTTGGGGGGGGCAGGTCAAGAAGCAAAGCTGGGGGCACAACTTGAAAACTAAACTTTACAGGAAATCTGCGGAGGCGCGACAATTGTGAAAACTCCGCGACCATCAAGAAAGAATCGTGGCCACGATGCGACTTTGCAAGAAGGTGTGACGCCAGTAGTACGAACAAAACAGCGTCCAATCGTTTATCACAACAGCCAGAACCATCTCAATGTGCATGGAAGGCACTTGCTCTCCGCTTTGTCTTTTCTTGGCCGCTTGCCACGCTTCGCGGCCTGACTGGCAATGGACACCCCGAAAGTATCCCACTGACATCCGCTGTGTCAGTGTAACGGTCCACCAGGAAGTGTACCCCAAAGAATGCTGTAAGCAGTGCACGAGCAGTACACGCTCACAAGAAACACAAGGATGCTCGCGAGCCTTGTAGGTATTGCAGACTGGCATCGCCTTCAAAGGCAGCTCTCCCACGTTTGCGTCCAGCTGGTCCAGCTGGTCCTTCTAAGAAATCAGAAGAGACCACGAGGACCAAGATTGTGCAGCTTCTCCCGCCATTGTTCTCATCCACTTCCATATCTCTATATACATGGAAAGAGCTCTACATAGATATAAAGAGTACATATATGTACCCCCCGAGAGGATCCCTCCTTGGTGTCCAGATGGTCTAGCTGGCCAGGCTGGTCTAGCTGGCCAAGCTGGTCCAGCTGGTGCAGCTGGTCCAGCTGGTGCAGCTGGTCCAGCTGCGAAAGCTGCGAAAGCTTGAGGAATGCCCAACGGCCTGTGCTCAAAGAAGTCGAATTCATCTGCTCAACAGCCGAGTGGGAGACTTAGAGAGAGGGAGGGAGGAAAACACAAAGGAGGGAGAGAGAGAGAGAGAGTTGAGCGAGAGAGAGAAAGAGAGAGTTTGAGAGAGAGAGAGAGAGAGCGAGCAGAGCAGAAAGGGAAACTTGAAAGAAAAAGATGGAGACAAGAAGTGAGATGAGAGATTGAGATGAGCGAGGTGCAACGGACACCAGCACACCGACCTCTCTTCGCGATTCGTGCTTACACGCAGCTGCAGAGAAAGACAGCGGCCTGCTTGGACGTACTCCAAGTTTCAGCTGCACGGGGTTCCAAATTCTTGGCAAATGCCTTGACTGCCACAAGGATGCCAAATCGTCCCAAATCGTCGGAGTCTGCGTGCTACGTGCTCTTGGTCAGCGGAGGCACTCCTCGCTCGAAAAGGCAAGGGGTCCTCGACCTTCGCTGCAGGCACCCTAGAAAGGCTCCGCGACCAGTGTGCGACACACGCCGCAAGCGGACCAGGCCTTGCTGGAGTTCGGCTGCCGGGGATGTCCTGAAATGCTCGCACAAATGAGCATAAAATGAACATGAACACGAGCTTTGAGCTGCTGTGAGTCTTGCCAAGCGACAGCAAGTCAGCCGACGAGAGCCCTCACAGGACAGCAGCACTTCTCTGCTTTGCTGAACAGCCCCTTCGAGCCCCCAGGATGGCCACAGGCTGGGTTTTAAAAATTTGACGGTTTGGGGCTAAGCCTTTGTCCGTTGACCGTCTGAAGAGCAAGATCGAAGCAGCGAAGCAGAGAGAGGGCTCGTGGGGAGAAGGGCAGGGTGAACAGGCAATGTTGAGTTCACCGCCACAGGCCTGCCAGATTCGGGGAGGCGTCTGCCACCTGAGTGAAGCTGCCGTCGTCATTGTCCCCTTCGGCACTCTCTTCGGCGGCGAACTCTTGCAATCCATCGTCCGCGGCAGCCATGTGCCTTTCTGCACGGCCATGCACAGCTTGCTACGCTGTGCTGCTTAACAGCTGAGGGTCCTGCCTGGCTAACAGCACACTGCATGATCACACCGAAGAAGCTCCATTTAGCACCAGACTGCGCCACGGTTCACCAGATGCAGCTGAACATGATGCAGTAAAGCTGGTGAATATGAGCCTGCTCTGCATGATAGACATTCATGGGGTGGCTAGGTATGGTCTTTGTTGGGCCCAATGTCTGCACTCCATGCCGGCACTAGTCGGACCATGACCGCTGATTTTGCATGTCCGTTCTAAGCAGATGATCTGCAAACGCCCACGCGGCGGCTTCGTCAGCAGCTAGTTCCGGAGAAGGAGCATAAGCATGGCAAATGCAGCGCCCCTTGCATCTGCAAGCTGCCTAAGGCGAGAACGAACCACCATGCCAAGTCTTGTCCTCAGGTTCCGGTTAAGGGCATACGTAAGGGTTAGGTGTCAACGAGTTTAGGGGCAATTTTTAGAGGCTTCAGGGGCTTACGGCTTATGAGGCTTAAGGATGGCTTAAGGGATTAGGGCTGAGGGGTTCAGTGCTGCGGTGTTTGGGGGCTTGCAGCGTTTGCAATCGAATGTACATTACCGGAACTAGATGCACCATTTCTTGTCGGGGTTTTTCAGCGCTTGGGCGCTTAGGGGCTTACAGTGTCTGCAATCGAATGCCTCCGCAAAAGCAGCCATGTTGGTTCCTTCTACATGGCTCTGCCTGTAGATACACGAACGCGGAGCTCGCACACAATATGCATGTTCAAAAAGTAAGCACGCACGCTTCGCCGAAGTATGGCCCTCACGTGTGTGTTGTGCGTGGTGAGGCTAGTAGCTCTGTTTACAGAAAAACCGCCAAGGAGCTCGGCGAACTTGGCCGTGGCCGTGGCTTCTTGTTCACATCGGGGTGTCCCACGGCATGCTGGGCGCCTCACAAGCGCCAAAACCAAAATCACAAACAACAAGCACAACATCAACAACAAAACCAACGTCAGCAAGAAAAGCAACAGCGCGTCATAGGCTTTGACTCTATTGTTTTTCTTGTCGCCTTCTTACACTGCTTCACTGCGAGAATCTGCTAGAGCTGGATAGGATCTGGTTTGCCCTTACATCCTCGGAGGCCTTAGGGGTATGGATGGCAAAGTGCTCTGGCGAAGCCTGCGAATGCGGAACGCATGGAAACAGCACAAGGGTACCAGAGTTCACCACAGACATCAAGCCACGCCTCGGCTTGGCAACCTGAGCAAAGGGGCCCAACAAGCGAAGCAGTCTCCCGAGATGTCCTGTCTTGCCCTCTACAATGCGACGCTGCAAGCTGTAATCGTCTCTTTGTACCCTCCGCCGACCGGTCTCGGCCCGACGTGGCAGGTCGCAGTGCACGTCATTCTCCCTGGGCCTCGAAAATTCGAAAATTGAGAAACTTGCGGAAAGTTGATGGTTGTGGGATAAGCAATTCACTCCAGCACAGCAGCACGCCAAGAGACACCTCTAGAAACCTCTCAGGTGACGCCGGGCATAAGTCGTCCGTAAAGTCTTGTCGACAAGGGGCAACACCCTGACTGTCCAGATAGGAAGTTGGAGGGTACTTGGCGGGCCCTCCGCCAGCTCCAACGGCCACAGGCATCCTTACCAAAGGGATCCAAAGGGAATTCGCTGCTTTCGCATAAGCTGCATACAAAAACCGTTTAGACTTTGAGGAGAGGAATGGCTGACATCTGCGGGGCGAATGTGGCAGGGTAGAGGCAACATTGGCCTCTGCCGATTCTCGTCCGGAAACCGTGTATTCCAAGAGTCTTGAAATCAGCAGTCGCGTTGAAGAAGAAGGCAAGGGAGCATCGCGGATGGTCCTCAAACGCACCCTTCTAACCGAAGGACAGACACAGATTCAAGCCATCTCCAACCTTCAACGCTCATCTCAACCTCTCAGACTCTCAACCCTTGCTGCCCAAAAAGAGTCTGGGTATGGCTGGTCAATTGTACCCGAGCCAAGGCACGCTTCCATTCAGGACATAGTGTCGTGCCGATTGAAACGTGTCCTTACATTCTGGGCATACAATGGGCGGTCCAAGAGCAACTTCTCAACATTCTGCTTCATGCTAGTGACAGTTCGTGACTGCACACAAACCTTTCGTCCAGGATCATTTGAAACTTGGCGCAGAATTTCTCCCGCGTTGACTACCAAAGCATCTGCCTTTGCTGGAACACGAACCCATCGTTCAGAGCAGAATGCCCAAACCTGCCAAGGCAGAAGAATTGTGATCGACAAGCAGATGCACTCAAAACACCAAGATCAACCTCATCAGCCCATATTGTCCACGTGCCCGTCTCCACCTACCAGTACTGTCCGGCTGATAGCTCTGCACTCGTATGGCTGGGTTGAAGCAATGCTCCTGGCTTATGTTGCTTGAGGTGCATGCCAGTTTGGGGCCGACAAGTGGGCTGGACATGTGTGCTCCACTCCAGCACTCTTGGGAGTCAACGCCTCGCATCTTTAACCAACACTGTGGGGGGGGGGGGGGGGGGGTGTGGGGGGGGGGGGGGGCTCGACAAACCACATCGCCCTTCCGACTTGCCGATTTCAATGAAACATAATGAAACCAAGAGACCACCAGGCTGGACTCAATCTCGGAGCGATGCAGAAGCGTGACAAAGGACGTGTCGACATGCGGTGCAATGCCGTACTGGCCATCCTGGTAACCTTGCCAGGGGTCTCAGTTTCCAGCACAAGCATGCCCAATGCGGGCATGAGCTGCTCTCCAAAAGTCACAAGAGTCACTGGCCTGGACATGTCGGGTATCTGGAAAGCCTCAGCCTCCACAACGGTGATTGAAATGCGGCATCCAAATACGACTTGTCCTCTCCTAACGCTCGGGAGAAGAGCGGCAACAACTTGCAGGCCAACTCCTCCATGGCCGCAGCATAGTTCTCCACTCCAGTCCTCCAAGCTGTCCCAAGTTCGTGTGGCCAGGGCATGTGTTCTAACCGGATGTTTCTTGGCCCGTGCTCACGCTTGATGATGAAGGCCTCAACCACATTTCCTTTCGGCCTCCTTGGAAGCTTTCGGCTATGCAACGGCAGATAGCCTGTGCCGCCAGGGAATGTTCCCTGGTCCATTGCATACTTGTTCTTGGTTTCAACAGGCAAGGATCCAAACTCCTCAACAAGCTGCACGCTTGCGTCCAGAAACTCACGCTTGATTCCATGGTTGACTAGGAAGAAGAACCCAACTTTTTTGCAAGCATCCCGCAGTTGCGTCACAATGCTTTCTGGGTCTCTGTCCCAGGTGGCCAAATCTATGGTCGGAATTTCCTCATCTGATGCTGTGGGAATGGTCGCCAAGGAGCTGGGAGCAGCCCACGCGACGGCTTCATTCTGCAGAGATGCTTCTTTTGCTGATGCATGATCAGAGGGTCCCGTTGCAGTCCACCGGTTTCCGTTCTCTGTTCGTGCAGGGCTTCGGCTTCGCGCCATTGCCGCAGTGGAGGCGCGATCAGTCGCAGCCTCCAGCAGCCGCGTGAGAGCCCCAGCACCAGCTGCAGCGCCGTCTGCTCGTAAAGAATACTCTTCAAGGATCTGCCCTGACAAGCGTTTGCTGCTACCACTCTCGCAGCCACTCCGCCTCAATACCACCTCCAAACAATGCCCGAGCTCACCCAAAGAAAGCAGCCCATCTTTGTCAGCATCAAACTCTTGCAAACAGTCTTCGGCCGATGGCAGCTGAAGTCTTCTGCATCGTGCCATGACATGGAGCTGCTACAAAAACAATTGCCACTTCCTTAGCCTTAGCGTCAGCTTAACCAAAAAAGTTCTGCTGGGCGGCTATGTCCCTGTGGCCGTCTGCTCCTTTGAAGATCCTGCTACCTTTGTGGGAGCCAGAAGTCTCCGATTCCGGCACAGCCAGCTCTCGGGTTTGGGGTCGATTGTTCTACCCCCATCACTCACCATCAGACCCGCCTTCGTTTCGTAAATGCGCGCATCCGAAGATCTATTGCAGTTGAGCATCATGAGTCATGAGCATCTTGGGGCCAGGAGAGTGCCCCCTCACCTCTTTTCTCGAACCCTGCTCCGCCTGCGGCTGATTAGACGCGTGCGGGCATACGCATGCCAGCTACAGGCATTCAAACGGCGCGCAACCGAAGATTTATCGCGTGGACGTGGCGGTGGCGGCTCCAGAGACCAGCCATGGAGATTAGCTTACGCTTATGCTGTGTGGAATGGAAGAAACTCACTTCTATTTCACTCCACAAGATCCCATGCGGACATCTCCTGCCGGTTTGGGCTCATGAGCAGGAGTTTCAAGATCACGCATCAAGCTTTCAGCACAACACTTTGCCCGCGCTGAACTGGTTCAGCTATACTGGGCAACCCGCATTCGTGCCATTAATGCTGATTATTGCTTCATGGAGCTTCATGCTTTGACTTTGTTCCAATTACTTGGACAGAGGGCGGCAGATGCGCGCAAGTTTTGCCTGGTGCCGTCTGAGACGCTCGACATCCTGTTCCGCACATACGCTCGCTTCGGAGCTAGGTGCAGGAACAGAAGCTAACTGAAACGACATCCGTCCCTGCAGAACTGTGTCACAGGTAGGATACGGGATGTGTCTCTTGCATCTATTCAGCAGCCAATGCCACACACGCGCACACATACACAAAGAGCAAGGCAAGAGACTTCAAAGACATGAGGCCTTCTAGTAGAGCAGCAACACATCCGAGGATGTGTGATTGCTGGGAGAGTAAAACCAAAGCAGCGCAGCCACTTTGTAAGCTGTCGAAAGCGAGCCATTTGTCAACTGCAGCCACGGCCCCATCTTGGACCCAGGGAGCTCGTCGGCTTACGGCCGGCTTAAACAACACATCTTAGCCAATGCTTAAACATGCTTAAACCCGCTTTAGATCACTGAAGCCTTAAGCCTTTACAATCACTGGACACTGCACCCGTCAGAGCAGCAAACGTGGTGTTCAACGCGGACCTCGTCGAACTCTTCCTCGTGGTGGTGACGATTGCTGAGCAAATCGGCAAAAAGTACGACTCTCGTGGCTTCCAATTCAACCCGCGTGAAATCAATCCTAAGCAATCTAGCCCAAACAACGGACTTGAGGCAATCACAGGCATACCTATAGATTCACCCTGGCTTCACCTTGCGCTTGTCAACCTGGGGCTTAGCCTGGTTCGGAGGGTCTCGCAGCCACAGGCAACTCTGATCGACTGCTACACTGTGAGGATCGCTTAGAGTCATGAAGGTTATCCAACTGGTCCTGCGCACATGGAACTTCCACACGGGAGGTAGCCACGTTGATGTCCTCCTCCATCAAAGGATCCCTGCGCAGAAGATGAGACCAAAATGACCAAAACTGCAAATTTCACATATTTCAACTGATAGGTGAGCTATGTCGAGTTCCTCTTCGGGTCACGCCAGGCCTAGATGCCGGCTGTGTGTTCAGGAGGTGAGATTGGCCTGTAGTTGTATGCACGGCACATGCTGTCAAACCATCCATGCCACTCTCCGCATGATGAGGCGCTGGCCGACACTTGTTCTGATGGATAGAGATTTGCTCCTCTTCCGATGCTCCTGTGCTGCAGACTGAGCTTCATGCACCTGACCTCCGACTGCCTCTGCATGCAATAGGTCCTCTTTCCCCATGTGCGCATCTATCACGCGAGCCTTAGCTACCGGCGACTAGAAGCGAAGGACTGCCAGAACTACAGAGCCTGCCAAAAAAAGAGTGAAGGCCCACTCACTCACTTGCTTACACGCTCACCCACTGCTTGATTCATTCACTGACGCTTGTGCGAGTCATTTCTCACACCTTCGTGGTGTAGAGTGGATCTAGAAAGCTTGTTTCTCTGCACAGCTAGGCTTGGACTTTTCGTGGCCTCCACTTAGAAGACTCGTCAAGCAAGGCATAGGCCTGCGTAGGCCTTGAAGGCAGCGCTTCTAGCCGACTTTCTGCTTAAAGTTGTTTGCGCTCCAACCAAGACAGTGGTGCCCTGAGCGCTGCACACCTCGACTGCATTGGTTCACTTTGCAAGCAGCGGAAAGTTTAGGGGCATCTTGCAGTCACAGAGCTGCAGCGTCCGCATGATGTTGCTTCACGTCTCCATAGCCACCCCGTAGATACTCGATCCACTCCTGCCCCAGCACGGCGAGCCTCTTGAGCAAATCGAGCTCTACTGATGACCCCTGGCGACCCTTGCCTCGTACGATATTTTCCCGTCATGTTTGAGATCAGCCTCGTTCCTTGCATGTTTCCAGATGCAAGCACAGAGAAGAACGTTCAACAAAGGCGGCACAAGTCTTTGGCACTCTCTGTCGCAGCATGGCCATCCAAGTCGCAGCAGTGTTTGCACCTCATTGCCTTCAAAGGTCTCCCCCAAAACCTCCTTGAGATTTTCCACCTCAGAAACAAAGCTGCAAACTGATGCCCATTGCCAAGTAAGCGAAGCTGTGGGCCGAAGTCATGGCCGGCATGACGAGTGGTGGCTCGCCCGGTTCTCCCGTGTGCTGAAGCCAAGCAGCAGTAATGAAGCCAGAGCTGTCGGTATCAAAGCGACGGAACGCCACCTGAGTGGACTAACCAAGTCTATGAGGGAAGGAAGTTCGCAGACGCATCTCAGCAACACCAGCGCCCACTCGGGAATTAAATGCATTTGGAGCCCATCTAGTTCCGGTTGCTCCAACAGCGCAAGTGATGGTACTTTGAAGTCTCGCCCGTAGTGCATGCAAAGGTCTGGCATGGCTCGGCGGGGTGGTTGCATGTTGCTAGAGACTGCCTAGAGGCTGCTGGTCTATACCATGCCAGGACCTTATCCAAATCACAGACACAAGCCTTCAGAAGATCGTCGTGGAGTGCTATCCTTGAAGACACCTGGCGGGCTCCACATAAGACTAAACCAGTTCAACGAAAACAGCCGCACCATGCCGAAATGAATTTCAGAATCCTTACTTGTGGCCATTTGCTGGAAATCCTGTTCCAAGTTTCCTAGACATACAAGTCTTCATATTCATGTAATCTAGCTCCCCCACCTACCAAGGACCCACTTGTCAAGTACGGTGTTGAGAAGACGTCCTGATAATGACACCCGCCAGAACCAACACCCCTAACCCCTCTAGTTCTAAAAAAAAAACAAAGCCAAGCCCCGAATACCCCCCCGCCCTAATTTCAAAAAATCTACAGCACCCTCCATCCCATGACATGGGTGACGAGGTTTAAGAATTTATTGAACTTTTGGAGTGGGATCGGATAGCCAAACATTTCAACAAAAGCCCCAAACTGGGGCATCGTCCGACTATACCGGCTTTGTCTCTGCGTTTGAACGATGTCGCGATGCCGCATTATTGGTGAATTTCATGCTCAGACCTGTGATTTATGTTGGCCCGCGGTGGGGCCCTTCCGAAGAATGTCGAACTGTGGAACCCTGGAGTTGACACTTTAACTTGGCTCACATGTATACTGTATACTTTCTTCAATCAAATACTTTATACAATTTACATAATATACTTTACCACACAGCTATGCATAGTGCAAGACTTTTAGCAGCAACTAGAAGCAGGCATTTGCCACAACGTCCCCATCCGAACCCCGACAGCTTGGCAATCAAGCCCCACTAGGCGGAAGCGCCATGGCAGCAAGGAACTCCCGGTAGTTCACTTCGTCCTTTCCAAGCTTCTTCTTTCGCTTTTGATGATTGGGAGTATCTGTGAACCTTTTTCGACGGCGTGTGCTTGGCACAATGCACACACGCCCACAAAAGCAGGTCCTTGTGGTTGGCATCCAAAGCTCTGAAAGCATTCCTGATCACTTGCTGCAGAACACACGATGGCACGAAAAATCAGCACTGCACTACACACTAACTTTCTAAAGGTCCAGCAACAAAACATAACAAAACTCAACCCCTCCCGTTCCAAAGCAGTTCCTGCAGATCTTGATAGACATGCCTTGCATGATGCCAAGGATCTCCAGCGTTGCGTCGTCCATCTGGACATTCTTTTCCACTGCAATCTTGAACCTCAGCTTCCAAGCTGACAGCTTCGGATTTTTTTCACAAGGGACTCTTCGGATTGCAGAATGAGTTGTCTCGCCTGATCTGACTAAGAATCTTTGGGGCTCACAAGCTTGCCAACGCACCCTGGTTCTCGGATGTCTTGTCGCCGTTACGTGCCTGCAACATGCCTTGGCAAACCTTGACGAAGTCATGAGCCACAGCGTTTAACCATATGATGACCTCGGTACATTGTTCAAATACGGTACACATGGAAAGCCATCTGAATCTACAAATCAAGCAGCTCGTTGATTGTTATGGTTCCACTGCGATCCTTGTCTATTTCCAAGAAAGCATCGCGGACCTGGTCAGGAGACCGATTCAAGCTCTGAACGTCTGCCTTTCTGACATACATGCTTACCGTACTTGTCGTGATCCCGCGGCCTTGCTGCGCTCTTCCACGCTGAGTGACCATGCCATCACGCCCAAGCAAGCTCTGCGGAAAACGGACACCTCGAAAAGCAACCAACCACCCGCGGCAGCACTAACTCCAAAAACACCAAAACACAGACACGCACAAGAAAGCAAGCAAGCAAGCAAGCAAACAAACAAACAAACAAACCAACATTTTGTGTTTTTGTAATTTTGTGTTTTGTGTTTTTGTGTTTTTGTGTTTTTGTGTTTTTGTGTTTTTTGTGTGTTTGGTTTTGTGTTTGTTTTTGTGTTAGTTTTTGTGATTGCTTTTTTTGCATGTTTTTGATTGTTTTTGTTTGTTCTTGTTTTTGTGTTTTTGTGTTTTTGTGTTGTTGTGTTTTTGTGTGTTTTTGTGTTTGTGTTTTTGTGTTTTTGTGTTTTGTGTTTTTGTGTTTTTGTGTTTTTGTGTTACACAAAAACACAAAAACACAAAGGCGCGAAAACACAAAAACACAAAAACACAAAAACAAACACAAAAGCAAACACAAAAAAACAAACACAAACACAAAAACGAAGAAAAACAAGCAACAACACACAAACAAACACGAAAACAACACAAACACAAAAACTAAGAAAAACAAACAACAACAAACAAACAAACACAAACAAAAACAAACAATCAATCAAACAAACAAACAAAAAAACAAACACACACACACACACACACACACACACACACACAGAGACAGACAGAGACAGACAGACAGACAGACCGACAGACCGACAGACAGACAGACAGATCGGCAAAATCTGATGAAACATTGAAACGTTCTCCGAATGAAATGTCAGATGAAAGAAGAGAACCCTCAGACACACGCACACACGCGCACACGTGCACACGCGCACCGACGCACCGACGCACCGACGCACCGACGCACCCACGCACCCACGCACCCACGCACCCACGCACCCACGCACCCACGCACCCACGCACCCACACACCCGCGCACCCGCGCACGCACCCACGCACCCGTGCACCCGCGCACCCGCGCACGCACCCGCGCACCCGCGCACGCACCCACACACCCACGCACGCACGCACACACGCCACACACGCACGCACGCACCCACCACCCCCCACGCAAAACCACCACCCATCACCCACCACGCACCCAGCACCCACCACGCACCCACCACCCACGCACCCACCACGCACCCACCCACCCACGCACACGCACCAACCGACCACGCACCCGCGCACCCACCGCACCAACGCCACCACCGCACCCACGCACCCACCACGCACCCGCGCACGCACCGACCACGCACCCACGCACCCACGCACCCACCACGCACCCACGCACGCACCACGCACCCACGCACCCACCACGCACCCACGCACCCACCACGCACCCACGCACCCACCACGCACCCACGCACCCACGTACGCACGCATGCATCGACCACGCACCCGCGCACCCACCACGCACCCACGCATCCACCACGCACCCACGCACCCACGTACGCACGCACGCACGCTCGCACACCTAGCTGCGGTTTCAACTCGGCACGCCGTGGTGCCTTGGCAAAGTTGCACAGGTCTTCGATCATTGATTGGTCGATTACGTTGGCCTTGCAGTGCGAAGGAGAGTGCAGGCGGACATAACAAAAACGACCAATCGAGAGGCAAGGGGCTCTTTGCTCGCGAGTCTGAAGCCAGCGATGATTCAGAGCCTCCACAGGAGAGGCGCTGGCAACATTCGGTGCTGCAGAAATCCACGTGCCAGCGGTATTTTCGGCAGAGGAGAAGACAGCCGGATCATCATTCATTTTGGAGTGGAGCTTTTTTTGTTGGTGCGTTTGTGCGTTTGGACGTTTGTGCCTTGCCTACACGTCCATTATTTCCTGCTCCAGGCTTGTCTTGACAGGTTTCAGATTCATCTGGTGTCATTTGAACTTTCCAATTCTGAGCGACTTGTCACTCTTGAAAGATCGTAAGCATTGTCAAACGTACGAGTACCTGCTTCTTGCACCAAGCAAAACGTGCAGATCAGTCATCGCTCCTACATCGTCACGCCCTGATTGGCTGTCATTTAGAACCGCGGCTACTGGCCCTCATTAACACCAGCGTACCCATATCATCTGGTGCACTCTCTGTTGAGATGCAACTCTGCCGAAATTTAACATTTGGCAAACAGCTTCCACGTGCCTTTGCCGCGGTTAAGCGGGTCTCGGGATCCACCACCAGAAGCTTCTGAACAAAGTCCTGCCCCGGGGTCACGAAACGCATCTCTCATGCCTCCCATTGTGTCACTCGTGGCCAACGGCTACAAAACCCTTTCCACTACTGTGCTTCAGCACTCCGACAGACACTAGAATCACGAGAAGTCACACCAGGACAGGACTTCGATGTGCCAAGGATGCAAACTGAAACTGGGGAACTGCATCCTTCGCTTCGGCGGAGACCTTGTTCCATACTGCCTGCCGCAGCGACACTGCTTCCCATAGCTTCCCAGCAGCCCCGCCGTGTGGGCTTTGAAGCCCGTGAAACTCTACACATCGTGCACTGCATTCCCGGGCACAGTTGCAGCTACTTATGTAGCGGATGAGCAGGCCTGCTTCTTTGAGAAGTGGCCATCCTCGACACATACACCGCACGTGAATGAACGTAACGTGTTCCCATCTGCTACGTGCATCATTTTTGCATCGGCTTCACATGAGAATGCGAGAACCTGTCCTTGATGTCACGGATTTGCTTGGCTTCTGCTCCAGAGAAAGGCATGTAGCCTTACAAGAAGTCCCAGCAAAGCATGTCACATGCTAGTGCATATGGACAAAAACATCACGCATCACATGCCCAAGAGCTTGAAGCACAGATAAAGACCCTGCGAGTCTACGAGTAGCCGAAAAGGAGGACAAACGATACGACGCCCAGGCTCCAAAGGTCACCTCGGCGTGCTCATAGAGCCACAAGGTGAAGTTACACTGCACGGTTCAATGTGATTGCCCTTAGCAGCCGAAATTGTTTCTTCCAGAAGGCTTTCTCAGTTGTACTGGGCTCCGTGCATTGCGACGTGTAGGACTTTTCGAGCACCTGCGATGACTGTCTTTGTGCTTCCATCCAGGCAAGCTCACCTGCTATGCACTTGCCTCAGGCGCCACGTAGGCCAACGTTCCGCAACTAACCGCCATTGTCGTATTCGGCTGCCATATCTTGCCTGACATACGAACAGCCACAGCGTCTCCAATGCTGTTTGTCGCCCTCAAAGATATCGATGCATATGGCCGGGCTACTGAAGCCAAAGTCAATCAATTTCAAGTGATCGGAATCCTCGGTTGCAAGTCTGCACTCGTTCCCACAGGCATGTAAGTGCCAGTTGGAGCTGATTGTACTGCACCTTGTGTTCCCGAGTACTTGGACCAGCACTTTGGTTTCATAAAGAAAATTCTCCAGCTTGATGTCGCGATGAACCTGAAGATCAAGCCAGAACAGGCACAAAATCAACATGGTGATCGACGGTTGCTCGAAAAGTTGCCAATGCCAGCAGAGGAGTCGACCGATTCACATCCGAAACATCTCTCGCCGACTGCTGCCAGGCTACAACATCATGGCTATGGATATAGTTCACCGCCAGAAGCATCTGATGCAACAGTTGCACCAGTGACTGCTTAGAGTCTACCGGCCCACGCCCAAGCTTGCAGCACTCTGTCTGAACATCTTGCCATGCACCTGGTACACGGCTTTTGCTGCATCCTTTTCGGAGAACCGCTTGCGTTCGACCACACCTTCAGTGACGGTGGCCAGGTGGTTTTCATGGGTTGCAACCCCTTGCTTGTCGGGCGAAAGCTGTATAATTTTGAGCTTGGAAGCGGTCAAAGAGCTCACCGCCTTCCATGCACTCCTTAGCTTACTGAAGCAGCCCTTCAATCCTGCTTTTCCATGCATTCAAGGCCGATAGCAGACTTCCCTATGCAAGCCTTCCTCTTTCTGAAGAGCATCCATGACCAAAAACAGCTGCTCATCAGACTCGTACACGTCCACCAGAGACGCAACGTGCGGATGATCCATGGCGAGGAAGATTTCCTTACTGCTGCTTTCAGCGCCAGTTCCCGCAAAATTCCGAAAATGCCGGCAAGGGACAGCTTCACTCTCCAGTTCCTTCCGCTTGTCCTTGCTCACGCCACGCAGTTTGAACGCCTTCACCGCAAACTTCTCCTCAGATCAGCACTGCATTGCCAAGTCACGGTATAGAAATTGGTCTTTCGCAGATCCCGGGACGGTGAACAAAGCGGGATAGGCGAAGCCGTGTGAGCGACTTTGCTCTTGCTCGGACACAACCATCCCACCAAGGCACGCCCGAGTGTATGCACGTTGCCAACTTCACCTCTTGTCAGCTCATGTATGCCCGCATACGTGCGCCAAGAAACTGCATGTTGCTTCAGGAATGATTGACGCTGCCACGCCTCTCCATTGTAACCTGTCCCCAGGACCTTCAAGGCTCCCGCATAGGCCACGAAGAATCAACTGTTGTGAAGGTTAGGTCGTCTAGGTGTCCTGAATGTTTCACAGAAAGCTGGGCCTTGTCTAAGCTGCTGTAATCATCTTCAAACTTCTTCGGTGGTCGATGATACCGTCCAGTAATGTTTAGCCTGCAACAGCTGAACATGAACCCAGCAACGCACCTCGCTTGCTTTTTAAGCATTGAACTGAACAACGAGCAACACTGATGCCCTCCCCGCCCCCACACCCCCCACCCCGCCTGCCGCTGCGCTCTGCAGCCCTTGAGGTGACGAGCGACAGGCCATCGGATGTGGGATCTTCCCTGCCGCAGTGGGAGCTCAACATAGCGTTCGTCCGTGCTATGTCTCGCTTCACGGAGTCTGACCTTCTTTCTACGGCAACCCCAAAAGCGCAACAACAAAAAAAGGCGCCGTGTTTTTGGCTCCGGGCCGTGGCCGCTGAGCAGTCACCACAAACCGGAGTGACCGAAATACAGCTCAAGCAGCACAGATCCGGAGGAGATCGGCTGTTCTGGTGCGACGGTGACCTTGATGTCGGATTCGATGAAGGTTGTGTGGAAGCGTCAACACTCGATGTGCTATTGAAGGGGGTCAGGGATCAGGGCCAGTGTGACATTCGTCGTCGAAACTTTTATTTTGTCGGCAACCGCAGCCCTCGACAATCCGCCAGAAACGATTAAGACCACTCCCAAGAATTGTTTCCATCAAACAGGTTTCCGCATACTTCTCGCGCAGTGTGACCCTGTCATCTCATGCAGGCAACATGCGCGGTGCAGTTTGGGATTCTGACATCCGGTTGCGCGATTCAGAAACAAAAGCCGAACACGTGGTGATAGTTTCCTATTGACCCCAAGTGAAACAGAAGGCGGCAGGACAGATTCGGCATCACCTGTCTGGAACTGAAGCACGAGCTCAGTCTACGAATGCGTGTGATACCCTGCCATCCGCAAACCCCATAAGTTCTTGCAAAACGTCGACGTCGTGGCTGCAACGCCTCCCTCCCTCCCTCTCTCTCTCACTCGCTCTTTGCACTGTTGCGCGACCTGTACACAAACCAAGACTTTGGTCGCAACATTGTTCTCCCGCCTCTGTGTTTCATTCTTTTTTTTGTCGATGATGTGAACCGCCGACTTGGCATGAGCTTGACCCATGTCAAGCTGGCCGCGCAATCTCACAGGAAAATCTCGTTAGTGTGTGCTAGAGGCCAACCAAATCCAGGAGTGCTGGGCTATAGTAGCAATCTGAGTCAAAGGGTGGGTGCGCATGCCGGCATGTTTGTCTAAATCCTCGACTGGCTGCAGAACTGCACTGCTGAGCCATCTCTGGCAGAGCAAAACTACATTCTATTGAGAAACTTCCATAAGTCTGCTTTGTGGAACGGCAAACCATACCGTACATCCAGGTAATCAGGAACCCTGACATCCTATACGACCCCCCTCCCAGCCACGCGCTTGAGCCCATGGGATGGCGGTTCCAAATCTGAAGCAGGCCAGCAATGCTGCCCCCAACAAATAGTCAAGTTTGCAAGAAAAGGACTGTGATCATCCGTGGTCCCTGCACGACGGTCCATGATGTTGCTAACCCCTGAGATCATCTTCTTTTCAGACAGCCTCAGTGCCGCACCCGCGTCACCACTCATGATCCCAGTGTTACGCGCAATACAGAAACTGCAGGAAACAAACGCCCCCACAAGCCTCCGGCTTGCGCCGGGGGCCGCCCCAATTTACTTCTTCCATTCCACCTGAAATGCAGTATTGATAGATTTAATCGACCCCCCTCTCACAAAAACATCGAAATAATCAATACAAACGCAACACTCATTGCAATCATGCCTTCGGCCTCGGCCATAGGTCAACTACCTCATTGAGATTCCTAACAAAATCTTCATATAACACTGTCCCTCTATGTCGATTTCAGTCTGAACTCTTTCAAGCCATTCAGTCAGATGCATCATTCGCGAGGCGATCAAACATGTCACATATGACAGATTCGCTCATTCTGGGTTTTGGGCTTAAACAGAGCATCGTCCAGCAAGTGCCTCCAGTGCATTCTGTATACGATGCGGACTTGCATACAGCAGATGGATGATACATTCAAAATTATTCAACATTTCAAACAATTTGGGGCCCCGACCCATACTTTCCCCAGAGATTGCTGAGCTGGGTTGAGCTCATAGCCGAGGGTGTTGAACCTAAGGCGGCACATACACGAACGCAACAGAAGATTCAGCGACCCTGCTAGTCTCCAGCACCGACTGACTGACTCCTGAAAAAGGAGTGTCATGAGGTCTGGGGTAACAGCCTTTAGAAACAGAACCGCTGTACGGCTTACCGCTCTCATGAACCCACTCACGTGTTTCATGCTTGGCAATGGCAACACCACACTTTTTCCGCCGCTCTCGCAGATATCGAAACATCCATATAACCACCATAGCTGCTGAGCCGAGATGTCGTGTTGCCCATAGGTTGTGAACATGCTTTGGCAAGAGGACCATCTCACCTGAGCGTAGGCTTAGGTCAACTGGACGCGTCACAGCACTGCCGAGAATGTGGACTGACATCAATAGATCTGGACAGCCTGTCGCCTCTGCAGCCCTAAGCACAACATGCCTGCAAAAGGGACCAGCAAATGGGCACACCTTGGATGGCCGACTCCTTTGTCTACCGACCGTTCTTCCAAGATGTTTCCGGTTTCTGCTTCCTCCAAGGCCATTATTTGTTCTCTGAGGCGTGAAATGCAGAAAGGCACCGAATTATGTTGCTTGCAGTCACCATGACATGAACTCCGTCTTTTCCACCAATTCAATTCTCGTCCCTGTGCTTCAGCCGCCATATGCAATGGAAAGAAACATCGCCTCAAAACGACCCGCAAACGGCTTGATTCTATTCGGACGATGAAAAGGGGGCGGCGTTGCGCGCTGAACGCGCCGGTGTTCTGCAGGTTTCTCCATGAAGCTTGGAGAAGCTCGGATCTCTGTGAAGTCGGGCATCCCAAGTTGCCGGGACCGTCAGAGATGGACATCCTTACCGTGCTGCAACTACTTCAGCTATGATAGTTTGGAGCCAGATCAGTCCCTAACATCTGTGAGGGCTACAAACACTCGCCGTAGTGCCACCCTTCACGGGGCCACGAAAGCTGGAATGCTCTTGACAAGGCTCACAAGCACCACGCCTGCAAATGGATGCGTTGCTGTGCGGCCACAACCTCTGAAACTTAGGCAAACGTGCCTGCCTGCCTCGTCAGTTAACCAGCGTCACAAGCTGATTGCACTGGATCTTGCGATCAGAGCTTCGATTCTTTGCACATCACCAGTCTCACGTGAAGGTGAATGTCTTCCTTTCCCAGTGATGCGGCCAGCCACAAGAGCTTTCCCAGCGGCGTGCTCCGAAGAAGCTGCCAACCTCCTCAATGCTAATGCGGGCACGATAACAAGCTCACCTCTGCAAATCAGAGCCTTGGTACCTGCTGTGCAGCTGCCTGTATCTCAGAATGTCTCAGGGGGCAGGAGGCTTGAACCTCAACCAACCACCATCTCTTCAGTGTCGGGACAGCATTGGCCAACTCGTCCTAACACTGACACTGATCACGACAGACCTACTCCCGCAGCCAGTATGAAATTGCAGTGGCGTCGCACAAGGTCCCTGATCAGCGCACGTAAACAAGCTCTAGCTGTGCACTTCTGTGGGCTGTTTTTTTTGGCTATTCGCTCCGAGTTTGCTCTACACACCATAGCCTCAAGGCTCACCTTGACAAGACAAACGGATGAAACTCAACTCGCCGAATCTGTTAAGCGCCCGCTGCATCCAGCCTTGCACCTCAGCTGCCGAATGTTGCAAACTGGCTGCAAAAAAGGCGTTTCAGCCGGCTAAGCCCACATACAGAAAAGCACACAAGTAGCTAAAGATTAACGAGAAACGCATGTAGCGCAACTAGCTGCCTAGCAAGAGGCCGATAGCGGCCAACTAGTCTTCACAGAAAAGAAGCTGAGGCAGCTGAGGGTTTGGCGCTTCCGGTATAAGTCGGCATCTGACCAGTCCTCCCATCCAGCGCTTCTCCTCTGTTGAGATCTCCGAATTTCCCGTTGGAAAAGAACTGCTTCATTTTGGCTGATGCTTCTAAGTTCGACAGGTTTGAGACAAGCCTCCTTGCAGGCAGCCAAGCAAACTGGCCCCAATCGCTGTGCGCGCCGTACGCGCCTTGCATGATGTGCTCTGCAGCGATCTGACTTTGCGGCTGCGCCCGCGGATTGTCTGGCTCCGGTGTGGCGTTCGGAGGTCGCCATGGGACCTCAAAGAAGCGGCAACTAAACTGTCAGTTCTTTGCCTGCAGCCCGGCTTTTGAAAGTTCCATGGCCTGAGCATGTGCCCAAGCAGGTCGCCTAACCCGAAAAAATGCTGAGGAACGCCATCGCCACCCTCGCCGTCGGAAGCCGCGGGTGGAGGCGGAGGCTCGCTGGTGAGCGCCTGCTCTCCGCCACTGCTGTTACCAGACGCAAAGGTGTTGGGTGCGGTTGTGGGTATGGCTCGCAATGGTTCGCTGTACTGCCCCGCTTGTGAAACTTGCCTAAAAGTTGCTACAGCATTCGGGCCTCTCGGACATATTGGTAAAGCGTTTTGTCTCGTAGGAGGAGAGCCACGTCTGCCTGCGCTGATAGCCACTCCAGGCGAGGAATGCACATGTAAAGCATTATCTTGGATGTAAGATGACAAAGCAGTGACCAAGCCCTCCCAACCTGCCCAGACCCGCGGCCCTCACTCAGCAAACCTCAGCATGTTCCGAATGCCCAGGACTGTCACTCTGCGGCTCACGAAGCTGGTAAGGCCCGGGCGTTGCACTATTCGCTTCATCTCACTGCGACCTGAGATGAAACCCACCCCCTGGGCAAAATCTTAGGAGATTGACACCAGCGGACACTAGTATATCAAAACAGGTATCAATGCGTGGCACATGCCTGCTGCACATCGACATCCTGGACTGAGGCTGGGCACGATGGGAGATGATGGACTGGTCGAACCATTCCCTTTGGACGAAGGTGCTTGACTGATGATACGTCATGAACTAAGCGAACCGCAACACACCAACAGGCTCCAAATTGTCAGAAATCGAGCCTGCAAACTCGTACAAAGTTAGATCCAAGGAAGTGGGGTATGTGAACCCTGGATGAATTCTGACAGGCATCTGATGCGACTCTAGGCCCAACACTGGAAACCTCGGCAGGCGTCTGCACGCGTCCCATGCCCGGTTAAGACATGCAGATCAATCACTGACATTCAACCTCTGGGTCGCTGACTGATCAGGCGTACGCAGGAGATAGAGTAAAAACTCAAGAACATACAGGCCACCTGGAAACAAACGGTCAGTTCCACAAAAAATGCCTATGGTCGGGTGCATTCCGCGAAAGCTGGCTGCGGCCCAGGAGCAATCGTAGACATTCCTCAGAGGGCACGGTGGACAACTCAAGCATTGATCAACTGTTTCGAGAGCTGTCGAGACACTGCTGCTTTGGAACGTCCGCATCAATTGCCTTCATCTTTTCCAGGCCAGTCACAGCCTCGTGAAGCGGTTGGCTTCTTGAGCTTCTTCAGGTTCAACAGCATTTCCATTTGCAGAAGCATCAGACAGAAGCATCGCAACGTGAATGAATTGCCCGAGCGTCACTGTACAACACAATGTGATCGAGTAGTGTTTGCTAGCAGTGTAGTGGACGCACTCTCTGAGGTTGACGCAGCCTTCCATGCTCGGATGGATGCCGCTGCTACTGTCCCATCGGCCCCCAGCTTGAAGCCCTGAAGCAGCTCAAGCAAATTCTCCCAAATGCAAGAACTGTCAAGACTCAGAAGGTTACACTAGACGAAATCACTGTCGAGATGCGGCGCCACCCAATGGATTGTTGAAGAGCTCTCTGCGCAGGTAGCCCTTCCCAGCTCCGTCGCACACAAAGAGCACGAGAACTAAACGGGACTACCATGAAACTGATCATGCCTCTGCACTTGCGACCTTTTGATGTATACTGCCTAATGAATGAAGCCCTAGCGTCGACCCTGTCTGGAGCATGGCACTAAAATGAACAGTGTTTCCTTTGAGCTGCATGGGGTTTCCTCGATATCTAGCACAACAAGTTCGATTGAACTTATACAAAGGAGTAGTATTGGAAGACAATTTAGTACGCTCGCTTTCTTGGCAATGTATGAGTTCGCCTTCTACAAGCAACGCTTGATGGGCATCAGCCTCCTGCTTGGTGCAATGGAGTCACCGGTCGTTTCACGGGCAAAGAACTTTGTGAGGGAATCAGCAGCAGCACTGAACCAAAAAACGCTCCGCCCCCCTACCCGCCACAAGCAAGTCCTTTGGGCAGACAGAACAGTCAAAGCGACTTTGAGCTTTAAAAACGTCCATTCGCAAACACTCCAACGCTTCAGGCAGGCAAAAGGCATGGGACAAGAGACAGTCCGCACAGCTCCCGACGCATGCATTCCTACCTTCCTTTTCCTAGCCACTAGTCCTAGAACACAATGTCTTCGGATTCAAACGCAAACACGTCCTTGAAACTTAGAAGCTTGCTTGCGCTTCGCATCAGCGCACCTAACCGACCCAACCTTGCCTTCAACAGCTTGATCTGGTCGTCTTTCGGCACCTCAGGTGAGATTACCAATGCTCCATGAGCCAGCTTGTAAACAAGGAATACCTGCAAATCATCCTGGCTTGGGTTCAGCGACAGTCGTACAGGCATCCGACAAAGTCATGGCATGGTCATGGCCCCTATGTCTTTCCGCATGTAAACGCCAACCCAAGAAAGTCATGAAAAGTCCTGGCCCCGCCGCCTCCCCCAAGTAAACGCTAGGGCAACACGCACCATTACAAATAGTAAATGGCAAAGCATTGGGCAATCAATCGGGAAGTTTTAGGCATTTCACTTGGCAACACCATCCAGGAGCAACCCGTACAGAACAGAAACCAGAACGCACGAGCTGCCGAAACACGAGTGAACGCTACTTTTTGACAGCGTCTCCCCGACCCATACGTATAGCGTCAACGGCCCAGGGTTTTGCGAGTTGACGGAAGGGGTCTGGGAGTTCAGAGTCCTGGGATTCTTGGGGGTTCCAAGCCTTACAGGGGCTCGAAAGAGTTCACCGTTTGGGGCCCCTAAGTTCTAAAGTGTTCCTACACAGCAGGGTATGGTTGCGATTGGGCAACTGGGGCTGGGCACAAGCCTACTGCGCGCAAGGCCCGCGTAAGGCCCGCGTAAGGTCCGCGTAAGGCCCGCGTAAGTCCTAGCTTGGTTTGGTGACCAATGGGCCTGGAAGGGAAGGGTTGGAAAAACGGTTTTCCAGCCCAACACACACCCAAAAACCACGCTTTCCAGACCCCCTATCTCAGCTCCAGAACAGAGGTCTGGGAAAGCCGCGATTGAAAGCTCCGATTCCTTACCCGAAACAAAAGCCGGACTTGGGTTCGGGTTGCAACATCCACGGCTGTAACATTTACAGCGACGCAGCTCATGGCAGAACAATCGCGTTGATTCCGAACTCCCCCAAGTAAACGCAATAATAGTAGACCAAAGAATGCCCGATCATGCACCAAGAAATTGTTGCGATTCCTTGGTGTCTCAGGGTTTGCATGTCGCGAAATGTCCAATGGTCAGGGATCATGGCCGAATGTTGCGATTCCCTGGTGTTTTAGGTCGGGCCACGACTTCTGGGTTACAGCCTTCTCTGGGGGCCCACAAATGGGCCACGACTTTCACCATTCCCTGTACCAGCGCTTCTCCCTGGAAAACTAAGAAATCCTGGTCCAGAGGCCCCGCAGGGCTGCAGGAGCCTAGGGCCTCGAATCTCTTTCAACCCGAAAAACTCCTAAAATGCAATCCCCTGCAGCCTAGCTGTGCCTTGTACCGCTGTCAATCCTGGGAGGGGGTTTCCGAAAGGAAAGTTTGTTCCCCCTCTTGCCTCCGCCGCATGCTTACCTTCCGCCCACCCTCCCCCCCCCCCAGCCCTCTGAGGCAACCTCCCCGGAAACAATCCTCAAACACCGTTCTTGATGTGGCCGTGAAGTTAACATACGAGATGTGATGGCCACATCTCTGGTAGAGTTAGCTCCGCTGATTCTCGTGCCGTGAATCTGGAAGGAAAGCTGGCAAAACTGCTACGAGTACTTGTCCGTGGGTGGCCCTGGAGCCTCAAGACGCGCCTTAAGCAGCCAGTACAGTCAACTGCCGAGGGGCGGGTTCCCAGGCAGAGTCCAAGCAAACGATACGTGGCGCATCCTGAAGAAGTGTTTGGCAGGTAAGTGTGGCGATGCCTTTGGGCTCGTGAGTTCACCAGGGAAACATCAAATGTTTCTGAGTCGCTGGGTGTTCTTCACTGGAGTCCGCCAGCTCGATGGCACGGTGCGGATGGCACACGAAGAACCTACGTTAGTTCCAACATGTTTCAACTTATGCATGCTTTGTGACTCGGGACTCGCCACATGCTCGTCTAGCTTTCTGCCAGGTAGCACACACCAGTGGAGGTTGCCCTGACAAAGAAAAGATGGGACTAGCTTACATCATGCTGATACAGTACCGTCTTTCAACTCCATCACCTCATTGACGGGGTAGATGAGGACTCTCTGTGAGGCAACGCCCCCTGAGACGCTCCTGCAAGCGGAGAGACCACTCTACAGTCTTTCCCAGTATCTGCACGTTCCTAGCCACGTTCCTGGCCTGGTCCAGGTCTTCACGTTTTCCCAGCCCTTCTCACCACCTCGAGACTCATGTCGCTCACGCGAAGTACATCAGGTCTCTCACGCTCTGCTCGCTGCCGGGCTGCTGTGCGCGCCACAGGCGGTGAGGCGGGTAAAAAACTGCGTCTTTGCAACCTTTCGAGATTACCGCCAGTCAAAACAACCAGAGTGGACAACGTCTAGTCTAGCCAATCCTGGCCATCCTACCCAATCCTCGCCATCTTATCCATCTTGAAAACTTCGCAGAGACACGTACAGCTCCTCTTGCAGCTTGGATGGTGCAGCCACATCAAGTGCCAAGCGCCTGCACAGGTTTTAGGGGGCCCCAGCCTTCCACCGGCTCAGATCCCAGAAAACTTCCCATGGCGAGACATTCTGCCAAGCTTCATGAAAAAGTCCATAATGGTGTCGTTGAGCCACTGCTCATCCTCAGGGATGTCATGTACGTCCATGAGTCCAAAGTCAAAGTGATCATTCCGTATGCATGAACCGAGGGCTTGCAGAAGAGGCGAACGACCACGAGCCTCCAACAGGTCAACGTCCCTTTCCTTCGCCCGTCGGACACAACACGTGCGCTTAAAAGAAGCCGAGTGACTAAAACAATACTGCTGGCATGCGCAACGTACATCAGTAATTGCAACAAGGGTGCTTCAAGGACGGTGCCCTGGTAGCGAAGAGCAAACGGCCTCAGGTGGCGCGCAGTGTCTGCATCAGCCATCTTGAGATATCTGACGTCTTGAGCATGGAACTCCACAGCTGGCCGAGGCGTCAATCCCAGCGAACGGGGTCCACGCCTCAGTCTAAACGCATGTCACGTAAGTCAGGGCCTCTATTGTTAACGATGGTGCCAAAGGCAGCTTGGCCGCAGAGTGAGATGCCGCAGCCAGGCCATCAACGTTGCCAGCACTGGTCTCAGCTCCTGTCAGGAAAGCAGCACAAGTGCCGTGCAACCTTCCCAGCCTAGTGCTCAAGTGCATCACGTATCATCACGTGTGAGGCCTCTAAGAAAGGTGAGAGCGTCAATGTCGAAATTCGGTGGCCTTCCGCCATGAACTCCACCTCGGCAGGCCATGGCAGGCCCTACTTGGGCTTGCAAGGTTCCGCCCTTCACAGAGTCACAGAGACCTCAACTCAGCCCCCCTCAGCGAAGCCGGTCGGAGCAAGTGGTGGGGAAAGAGAAATGATCACCTGAACATGGCAAGCTGTCTGTTCTTGGCGGAGGTGTGCGGTGCAGTGTCTGGCAGCCAGACCAACCAACAGATTTAGAGTCAGATTCTGATGTTTCAAAACCGTCATGATGAGACATACTCATGCTCGACCGCAGTGCATGAACATGTATGGGCCAAGCAACAAACTGGCCATCAGCTTTAACATCCACATCGCTCACCCCAGCAAGGGGGATGATCAGGTCATCCTGGTCATCTTCCTCCTCGTCAGGCTCCTGCAAGGCCGGCTATGTTCCATCTGCTCACCGTGCCTAAGAGTCACTATGTCCTCATCGTATAAGCAGCGCACACGCAGCGATTGATCCTCCAGCACACGCGAAGTATCGGTACAATCATGATGCAATCACGCCGCCAACAGCACCATTGGCACCATCACTCCTGAAGCCAAAGCTGCGTTTCGCCAACCGGCTGGGGCGTGAGAAGGCCCCGGCTTGGTGGCAGCGTTAACCTGGCGAGTTCTAGCCATCAAACACCACGAGCTGCCGCGATGCCCCGTGATGCCCTGCGATGCCCCGCGATGCCCTGCGATGCCCTGATGCCGCGGGTGTGCGCCATCTGAGATTCGCACCCACACACGATGCTTTCTCGAGGCGGCTCAGCCTCCAGACTCACGACACCAAACCAACCAAACCAGTGCGAAAAGCCTAAAGTTGCCTAAAAGCACGACGCAATTGTAGTTGAGCGGGTCCGAAGCTCTGACCGAGAGTCGCACAGCCAATGCCGAGGCAGCTGCAGCTGCCAGAGCCTGGATCCAAAACGTTGACAAAAACACCTCAAATAAACCTGCCCTGCATGCTTTATTGGCCCGATCGCCAGAAATATGTCTATAGGCTCAAGCGTGCCGTCCTCGGCTTCTGCACATTTTGCATGCTCGCCCTCCTCGTCGGAGTCGATTGCGATTATGTGTTGTCCATTGGGCTCGTCGGCCATCCCAAATGTTTTAAGCTGCAATGGGCTGTCTGACTGGGCACTGCTATACAACGTCTTGTTTGTGTGGCGCACTTCGCAAAGAAACTGGACCGGCTTCAGGGCTCAGCCTACGTTGCGTCGGCATGTCCATGGATGTAGTAGCGAATTCGCTAGATATGTGTAGCCATGGAGCTTATGGAGCTTGATCAGTTCACAGCTGCCCATGATCAGAGCATGAGACCCTTGCCTTGCACCATAAGGCATTCCTCTGTTGCAGCTGGCAGAACGTGCAAAGAGAACCTGCTCAAATCCAGGCTGCCCGACTCATCTGCCAAAATCATCAGGGCACTCTCCGGAATTTCCACCTGAGCTGCAGTTCGGAACTCACTCACGAATGGCTTCTTGAGCCGCAAGCAGACAAGTCATAATGACTGTTTCTCAAAGACCTGCGTGGGCCAATCGGTTAGACTGCAAGATCGCCAAATCGAAGCCGGCTGTCATCCTAAAGGCTTTGCTTGGCCCCCGAACTCCCCAAACCGACAAACTGGCATCTGCAGCACCCTGCCCTTTAAGTGAACGAAACCACGAACGCACGAAGTTGGCCGCACAATATTCTTTTCCTTTTTCGTGCGGCATTATTAGTAATAGTGTGTGTTCTATTGGCCGGGCAAAATAGTAATATCGTGACGGCCCGGCATAATATACCAAAAGACCATACAATTTAATACTAAAATTACAATGAAGTGAACGTAGTAAACGAAGCGTGATTTTTTTTAATTAAATTTGGGCTTTTTCCGCGGGCACACTTTTCTCTTTCTTTAGCCCGCGATAGAAGTAAATAATAAATACGAAGTGAAAACATGAATTACTTTATAAGCGCGCGTAGTACGTGCAGTAAACGTAATGAATGTATGAACGCAGTACAGGATTTCACCGATAACCGTCTATAACCAAGAATTATTGACCATTGACTGCCAAGGAACAAACCATCCAAGAAGCATGCTATCTTTCTTGGGGGTTTCTTGTTGCGTTCACGTGTTCATATGATTCGTGCGTACATTCATTGCGCCCTCCAGCTGGGACATCGAAATCGACCCCTGCAACCCGTCAAGCCAATCCCGAAGCTAGGTGGGCACTCCGGTGACGAGAATAGCTGAGCACTCCACACCCAAGGTGAACAGCAACCCCCCCAAGGTAAGAGGGAGGCAAGTGAATGTGAGCACTTAATCTTCACGGTTATGCAATTGCAGATCCTGATTCGCAAAGGAAATGTGCGAATCGAAAGATCGCATTCCTAGCACCTGGAGCGTGCGGCCCCAGACACCGGAGCTCAATTCAGGGACTCCAGCAAAATGTCCCTGGACTGCACAATCCCAGACAATCATGCAGCACCCATCCAGTTGCTTATTTTGAGACGGGGGATGACTTGGGACTTTGAACATCCCCAAGCTACCAAGCAATTGGGCAGGTGGGGGATTCTCGAAGAGTGGGTGGGCAGACTAGGTTTGTTCGAAGAGCATGGAGGCCTGGCAAACCTTCCCGTACCTCTCCCCTCATAAGCATTCAGAAGCTTCACTACCCTGCTGGCTCGTTGCCTTGTTCGAGTCTTAATGTGTAGGGTTTCGGCTTAGATACGCATTTTGAGTCTCACCTCCCCTCAGTGCACTGTATCGCACCCACAACAAAGCTCACACTTCCTCACTCGTTTTTGAAACCCGTCTGCACCACTCGATCGGCATCAGTTGGGAGATGCTCCATGGGGCATTGCCGATTCGGCGTCAGGCAACCGGTGGTAGGCACAGGACATGCAAGAAGCAGATGACCTCCTGCAAATGCCGAGGAAGCTCGCCATGCCAATCGAAAGAGTGGTAACGGCAGCAGCTGCTGCGGCCAAGGCCAAACCAGATACCGGTGACGCATTTAAGGTACTTGTCTGCTCATCCTCACTTGGCTCCGCGAACAGGGTGCATGCATCAGCTGGGTCCCGAAGTAGCACCTGCACAAGAGACAGGCCAACTGGCAGAGGGGGTGATCAGGGCAAACGCAAACGACAAGCCCTTCATGCAGGATCTTCTGACTCCCCTACAAGTTGCCGAGAAGCATCGGCGTGATGCCAGGAGCGATTAAATTTGCTCTCCAGCTGCGTGCAGTGAACTGGGGATCTTGCAGATGCGGCGTTCAGGCACAGCTGCAGCAATCCAAACAACGCCCAGCCATTGTGGGGGAGCCTGCCTTTGTTGCTGGTTGGGTTCTGCTTCGCAGCACTGCGACACCAAGTTCAAGACCAATATGGGTGAATGCAGCTCAGCAGCTCAGGCTTTCCTGCCACACATGCTCTGCCTGGGCAAACTGGCCCATTCTTGCAAGGGCCTCGCCAGCGCGATTCGCAGTGGGCAAGTACCAGGCCGGAGGCTCGTCGTAGGGCAAGGAGGCCTCTTGCATAGGACACTGCATTACACTGAAATGCGCAGCTGCGGGGCTCCAATGGTTGGTCTCAGCTGCCCTGAAGTGGGCAGCTGGACGACTAGCATACCTAGCAGCGCCATCTGTGCAATCCTGTCGAGACAAAATGTCGTCCCATGGATGTTCGGAGCAAACCTCAGGACACGAAGTTGGTCCTGAAATTCCTTGTTCAACTTCCTACACACCCCTCCCTTCCCAAAGCTGCACCGGGACCCCATACGGATGCCTACCTTCAAAGGTCTAGATCAGCATGAGGCCATGATGCGCCTCTGCTGCTAGGGCTTCCCTCCACGCTGCCAGCTCATCTGCGTGCTCCGCCCTTGCCAGATGGGCCTTCAACTCGAGACTGGCCAAACGCAGGATCTGGTCTGCAGGATAAACAGCCCAATCCTGCGAACGTCGAGAGTTGCTCCGAGTCACCCCGAGTCACTCTCCTGATTATCCTGATTGGTTCGGACCCCAATCAATCAAGCCAACCTGCCCCCCCTAACTACAAGCGGCACCTTGGTTCCATTGAAGTTGCGCCAACCCATGCCTGGCGGAACGGCCATGCGCTCTTGAACCTTCAGCCTGGGCAAGGCTGGAAACTGCAGGATGCGATTCCTTCTATGGAGGGCTGATGCACGACTTTCAGGAACATGGAAGTCACACTCTGGCAGGCTCTTTGAGTACCCGAGGCCACCCAAATGGGGGGGAAAACTTCTGTTGCCAAGTTTGCCAGAGAATTGTTGATATGTGTCGATCTCCTATCCGAAAAAGAAACAAAGAGCACATTGCAGCTGGACGTCTGCTCCACTCGCAGGTGCTCGAGCTCCACTTTTGCCTTGGAAGCGAAGCCTTGCTTGGCGTACGAAGCCCCCCTTGCAAAATGCCACATGCCTTCGTTCCAACGGGAAAACATTTTTCAAAAAAATCGATGATGATGCGAGTGCAGAAGGGCTGAGACACAGAAAAAGTAAATCCCTGCTGCAACAGACAGAGCACCCGCAAGCACCGGATCCAGTTTGCATTGTTCGGGCAGCTGTGCTGATGTGATGGCCGTCAAGTGCCCAAATGCGAGCAAGGTCAGAGGCCACACTGACGCGAAACGAGCAGGTGGAAAGCCCGTCTCAAAAATTCCCGTGCCAACCTCGACTGCACATCTGCGCACCGAATTGAACCACGTTTCGGTGGAGTGGGCAAACGATGTACATTAGGCGTGGTGGACATGCCAATGATAGGCACCAAAGTGACCAGACGCACTGGATGCCAACAACCGAACCGACCGTGCCTGAGTACACCTATTACATGTTCGAAGGGAAGCGTTGGGGCACGGGAGAAGCAACAGAGACACCCTGGTGCCTAATGTCATTTACATCCATAACTTCAAGAGAATGCTATGATTTGCAGAGAAGCCAGCGGCAGCGCTAAACGTTCCAACGACTTAGCGGCGTCCATGGAACAAGCTGATCGGCCTTGTATTCTGCATACCCAGGACAGCGTGTCAAGATTGTGCATCGGATAGATTTGTCTGGGAAGTGACGATGCCCTGCCATTGTCCATGTCGGCCACATAAAAGTCACCTGTGTGCATCAGTGTGTGGAAGCTCATGTGCACCAAGTGGGGGGCCCCTGGCATCAGATTCGGCAAGATTTCTGCAAAGGGTCTCGCCGCATGTAGGAGGGATAGGTTGCCACTCGCTTCCGTTACATGGACATAGAGGTGAACACAGAATGGATGCTTAGGATTGCTCCGCAATGCTTCCTCCAGGATGTGAAGAGCTTGGTTAGCCTCGTGCCTCGCTTGCCCTGGTGAAACCCAGTAGTTCCACGGCTGGGTGTTCATCAAGGCATCTGCTGCGAGTGCGGCTAGGTTGGGGTTCCCGCTGGGCCCTCCACTCTCGCCAAGCACTCGTGTCATCTCATTCACGAATGAGTGCGTAAGATTTTGCTCGTGCATGACGTAGTCTTCTGGTGAGGCCCGGTATCTTGTCCGCAGTGCCCGAACGAGCCCTGTCTCAATTCGATGCCGGCCACTCTGCACTCCATTGTAGGATTTCGAGGCACTCATCTGGAACGCTTGCTCGGCTTTGTCATAAGCCAAGGGGAGGCTTTGCAAAAGTCTGGGCTCATCGAAGGTGTTGAGATTTGGGCCCAAAGCAAATCCTTCACCCCACACGCACATGATGCAGCTTGGATCTGCTATCTGCGCGGCGCGGAACGAGATCACCGCTCGTCGGAAATCAAAGGCTGCAATCAATCGGAAGCCCTGGTCAAAATACCTCAGCTGCAGCCACGGCGGTTATGATAGGCAAAGAACAGAACCATTCTCAAAACCCCTTGCGCCGCCATACTGTTGAATTCTGGTACTGTTGGGCCAAGCTTGATGCATCCACTGGGAAGGACATGTCGCCCAGGTCATCAAAGAGCTGGATACGACTCTCTTCAGGAGGCCATAAAATGTCAGGCTCCAAGCTGTCAACTGCTTTCCAAAGCATGACGCAAATGATTCCAGCGGTGAGTGCAGGCATTGCTCAATCTATCGCCCCCGAGTACAGCTTCATGCGCTTGACCCAGCTGCGGCTAGACACAATGCAACAACCTAGGCCTTGCTACAACCAGTGGCCAGCGGGCTACAAGCTTCCAAACCACACGTCAGGCCAAGGCCAACACTGCCGGGTCGCCGGATACCTTGTCAAGACACGACAAGAATGGCAACAGGTCGTGCGACCAGAATGTGCTGAGTCGTGCAAGACACAAGACCCTAGATGGCGAGACAAGTTTTTTTGTCACCTGGTATTCCGCGATGGTGCAGAAGACTCGGCGCAGCAAGCATGTGCTATCCCCTCCATCAGAAAGTCGGAGGTGCTGCATACTGGACTTGCATGGACTCACTTCCACCCTGGCCCTTGGAATCGCAAGGGTCTCGGCGCCGTCGGAACTTCTTCTGATCCCTGCGTGGACACCTGTGCCGTTTTGCGCGTTCCGCTAGACGCAAGAAAAGCCATGACAGACCACGTCGTGTCCGGGGTCTCGTCATTGGCCGTGGCAGTAGCAGCTGAAGCCCGCGCTTAACAGTACAGCTCCTGGGTGGCTGCTGCAACAAACCAAAGCATCAGTACGTAGATACATTTTTGACTATGCTCTTGTTTGAACCCCAGGCGTCGATGCCTTGACGCAACCGTGGATCCTGGTACGTAACCACGACTTACAGTCTAGTGAGAGAATCATGAGAGACATCCCCTGGCAAGGCCTGCTGTACGCAAGGCACAATGGGCAAAGGTGGGGGGCAAGCACATCCCGCCATTCCTGTCCCGACATGTCCCTAATCCCTAGTCCCGAATCTGTGCTAGGTTCGACATCATGGACCGCATATGCGCCTGCATTCACGGCCCCCGCTGAAACCAGTATATTTTGGGTCCTCCCCTGCAGGGTTTAGGGTTGCTTCCGTAGCTCATGGTTGGGTTTAGAGATTTTTTGGCACCCGCCAAGCACGCCAGCCACACCGCAGAGTAAAAATGGGTTTCTTTTTGCCACCCGGGTGTAGAGTTTAGGGTTCAAGGTTTCGGGTTGAGGCGTAGGTTTTCGGGTTTCCCTCCCCCGAGCTGATCATGTCCATGGTTCCAATCCACAAGGCTTGTGGTTCGTGGTGTTATGGTTCAGGGTTTGGGGTTCAGCTTTTTTTGCCACCCGACTGGCCACGGCACCAGGTTTTAGGGCTGAGGGTTCAGGGTTGAGGCTTTAGGTTTAGGGTTTCCCTCTCCTCCCGCCCCACGCCCCCACCCTTTGTGGTTCGTTGGGGTTTTAGGGGTAACGGCCAGGGTTTCTGGGGGTACCAGGGCGGAGGTGGGGTCGAGAACACGGAGCGCGAGCGCGGGCGCAGGCACATAGTGATAGTGCCTGATCTGAGCGGACTCATGAAATGACCTTCACAGTAAAGGCAGGTCTTTCGAATGCCTGCAGGCCTTGCAAGTCATTCTTCAAGGTCTGACAAAGCCGAAACAAAGCACTTGCGCCACTTGCTACACGGATTTCTGCTCAGGATCTGATTGGGATGTCTGACCCTCCGAACTCCACCACCTCGCTGCCAATGCACAACGATCGTCCGCAGGCAACTCAGGCAATGCTCGAAGATCCAAACTTGCAAAAGCCTGGTGACCATAAAGACGACGTGAGGGAGCAAAGCAGTAAGCGGAAGCCAGCCATGTGTTGAAGATCGAGGATGGCCAACCGTTCAGGCTGTCAAGCCCAAGATCCAGGTGCTTGACATTTTGGTGAAGGAAGGTCAAATCGAAAAGCGTTGCCTGCAAAAGCTCATAGCCGTGAGCAGCAGCGGTATCATGCCAGGCCTGCATGCTGCATCCAGACCAATGCTGGCTTCGCTTGCCGTCCATCCAGGATTGACCCATGCGACCTGCTTTGGCTTCCGAGAAACGTTCCTTGAAGCGGATAGGTGGTGGGAAGATCCGGTTGTATTCTACAACCATGAAGGCTGGAGCGAGGCCATGGCGCAAGAGAGCCTCTGCAAAGAAACAGTCTGCATGATCAAAATCGATCTTCAGCAGGTCAACGTGTTTCGCTGCCAGTCTGGACAAAGCAGTCCCCACAATCTCGGTCACGTTTGCTGGGGAAACATAGCCCACATGGACAAGGACATCTTTCCAGCGGCCTTCCAAAGTGCTCGCCAATGTCAATCCCTCCACTGCGACTCCCCGTGCTCCGAGATCAAAGGCACAATTTGCCACGTCTTTCACTACGGCACCATCCTTGCAAGCTCCATCATGTGCACCCAGATTTACAACAATAAGCTCAGAAGGCATCACCTGCCGCAGTTCACGAAAGCGATCGAAGATGTCCATGAAGGGAGTTTGGGTAGTAGATACCACATACTGACCGAAAGTCCTTTGCTATGGCTGCTTACAGCACATGAGCTCAAATTTGAGTGAACATGCCTGAGCTCATGCGGTGAATGCATACTTTGGAAGTCCGCACCCAAGCGGCCCGTTGAGCGACATGAAAGGCCACCTGCGCTTGTGACTTGATAGGCTGACAACATTCAAAACATTTCGAAACTTTAAGTAAATTTTACAGCACGAACAGCAATCAGCGCAAGGCTTGAAGAAGGTTTATGGTGTTCAAGCTTCCATTGAAAAACATGTCAGTCAGCCAGCGGTCCGTCCACACACTCTGGGTTCTCGCGTGCTGGTTCAGCTCTGATTCTGTAGCTGTTCAAGTGCGCCGCTGCGCCTAGAGACCTGCGCGTCAATGCACCCTGAACAGCGGTCGGAGTGAAATCTGAAGCAAGGATGCTTGCCCGTCACATACAGCAGCAAGTTCCACGCACGAGGCTCTTGAGTCTAGGTTCTCTGACTCAGGGTTTATGGCTTGCTGTCTAAACGCTCTGTTGACACGTTGTGATCTGCCACGCCACTGATACTCTGAAATGGAACATTTGAAGCTTGAACGATTGTTGCAATCACAATGCGGTAATACTGGTAATTCTGCCACGTATGTTCGGAACTGGCCGTCTGATGACGAGTTCCCAAAGCCGCTTCAATGTTTGGAACGCAAATGAGGGCTACAATCTACATGGCAGATCCGCCAGCTGTCTAGTGACTAGTGGTCCCCCATGATGGGTTGCCACTGGCATGCTACGAGCTTAAGGCAGGGGCCGCCCCTTCTGATACATCTTTAAGCTTTGCTTTCAATCGGTCCACAGTAAAAGCGCTGTGCCTCTGGATGACGTCCGGCTCTTTCACCCCATCGCAGGCAGGAGCGACCTCATCTCCGGACAGAGACGTTAACTTCAGCACAACCGGTCACCACACGTCCAATGGGGGTCTGACAGATGGCGCACGTGCATCCGTACATATATATATATATATACATATATATATATACATATATATATACATAAAAAAAATGTATGTATATACCTACATGTGTGTCTGCTATTTGTGCACAAGAAGGCGCTCCCACAGGGCACACGGTTGGTTCTGGTAAAAAGCTTTGCGCGTCTGTTGCTGACGACATCAAGCATACTACACGGGACCCCTGGAAGGGATTCATCATCATACTAACCTATCAACCCCCCCATATTCATGTACCTTATATACTTAGCCTGCATGCCTAGGATGGTTCTCCATGCCTTGGCATGATCGCTGTATATCGCTGTAGGGTTGCGTTCCTATCCGCCCGCAAGGCCTGGTATCAAAAGTCACGCAGGGGCTGGATGGTTTTAGGCGCTTGCTTTTCAAATTCCTTCTATAGGCTTGCGTGTAGCTGGCCGGATTTGCTTAAGCACTCAGGGCTTCTTGAACGCAATACCAATGAGAGCAGAAAGCACCATGTGCGCGAGCATGTTCTGTGATGTGGGTTCGGCCACGCAAAGCCTGCAACAGCTGTTAAACAGCTGGCCCTGCAAGTATCAAGGCAAGACTGGCAAGATCACGAGACCATGCCTTGAACAAGCCATCATGTCCAGTCCTACATGCAGTCCAGGCTCATCGAGAGGGTATCGGGCCAGCCTTCCGGGTAGACCAAAGTTGTATCGAAGACGCTGCATTACCAAACTCATGACCTCCTTAGCATCGGGTCCGAGCACTTGAAACTCGGACATGAAACAACCTATAACAACCTATTCACATCAGGTCGAGAGAATACATGTCTCCCCTAGAAGCAACCACGGTCGTGGCCATGCAAGAACCTGACAGCAGAAGCAGCAAGTCCCCCAACGCGGCATGTGAAAACTGGGCTTTTAAACCAAAGAAAATTCCATCGTGTGCTGTGCGCTTCGGACGGGCGTGCTGTGTGCTTCGGACGGGTGACGGGTTCCTCGTGGCCAAGCTTGGTGCCGCAGACGGATCACTCAAGGCGCTTTAAATTTGACAGTATCGGTGCGCATGTAGTGCGAACATGTGACTGAGCGACCCTAGTGAAACCCGTCCAAGACTCCATGAGCTCGTTGCCAGCGCTGCAGGGCTCCGTCGAAATCCAAGGGAAATTGGGAGGTGCACGTGACAGCAGCTGTTCCTTCGGGCCCGGAGACATCCCCCGTTGGCATCTTTCAAGCTTCAAGCTTCGCTGCATTCGCATGATATCGGCTTTTTGAGTGCAATCAGGCTGCACACGAGAAATTCCAAGCGGACTCAAATTCTTCCTTCGTTGGATACACGCACCTCGACATGTGATATCAGAGCCCATTGAGGCGCACATGCACAACTGTTCTGACACCGTGCTGCAACGAATCAGGCCTGAATCTTCCCATGCAAAGCATCAAGCTGAGGCTTTCAGCAAAGCTGAGCATGGCGTTGGCAATGTCGGAGGTGATTCGTCCAGCCTGCCAGCGCGAAAAAAGCGACAAAACCACAGTGTCTCTTCACAACGCCGCAAAAGCTGAAACACCTCGCTGGCATCTGCAAGTGCCCACTCCATCTCCTCCACATGGCCATAGAAGCTGAGCATCATTCCCTCCTTGTCAGGTGTGCTCTTGTACTGGAGACTGTATCGGCATACGCCGGACCCCTGTCCTGCAGGAGCGTCTCCAACTCGCAGTCTGGGGGCAGAGCCCCAATTGACACTAGTGGAGGGCAGTATGCCAGCGCTGGTCCTGCGAATACTTGCTGCACACTCGACCCACAGCACATGCGGACGAACACTCGCCCCCTAGCCCTCGCGCGTGCGCGGTATAGTGTCAGAGCTGGCTTGCTGTCTTAGTCTTGCAGGCTGCTTTTCGCTTTCGGACACGGGCTTTCGCGTCGTCCGACTCGGAACGGGTTCCGACTCACGCGTCCTGACTCAGAGGTATTTTTCTTGAGATTCACTGGGAGTGTGGCCCATGTTCATGCAGTAGGACAGCACGCGCATATGCACCTATACTTGACACGCAAGCAAACGCACAAACGTCCCAAGAACTGATGTCCTTCTGTTGAATCAAAGCGGCGGGCATGGTTTGCAGCTAGGGGAACCTGTCACACCGCTAGCCCAAAATCATGTACGCAAATATATTCTCGTTGCAAACAGGGTGGTCGAAGTGTCTAGGGCTAGCCCTAGCCCAAAGCGTGGTGCGGAAGCGAAGGCGACTAGAGTCATGACTGAGCGCTTGCTCGCGCGCGACTAGAACTATAATTAGAGCGCCCACTGAGCTGCTGCAACGACGGCCGCACCTCTGTAAAAACAAGTACCAGTCGCAGCCAGGCATTAGGCCCAGTCGGCCCAGGCCACATTGCACCATGCGGTGCACCATGCAGCGCACCATGCTGCGAGATGCGCCGCCCTGCTGCCAAAGGGAGCAGCTGCTATAGTCTATGCATACTCTCAAGCACCAAGAGCCAGAGGTCAGGGCGCATGTAACTCACGAAGCAATCACTGAATCGTGCTGACCACATCTTGAACCCGACACTGGCTTCGACAGAGGCGCTCGCGCACTGATGTGAACTTCGTGAACATGAAAACCGCCTTGCTGGGGGCAGCAGCGATGCAGCCCAAGTGAGATAAGTGAGGCTAAGGCTCCTCAGCTGCTCCTCACGCACGCAATCGAACACGGGCATGCAGCATAGCGCGGCACAGCATAGCGCGGCACAGCATAGCACGGCACAGCATAAAGCACGGCACAGCATGGCATGGCACAGCATAGCACGACACGCACTGCTCGCACCTCCCGGCCAACCCCGACCACCCACACAGGCACAATCCCCCACGCACCCGCCACGCACCCAAAACGCCCACACCCACACCCACAATCCCCCACCGCCACTACTCTTGATTGCCACTTACACAAGCGCGAAGTATAGAGGACTCTCGTACCGCGAATGCTGGCCCAAGCCCTGGCAGCAGCAGCATGCAGGCGAACTTGGCTGCCCATGCCCACCCAATCATGCCCAATTCAGGCCCATGTCCGTGGACCCTCACCCCGAACTGGCACCTCCTCCCTCGCTGACTTGGATGGCTCCCCGAGCTACCAGCATACGGACTACCGTAAACTGCAGCCGAAACTTGCAGCCAGGGACCGTTTGAATCCTTGCTTTCAACTTGCCTCTGGGCATGGCGATTGCAAGTCGCTTCAAAGTTCAACCGTTGAAGAGTTCCGGTTCTTTTGCCTTCCGAGCCGGCAAGTTCTCTTTTGTCATGACTCGCACCCCTGGAGCCATGGACTGATGCATCATTCGTCACATCGCAGGTGCATGGTTCATCAGGTCCCGCCGAGGGCGAATTCATGCTTTGAACAAACAATACAGCCGACCGTCTGCTGAGAAGGCCATCTCCTGAAGGCACAGACATGAGGAGATGCTGAGCTATCTTCAGCAAGGCACTGAAACGCGCAAAGCGCAAGAAAAGTCTGCCAGTCGCCTCAGCGATGGGCGCAGGCGCGCAGACTTTGAGTCCGGCCGGCTGCCAGGTGCCATTGAGCTTTACTGAACAGGCGGTGGAGCGGGCACCGGCAGAAGGCCCGCACGGCCTGCTGCAAAGGCGAAGAGCAACTCTCAAGTCACTCCTCGTCTCGCCATGCATCGCCCTCACAGCTAGGGCTGTGGCGACAGTTCTCAAGCAACCAGGCGGAAATCCATATGCCAACGATGATCGCCAGCAGCATTATCAACCACCTCTGACCCAAGTAGAAAGCTGAAACCGCCCCAAGTATGCAAAGTCCCAAGCTGATTTGCACTGAGGCCTGCCGCAACAGCGGCAACAACTCTCCAGCTCCTCGGGCTCCTGCAGAAGATGGGGGGAAGCTGGAGAACAGCTGCAATTCTGCAGTTCCGAGACGAGGTAGTATGAGGGCATCTCCTCGGATGCTTCGCTATCTGCCTGGTCATCCGTGGCAGGGGAATCCTGAAACAGCTTCATCCTGCCATCAAAGACAGGATGTGCAAGGAAATCGTGCATCGAGACCGAAAGCTTATCGCTTGCACGTGCAAGGGCGCGCAAGGTCCTAGCTTCGTCACGCACAGCAGCGGGAGTAACCTTGCAGCCGGAAACCCAACCTTCCAACCTAGGCCTTCACTGAACGGCTCCTGAATGGCGAACCTGCTTGGGCGACTTGGCAGCGTGCTCTTCAAAACATTCTGCAGCCTGAGCAGTTTCGCAGCGAGACAGCTCCAGATGCACCTGGCTCATTCCTAGCGTGCCTTTAAAGTGCCCGCGCCAGTGAGCTTCCCAAGCATTCTGACCTTGGCTTCATGTGCTGAGCACCTCCTCTTTACGGATCAGGTTTCCAACGGCGAGGCGCCATAGAGGGAACCAGCCTGTCCCAGTCCTGGCTCACCTTGCGAACAACAATGAACTGTGGTTGCATTGATTATATATATATATATATGTACGTATATATACATATATGTACATATGTAGTGCCCCCACCCCTCCCAAAAAAAAAATATAAAAACAAAAAACAAAAAAAGGTATGCGCCGGTAGGCAGGGCCAGTCTGAGCTCTAAGGTTCCCTCTAAGCCCAAAGCCCTGAAACCCCCAAAGCCCTTTTTTCTCCAAAACGACAGAGCCCCAAACCAGAAGCCCTGAAGCCCAATAACCCCTAAAACCTTCTTCCCTTTTCGGAACCTACTTCCGAGCGGATTTGGGGAATGAATGAATGGACAACCGTTCCGCCAACCACAGAGGCTTACCTGGTAGTCTTCCGGCTTGGGTCGGATTCCGATTTGCACGCCGAGGCCTTTAAAAGTAAAGATTTCATTGCCACACGCGGAGGGCCCAGAAGACTGGCTGGGCCCGGGGGGGAGGAAGGGGCGCGCGACTGTCAGGAGCTCGATTCCAAAAGTTCCTAAGAACACCCGACCATCACATGCTGTCTAGCTTCCGCCAATCGGACCATGCTCTCGGCATCCTCCTTGCTACAACGCCTAAGCTCAGCTTGCCGACCGCAACTGCAAGATTACAAAATGACGCATACGCTTTATTTGATTGATCCAGACTTGCTTCAAGCATAGGCACTGCGATGCCTCGCGTAGCTGAAATGTCCTTGGCGCAGCTGCGTTAGACTCGCTTCTCGCTGCCATCCCACTGCGCAGATTGTCTCAGGAGTGCCTCACTGCTTCCCTCGCCAGCTTGCGATGATCTGCCTGCTGTCTGCAGGAACTCTCACCCCGCTGCAAGGGGGAACGAGGGTCATCAGGGGCTCAGGAGGGTATCACCTCGAAAAGATAAGCGAAGTGTGGATCCGACTCGTTGACCTGGTCCAGAGCGACGGAGCTCATGTTCAGAACCGGAAGTGACAAATCTGCGTGGTGGGCCTGCCCAACCACCATAAGACCTTTGACAAGCGCCTCAGTCCCGGTTCTGCCATCTTCTGCCCAAACGCAAACAGGGCACAAGGCAAACCACGAGAACCAATTTTTCCGCTCGCCATGACTGCTTTGCAGTTCGCAGGCTTGCGCCCAAAACTGTGACTGATAAAACAGCTTGCGGACCCGTCCTGCCCAAGCAGCCGAGAAAGCAAGCAGGCAACGCTGCAAAACGGCTCGTGCTTAACACGAGGCAGCAGTCGGCCGATTCTGACGGCCCAGACATCAGACGAACTGTAACCAAGAAAAGCTATATAGCGAGAGTTTGTCTCAGAGGGTGCCATGCTTCTGCCTTCTGCTCACAGGACCGATCATTCATGATGGATCAGACATGGCCTGGATGCACCTGGCAGCAGTGAAGCCAATTCTACGGCAAAGTGAAGTAAGCGTGAAAACTGGGAAGTTGGCATCGAGAAAACCTCCAACAGGCATGGGCTTGAAGGTACATTCACATGCTAAACGTCTTCGAAGAGAGAGAAGTCATTGTCAGACATCGCATGCATCTCTGTGTCCCAGACATCCCTCTCCCTACAAACTTTTCACACACACGCACATGCAAACGGATAGAGACACAGGCAACGCTTCTTCATGAGCATTTTTCAGAAGGAACACATAGAACCTTCAGCTCTCCAGCGTAGAAGAAGCCCCGTCGAACCCTATCGAACCAGTCACGAGTTCGTCGACCTCCGTCGAACCATTTGGTCCAGTTCCATCCAGTTTCGAGCGTTTCCGCCGTTAGGCCTCGGGCCCTGACTCCTAGGTGGGTTTAACAGCATAAATACAACATTCCCTTCTAGCTTAACCACGCAATGCAATCATTCTCCCTCACGATGTTGCGTTGCAGCCCTCTGAATGTGGACCGGGGGGGGGGTGAAAAAGACGTGCCAGCACTTTCTTTTGGCCGCCTCTGCGTCCAGATCCCCGTCCACCACGTCCACATCGACCACCAAGTCCAAGAAGTCCTCTTGCAAGCCGCGCACAGCACTTCCGTCAAGCATGGGGCGGGACAAACAAAACCACAGTGTGACCCATGATGCTGCCTCTACGTGCAACATAATGGAACTGATGACCTGCAGCAGCTAGTTTTCTAAATCTGCCAGCACGCGCGGGGAGGGAGTGGGGGGCGGAACTGCACTGCCATCAACGGAAAAGCAGCTTAGGCCAAGTAGCCTCTTCTGACACCTCTGGCACCACTTGGAGCCGCCACCTCGTGAGCTCCACGTGACAGTACTGCATGCACATGTAAGCGAATGAAAGCAAGACACGCGTCATCTGTGCGAGTCTCATCTTGTGCAGACTGCACCATGACTCCCACTACCTGCACAACAACAAGCATGGGCAGCGTGCAGCGGCGACTGCACATTGCGAATTTGCGGCCTCCTCAGAGGCGATATCCAGCACCTGAAGGATCTGAAGGATACAACGTCTTATGGCATGGTGGCCAACTCGCACTTTGCTTTGTACTGGGCGTGGTCAGCTCTGTAGCGGGCCTGGGTACTGTCCAACGTATCCAACGTGCACGCAGACAGTGGGCCCGACGCTCGACTAGGCGAGGAGTTTCGACGTGCCTCGGGTGTCCTCCCAAACGTGCAATCTAGGTCTAGCCTGCAGGGAAACGCGCACAAGGTCTGCACACGAGGATGTTGCCTTTGGTAACTTGAATGACACCATGTCAATGACGATCCGAGTTGGCAAGCTTAGCAGCGCTTGAAAACTTGAGCACCCACTTCCTCCTTGCACGGTGCTTGTCGAATACAAGTTTCATCTCATCTTCCGCGGTCCATCTCAGACTGTCCGCCACTTGCCACGCCTGCTCATCATTCTAGTCATGTCTTATGCAGACTGTAGTGTACCATGAGTCCCACTCCTGAGTATAGCAGCAGGGACTGCAACGACTGCACATTGATAAGTTCTGGCCTTCTCGCGAGCCACACCCTGGACCTGACATGACTGTCCGCTCAGCTCTTGCTTCGTCATGGGTGTGTGGTCAGCCTTGTAGCGGGCCTGCGAACTGTCCAACGTGTCCAACGTGCACACAGATGTCCGACTCGATGAGGAGTCCAGACGTGCCTCGGGTGTCCTCCCGTACGTAAAATCTAGGAAGGTCCAAAGCGAGGCCAACTCCCATGAGGACTGCACACAGGCTTTTGCCTTTCACAGCTTGGATGAAATCACGTCTAACACGATCCGAATTGTCAAGCTTTGTTGAAACTTGAGCGCTCACCCCCTCCTTGCACAGTGCTCGTCAAATGCAGGTTCCAGACTCACAACGGCCTGCAGATCTTTTCAACTGTGAGAAAGGCAATAAACCACGGAGCACCAAGCCTGGTCATCGTTTTGAGTCTCATCTTGCGCAAGCTGTACCATGAGTCCCGCTACCTGAGCACAGAAGCACAGAAACAAAACATGGCCGGCATGCTGCAACGACTGCATATCACTGATTTGCGACCTCCTCGCGAGCAACAGTCTGGACCTGAAGGGTGCAAAGTCTTATGGCATGGCGGCCAACTCGCTTCTTGGTTTGTCATTGGTGCGGTCAGCTCTGCAACGGACCTGCGAGCTGTCCAACGTATCCAACGTGCACGCAGATAGTAGGCCAGACGTTCGACTCGACGAGGAGTTCAGGCGTGCCTCGGGTGTCCTCTCAAACGCAAAATGTAGGAGTGGTCAATGACGATCCGGCTTAGGAAACTTGAGCACTCACTTCCTCCGCTCACACTTCTCGTGGAATGCAGGTTCCAGACAAGCAGCGACCTGCTCATCTTTCAGCTAGCACAATTGCAACCAACTTGCTGCAGATCAACATGCCTGGTCACCGTATTGAGTCTGCACCATGAGTCCCACTACCTGACACCAACAAGCCAGGGCCATGGGCAGTGTGCTGCAGCGACTACGCATTGCCCGTTTGCGGCCTCCTCACAGGCGATATCCATCACCTGAAGGATATGATTGTCAACTTGGATTTTGCTTTGGTATTTGTGCCGTCAGCCCTGTAGCAGGCCTGGGAGCTATCCAACGTATCAAACGTGCACGCAGATAGTGGGTCAGACGTCCGACTCGACGAGGAGTTCAGACGTGCCTCGGGTGTCCTCGCAAACGCGCATTCTAGGTCTAGCCTGAAGTCAAACTCCCACAAGGGATGTTGCCTTTGACACCTTGAGTGACACCATGTCAACGACGATCCGAGTTAGCAAGCTTAGCAGCGCTTGAAACTTGAGCGCTCACTTCCTCCGCGCACACTTCTCGTGGAATGCAGGTTCCAGACAAGCAGCGGCCTGCTCATCATTCAACTAGCACAAAGGCAACCAACTTGCCGCAGATCAACATGCCTGGCCACCGTATAGAGTCTCGTCTTGGGCAGACTGCACCATGAGTCCCACCACCTGACACCAACAAGCCAGCCGCCGTGGGGAGTGTGCTGCAGCGACTACGCATTGCCCATTTGCGGCCTCCTCACAGGCGATATCCATCACCTGAAGGATATGATTGTCGACTTGGATTTGCTTTGTCATGGGCGCGGTCAGCTCTGTAGCGGGCCTGGGTGCTGTCCAACGTATCCAACGTGCACGCAGATAGTGGGCCCGACACTCGACTCGACGAGGAGTTCAGGCTCTTGACAGGCTCCTGGCCAATCAATCAATTCCTTTAGCCAAAGGTGAGCCAGTCAAGCTGCCCGCCAAAACAGGCATCCCCAAATCCTTAACTGATGGCAGATCTGAGCTGGAGACCAAGTCCTCGGGCACGTCGGAGTCCAGCGCTTCCACCAGGCCAGCTTCCACAGCGCAGCGGATTCTTCGCTGAAGATCGTTCGAACACCCTTCCTGTCTCAGTGCCCGCAACAAGACCCTCATAAAGGTATCTCCTGGGCTCCGGGAACACATTGCACAATCACACCTGCCATCTGCATGCCATGGTATCTCAACGTGTCACGACCTCCCAACAAGAAGCCAAGGTGCTTAAACTACTGCCCACATACTCTTCATCCTCTTCATACTCTTGGGACGCCTGGGCCTCGACCGGCTGCTCCTCCTTGCATCGGATACCAAGCACGAGTACCGTGGCAGCCACAGCCAGCTGCACACTTGCGTCTGTCCAACCGAATCTGTTCATGAAGCGAGCTTGGGGGCGGGGGGGGGGGGGGTTAAGGCCTGCAGCCTATGTAGTCTGTATGGCACATGCTTCTACAATCTCGCAGGCGATACTGCATCTACTCTGATTCAGGCCTTGCTCGTGTTTCAAGGGACTACCAAAGGTTCTGGTGTGATTTCTTGGGGGGGGGGGGGGGGGGAGGGCGGCCTGACCAACACAGGACTCGCAGCAATGCTTACAGAGTCTTTTTCCGGAGCTCCTGCATCTCCACCAAGTTCTGCTCATCACCCGCAGGACCCTCACCCTCCAACTCTCGAGGGGGTTCACCTTGATGATCTTCGTGATCTTCATGATCTTCATGATCTTCATGATCTTCATGATCTTCATGATCTTCATGATCTTCAGGTGCTTCATGCGCGTCATCAGCTTCTTCAGCTTCATCAACTTCATGCGGTTCAGGTGCTTCATGTGCGTCATCAGCTTCATCGACTTCATGTGGTTTCTGTGATTCATGTGGTTCCTCTTGCACGACCGATTTCGAATGGTCCTGTGCTTCCTGCACGTCGCTTTGCTGCGCCTCTTCTGGCACTGCTAGCTCCTGTACCTCGGTCACCTCGGTCTTCTTCGTTTCCTTTTCACCGGGTCTGTGTCGCCGCTTCGGAGGTGGTATCTTTGGCGGAGCAGGCTCCTTTGATCAGTGTGATGTTTGACTGTAGAATCCGGCCATCTTTTCTACTGCAGCAAAGTCTCGTAGGCTCTTGGTGCAACAGTAGCAGCAGGTTCCGCTGGCATGGCCAGTTGCCGCCAACCGGGGCCTTGCCATATTGCCAAGTGATTAGTTTGTTTCTTTCTCCCCTCGCCTCGCATCTGTCTCAGAAACCGCTACCATGGCTTACCATAGACGCTGCGGCCCACGTCGTCATCTTTGGACTGATTGTGGGTCTCCTGCGCGACAGGCATGACACTGTCAAGATCCGCCTGCAAGTTCACCCCAGCACATGCGACTTCAATCTGCTGCAGAAGGCCAGGCCATGGCAAAATGGAGGTGGCGAGCGCTTGCACAAGCACATGTCCGATTCCAGCAAAGAGCCTGAGCTCCTGCTGCGAATTCTGGTTGCTTGGCTTCGCTATCGTGAAGTTGTGCTCAATGTACGTGAGCCCGTTCTGGCCTCAGCTTTGTTGGACAGGTCATGCCAGTCTGCGCAACCGCACGCGGCCCTGCGATCGAGCCCGGCTAGCCGCTGTGTTGGTCCATACATGGCCAGGTGGCCCTGCAAGCCAGGCTGGGTTCGCCTTGCAACGAGGGCTTATAGGGCTCGCATGAATGCCTGCGCTTGTCTGAGTCTGTGCACCATTTTACGCGGGCATGTCTCGGGTGGACCCGACGAGGAGCAGGGGTACGAGACATGTTGTTTAACTGCAGTCGAAACACGGAGGAGACGGAGATGGCGATGTCGCCAATTCGCCTACCCACGTCAGAAGCTGTGCATGGGAACCCTTTGTTGCCTTTGCTCTGCGCCCAGTGGGCGGATGGATGGACAACCCCTTGATTTTTTTCGTGCCCCACGTCATGTATTGCCAATATACTGCCCATGATGATGAGCAGGCGTCTAATCGTAACGAAAACGGTATTGATTTTCATATAGCAGAACATAAAGATAAGGTGTCAAAAAAGGCCGATGCCACCGTTTGCAAACAGACCGGTTGCTTCTAGCATGCACGGGTTACAAAGCAAAGGGGTTATGGGAGTGGGATGCTCCCAAAGCGTTCACAAAGGAGGAAAGCTGCAAGGGGGAAGCGATGAACCAAATGTGGCGGTGATCCAGCCATCCACCCCGCTTCGTCCGAGCACAAAGTGGTCGCATCGAAGACAGCGGGCCCAATGCTTTCACAGAAACGCGGCTTTCACTGCACATTCCGAAGCTCTGGGAACGCCAAGGCAACTCAGAAATTACCGCACTGCACCTCGTCTGCCCTTCTGCCGCCGCCGCTTGGCACCAGGACTAAGCACGATGATCTTGATCTGCCGGAAACTCAGAGCTAATGTAGATGACGTGGCATCCCCGAGCCTATCTGTCCGAAGAAACGAGTGCCCGCCCAACCTCATCATCTGGCCTGACCAGATGCTGGGTCCGACTCTCGTGTTGCGAATACACACGCAGAAAACTCGAGAACACCAAAATAGGCCCAACATGCCTGACTCACCGCTTGCCATCGAGTTGCTGCCCAGGCTGAATCTTCAGCGGGGCCAACCGAGCCTTGACTTGCGGCTTTGTTGTCCAAAGCAGTGGCACGGCGTCGTGGTCGGCTTGGCCAACATCCAACGCGCGTGCAACCTGGAAGAGTTGGGAGAAAAGCCGATTGACGTGCACTTGTACATCTACGGTTTGCCAACATGTGCTTCCAAGACTCAGCAGGCGGGAGCAGCATCTGTAGGTCGGCTGCTGCGCATCAGGAATACCTCCGCTTCTGACCATGAGCCAGTGCCGCCTAGCCAAGTTTGTGTTAATAAAGACCGTTGCTGGCCTCGGGCAACTCCGGATACGGGCTGCCCCCCACCATACAAGCGAAGCTCGACCCGAAAAGGAAGGAGTAGCGGAACAGGGCTATTCTGCAACAAGCTGAATGCCCATCTGCAGCAGCCTGCCATAGACTGCAGATTACCAACCAAAACCGTGCCCCCTGCCAGCGCAGCCGCAGGAGCATCAGAACCTTACTACTGGTTGCGAGTCAGACTTAAGCAGCACGCATCGCCAAGTAACCAACGAACGATGTCACACGATCTGCACCCCTCAGCACCCTCGGTGGACCAAGGCTTTGACTGTCAATATACACAGCAGCTTCGAGAGCAGACATGACGATGGTTTTTTTCATGTCTGCCTGGCGCGTACACTCTTGAGGCTTAACAGGAATACCGGATCGCATTGCTGCCAGCCTGTGAGCGCTCGAGAATCATATTCAGCTTCAACTCCAAGTTTGTGAGCTGCCCTCAGGCAAGACTTACATGCAACTTCGGATGGTGCATCGTACGCATGGAGCTGTGTAGCAGGTCATGGGCCTATTGGGCTGCCATGATTGAGCGACCTGCTTCAGAGTCAGCATGTCACATTCAAGCTAGAACTGAGAGGCAGCATGCTTTAAACGCAAACACGCACGCTCGCGTGCGCTTAGGCAGAGTCACACATGCACACTAACATTCGTGCATTCACACCCACCCGCCCGCGCACATGCATGCCGCGCACCTACACGCAGGCCCAGGCTCTGGCACGGACAGAAAGCCACAGCGTCAAGCTTTCCATCTAGTTGCAAGGACGGCCTCAAAATCTTCGACAGGTTCGTAAGCAGGCGCCAAGCCTCGCAGGCGACAAGGCAAAAATTTTTCCAAAGAACTCATGAATGCAAACTTCCAGGCATCGCGCACTGTGCAGTGCCCCCATCAGCCCGAAGACTTTGGATATCATGCTCCATGGGACTGTCTGCCTTGGCACGGCACGCAGCAGACAAGCCCTAACTCAGCATAACACACATAAGGCAAAAAAATCTGCATGCTTGACTGAGCATCTGGCGGGGCTCTCATGACTAAGTTTCTAAGTCCTGGAATTTCTAAGGCATGAAGGTTCACAAGCGCACTTGCACAAAAGAGTCTCCCTGCCGCCCATGCCTGGATGGTGCTTCAGGACTTGGTATTGCAAATCCAGGTATGGCGGCAGCTGGTTCATGAACCTCGGCTGTAACAGTGCCTCCCTGCCAGAACCCTGTCGCACTTGCACAGGATAATTTTCCTCGCCCCACCCACAACAAATCGAAGCTCCAAGCGATCAGACCTGTGGGTTGACCTATACACCTATACGGCTCCAGAAAAGGCCATAGAGCAGCTGTCAAGAAGTGATGCTTGACCAGCGGCTGGAGCATTGTGTAGATGCCTGTGCCCACTACATCTTTGTGCAGCGGGGCGCGCAGCAAGTCACAACAACCTGCCTGCCAAAACAATCCCGTGAAGGATCATTGCCAAGATGCCCGAAATGAGTCCTTGCCTCCACGTCTTGGGAGACAAAACAAACGTGTCATATTGGTGTTCAAGCTGCCCGCGAAACTCTTCTAGCTGCATCCACCACGCCTCAAGTAAAGACTTATGACCTTGGCATGACGATGCATGAAGCCAAGGTCATGAGCGGATTGAAGCAATAGCCCGCCCAACATTGCAGATCGGGCCCCCCTGCAGGCCATGCCAACCTGAATCAAGCACCATCGAAATGCACGACCTCACACCCTACAGCACGAAAACCAACGAAGCTCTCGAGCCCAACATGGCAGCCGAGCGACCATGGGGCAAGTGGTAGCAAGAAATCATGGAGGTGCACACACCTTCACAACAAGCAAAGTAAGGCCATACAAGGCCGCGGATTCGTGGCATTCCGAGCACCCAAGTTGTGGCTCAAAACCGGAGGCACCCGGTCAGCCGTGCCCGCTGCAGGTCGGATCCATATTCTTGGGCTTTGGCCTCTCAACGCGGCTGCCGTGCCTTGTCAACCTTTCAACACGCGTCAAAGTCAACATGTAAGTTCCGGACCCGAGTCTTGGCATTGAAAGCTTTTCCATATTTCTCGCGGTACCTTCAACCCCATGATTGCCAAAATGTCCACTGCTCTCGTTGAATGATTCACTTCCTGCTCACGTGGGCAGCTTCTTGGCGAGCCTCGATGCAGCGACGCACCACAACTATGAGCCCCGGCCGATCGCGACTCTCCGATGCTACATGCTGCCGGTGTCTGCGCAGCGTGCGTACCCAAGAAGAAGCAATTGCCAGAATCGGCCTGACAGCAATTCATTTCGCTTAACCCAGCATGTCGCAGCACTCATGCTCCGGGGCGTCTTGTTTGCAGAAAAGTCTCGATGCTCAACGCTTCGTTCTTCCATTCCTCGAGAACCTGGCAAGCCAGCTCAGATGGAACGGGTGGTCATTCATCGGCCACGATTTCCTGCAGGCATCCACACTAGACCAAGGAAATGCAGGAAAACCGTCGGCATGGATTTGAATGCGGGTGTCTGAAGACCGTGAACTGCATGAGATGACGTCGCCATCGCTCATGCTCAGCTGATGCTACATCCTTGCAGAGCTCTGACATGCCAAGCAGAAAACTGAGCTGGAAGCCAGGTCTGAGTTCGTCGACTCCAAATCCTCGCGCTTCTTCTGGAGGCACTGCCGCAGCCTGCACGTGCTGCATGTATGGCTCGATGTGTCGTTTCGTGTAGTGAGTCATGCTTCAGACTGAGAGTAGGGCCGTCGTAAGAAGGTCTCGTCCAAGTGAAACTCCTAATTAACAAGAAGAGCCTATTACTTCATTGTTCCAATCCATCATTGTTACTAGTTAGTCTCTACCTGCATGACCGATCCACTGTCCTGTCCTTGATCACTTTGTCGCGCTCCTCCTGGATCGCCTCCTCTGCCAAATCCAAAGCCCCAGGCAGCTTTGCTGAGGGAAGCTGTCCAGACAAGGCCTCAAGAGCAATTTTTTAGACAGGAGATGGGCACAGATAGGGCGCAACAAGCGATCCTCTGCGTGCGCGCCGAAGCTCTCGCAAAGTTGTGCGATATGCGAATCTTCAAAAGCTTCTCGGGCCTCATTTTGTTGCTAACACAACCTGTGGTCTCGACATAAGCAAGCCAACCATGAGCTGAGATCTTGGCTAGTGATACACTAAAATGGTCATTCTGCACTAGATCCACGTACATTCGAAGATGCGCAGCAATGCTCGCAGCCTGCTTCTGGAACACACGACTGGCGACAAAGTCTTGACATGAGGAACTGGTTCCTGACCAGCACTCATTTTTCAGCCTGAAGAGGCCGCGCGGTCTGTAGCTCCTTCAACCTTGGCACGGCAGTGGCTGAAGGCAATGCAAACTCGGCAATTCCAAGGCTGCAAGCAAAACAGCAACACGTTGCTTCCTTGCTATTGGGCCAAAGAGCACGAGGACTCGCAACGCTTGCGTGGCTTCGATGTACTCGGGAAGGAGCTCCTTGAAGTCCCAAGCACCATTCTTGCATAAACTATCAGCGGTCACATGCGCCCACCGAGCACGAAAATCTGCAACACAGTGCCGTGAGAGGGTATGAAAGGATAAAAAGATACGAAACCCTGACAAACGATGTGATAAGATATGATGTGAGATTATACGATATGTGATATGATACGATATGGTATGACATACAACATATTCACCTCGGCTTCCCAGAGGCGTCTAGAACAAGCAGACCAGCCCCCTTCCCAACCCAACCAGAAACTTTCTGCGACCCCACACCCAGTCCAGCCCGCACCCCCCCCCCCCCACCTCCGCCTGCCCTCCCCCCAACCCTTACCTGAAAAGGGGCTCCACCGCTCCCCCCCCCTCCCCCCTCCTCCTTTCCCTGAAAATGAGCCCCCGCCCTCCCCACCCCCCCACCTCCCTGCCCCTCCCCCTAAGCTTGACTCGCACCTTTAAGGGCTCCAGTCCATGCGCCGTTGGGCCCGAGGCGCGTCCACACGCCGCCGACCCGGTTGGCTCGCCAACATCCGGCTCCAAATTCGGCTTTCCGAAGGGCATCATGTTGTAGGAGGGTTTAGGGCGGCAGGACTTCGAAGGACGCTGCCATAACATGGCGCTCGACGTGCCACCCCCGCATACGCCTGCGTGCGCGCGCGCGCGCGCGGAAAAAAACACCAGTTCCTGTTGTGGTTGTTCTTGTGGTTGTTGTTGTGGCTGCTCCACCCGGGGCGTGCCCGGCTGTGGGCGACAGCCCCATTAGATAAGTTTTTGGGGAGAATACATGACAGCTTGAATGTTGAGACTTGGAAGCCACTATTTCAAGCCCTTATAATGCTACTGATAACTCGAAGACACAAAAACTGGTAAGCCCAAAGCCCGGAAACTTCAGTCTCAAAGTGAGGGATTAGAAATACATTGGCTCTACTCGTCAAATTTCACTGTCCAGGCCCAAGCCTGCCCAAACCCTAAACCGGCCTCAAACACACACAGGAAGACAAAGCATCACATTTTGCGTGAGTAAAACTTGGTTTTCTGTTGCTGTTGTTAGCTGAGGCTTGCACAGCTTCCACGGCGGCTCTTTTTGTTTCGGAGGCGCTAGATTCGCTAGATGTTTCCCACACGTGTTTTTTGTTTTCTTCGTGTATTTCTTTGCAAGTTTTCGCCGTTTCTGTTGGGAGGGCGGGGCGAATCCTCGGTATTTACAGCATTTTCGGGCCTTTTGGAGGGAAATACTCGGTATTTACAGCACTTTCCGCACTCCTCCTTTATTTTTGTTTTCATTTCTGTTGCTTCCGGTTGTGGGCATTGGCCGCTGTCTTCTGCATGCTTGGCTTTCAGTTGCTGGCGGGCGTCGGAAACTTCGGTATTTACAGCGCTTTTGCGTCTTGGGCCAAAAGAAGCAAAGCTTGCAGCAGCAGCTGCCCACTTGTGCCAAGCCTTGTAGGGCCGACTGCACTACAAAGGACACTGCTGTTGGCGGAAAATGCAAAGCACAAATCACGAACTTTTCCGGGACATGTGTGTCGCCAAAGCCCCACGGTTTTAGAACACAACCCTTCCACGGCGGCGAAAGAAACGGCTACCTAGTTTAGGGGCTTTTTGTTTTTTTTTGAGAAGGACTGCAGTGCGATTTGCCCTCATAGGCGCCCGGCGAAGCCTCTGACCAAGCACTACTGGCTGACACCAGAAGCAAGCTGCACGTGTCGCAGCCACCCTACTGGCACAACTTGAAATGTGACTACCTTCTGATTGCTTTGGTATATCTGACGACTGCATTCATAAGCTCAGTTTCACGACTTATACACTCTTCTTCACTGATGAGGAAGTGACTGGAAAGCCAACATCCCACCATTTGAAGATACTTAACGCAGATCTCTACTGCATCACTCCAAGCACCACCGTGGAATGACTGTACCATTTGCTGCCATCCTGTATCTTGTCTAACCAGACAAGCAGAAGGGAATCTTGCCGCGAAAAGCAATACAGACACATGCGGGCTGAGGCGGGGTATCAACCCCAGGACCTGCTGCACGGCCTGTTCGGCCTGGGCCGCCAGACCCGCCACAGTGAACACTGTTGACTCACCGCTCGGGCCCGGAAGTCCAGGATATGAACGTTGGAGGGGCGTTGCCGAAGCCACTCCTGGCAAAGAGCTCAAGAGGTTTTGCCTCTGCTCCTTCTTCTGGCGCCGATCTTGCGCATCTTTTGTCTTGCCCTTTCCCCCACCCTTGCCAGGCTTAGCCCCCGGAGCTGGTTGGGGGAATCAATCGGACACGTCGATGTCTTAGAAGTCCTGAAAGAGCCCGTGGCTTTTTCGGAAGAGACGAGGCTCCTCTCCCTTGCCTCCGTGATGGCGCCGGCATGGTCGCGAGGGCTGCCCGGAGGCAACTGCAGCCAAAAGGCTTGGGGGCTGGCCCGGAACCCCTCTCACATAAGTTTGGGTTTCTGCTGCCAAGGAGCAGGCGGCGGCGAATCGCACTTGCGCCACGTCCGCTCGGACCACGTTGGAGAAGACGCCATGGGGAAGGGCGAGTCAGGATTTTCGGAAACAGGCATTTTATCATGGCTTCCATCTGTGATCCTGGAGCATCGTGCACTTCATGCTGCCCTTTCAGACCGCGCCCCGAAGGTCATGATGCATTGGATGGGTCCCCGATTGTACGTGGCTGGGCACAGGTTGCGCCGTGCTGGCAGACCACCGCAGTTCGACTCGCGCGTCGTCACGTTTTCAGTCATGTTTGCTCTACTGTGTGCTGCGTTCGCAGGTCAGATGCTTGCCATGGACCTTGCAGTGGAGCAGACAAAGGCGAGCCCCTGTGAAGCATGGTGTGAGCATCCGCTACAACGTTCCTTGAGACTATGATCCAGGCTTTGCTCAAGTAAGTAGCTTGAAGACAACTACTTCCTCTGTTCTTGTCTCAAATCATGAGACCAAAGTGGCCCTGCACACCCCCAAACCTTAACACGCTACACCCTAAACTTAAGCCCCAACTCTTTTTGCATCCAGGCTTGGGTGAGCGTGCCGGGAAAGAGCTCATGCTGCCCAGGTTCGTTGTAAGCCCCCAACTCCAAACCCTAAACCCTGAACTTTGGCACACGGCGCCCAAAACAAACAAACTAAACTAATCGTGTTAGAGAACAAGGTCAGGGGAAAATGTAGGAAAGCGTGGCAGGCACAGCGAAATCGTGTCTTTTGACCAACCCCAGCGGTCGCATCCAAGAAGCAAAATCAGGTCTTGTTTTTGTGACCAGTTTCTAGGGGCATGGAAGCTCCCACGCACTGGTAACATGGACGAAATCGTCGCGCGGGCAGGGATGCTCTGGCCAGTCCCACGTACTGGCAACATGCACAAAATCGTCGCGCAGGCATGGATGCTCTGGCCCTTCGCACGTACTTTCATGCGTTCATTCACTCTGTTCATTCGCTTATATATTAATATAATGCCTTCTCTTCACAGTATTAAGATTATTCATGGTGTGTGAAGAGAGCGGAGTGAGTGAATAAGCGAATAAATAAAGTGCGCGAAAAGAATATTATGCCGGCGTGCGAAAAGAACTGTGCGCACGCCAATAATTCTGGGAACATGGACGTAATCATCGTGCAGACATGGACGCTCTGGCCCTTCGCACGCGCTGGCAACATGGACGTACTGATCTCGCGAGCCGGAAAGCGAAGATGTGCACCTGAGCGAGTCAGGGTGTTCTTTTTTGTTTGCGCCGCAAGCCTAAGTTTAGGGCTTAGGGTTTGGAGTTGGGGGTTTAAGGTTTGGGGTTTAGGGGTGTACAGGGCCACTTTGGTCTCATGATCTGAGACAAGAACAGAGGAGATAGTTTTCTTCAAGCTATAAGTGTACTTACTTGTAAATGTGTGTGCATGTAATATCTGGATAAATATGTCCGACAGATGGCTGACAGCGGGCACAGTTCTTAGATGCCTCCTCCTGTGTTTGTTGCGGTGCCTGTCCGGGGCGTGTTTCGATTTTTTTTTGCGCCGCGCGCCGTGGTCACTCCTTTTTGGGCTTAAGGTTTGCCCCTCTCCACATTAACTGCAAACCAAGTCACGCGGGTGACAGGTCCTGACAAAAACAAATGGATTACAGTCAGCGTTCGATAACTGGTAGTGTTGAAGCCCTGCCTTTACCGCGGCAATGCCTGCCAAAAAACACAGGACATTTTGGGCTCCAAGGCACGTCCATGGTGGCGACATTGGCGACTCACCTTTTCTTCTTCCTCCGCACGGAGCCTTTCGGAAGTCGGGACTCGCTGCAGAGGGCTCTTGCGACGGCTTATGGATGAGCGGATTTATAGGGCTTCTCATAATTAAATAGGGTTTATGCGGCTTGTTATAGGGATGTTGAGGGAGCTCGGCTTTCAGACCAAAAGTAAGCTTGGGAAGTCTCACAAGTGAGATCCTTGAGCCAAAATGGCTACTAGTTTAGGGGCTTACCTAAACTATCTACGTATCAAAACTGTATAACCTCGGACCTGAGGTTAGATGATTTAGAGAGTTTAGATAGTTTAGAAACTTTCTAACCTTCTGGGGCCTTCTCAAAACAGTAGATAGTTTAGGTAGTTTAGGGGCTTACCTAAAATCTAAGGTATCTAAACTATCTTTTTTGCATCTAAACTATCTAACCTATCTAACCTTGCACCTGAGGTTAGATAGTTTGGGTAGTTCAGGTGCTAACCTGAACTATCTTTTTACAACCAGGTCTGCACAGCTGCCGGGAAAGTCAGGCTCACACAACCAGCTTCACAGTTCTCGTGACTGCAAGGCTAGCTGCGTCACCCTGAACTACTTTTTGCAGCTGGGACTCTTTGATGCCAGGCAAAGCTGCTTAGCAGCAGAACGCTTCTGAAAGCTGTGAAATCCTGAACGCCTGAAAAGCTATGAAATCTCTCGAACTCTCTCAATGTGCTCATCTGCTACAACAGAGACACTCCAGACCTGATGATATTCCTCCAGGGCTCGACTTGCCAGCCCCACGACACCAGGATAACACTCATACAGAGTCTCGGTCATGCTAATTTCAAACACCCAGAACGGATAGCGCATGCGAGCATAGTGAAAGAACTGCCAAATGTCTGAACACATGTCATCAATATCCCAGGCAACCAGACCCTCTTCAGTGTCAACCCACACTATCCGGAGCTGCGAGCCAGTGAATAGTACGACCACATTGAAGAGCCACGATACATGCTGTAAGATGCTATGTTGCCACCGCTTCCACAGGCCGGCATGCAGATGACTGTGCATCTCTGCCAGGCTGATGCTGTGAAAGTGCCTTCTGCCAGTCTCACGCCAGCACTCACGGTCAGCAGCTTTAGCAAGAACCATGGCAACCTGAACATCTTCTCCATACGCGGCGCTAGCCGTCCGCAAGAGCCAGTGCAGTGGAGAATTAGGAAATCCACCTTGGGGTCTATGGAGGGAAGCGTAACTTGCGGGCCGGGTGTTGAGGAGGTCTTCGAAGAACATGACCCAGGTAACCCCATAGTCTCATTCTCCACTGCATGGTCCAGGAGAAACCAGAGTGGCGTTGAAGGTAGAGCAAAGTCCCTCGTTTTCTCAAACGATGCAAAACCATGGCCTGATCCCGCCCTGCATCTTCAGGGATAAAAAGGTGCATGAACGACTGTAGCGCAGTGGCCTGAAGAGTGTTTACCTTTTTGATACCAGATGCTGTAGGGACCAACACCGGGGTAGCCCACAGCCACTTGCTTCCAACATAGCGATTCAGCAGATGCAGGGCCAATGCAGGCTGTGCCCATGTCAAACCTTTAAGCACAGGAGCCATCTGTACAACTCCGTGATGTACACTACGCTGGACAAAAGGCAGCCAGAGGTCCCAGGAGGTTTCCCCGACCGAAGTGTGGCGCAAGGGCTTACGTAGGTAAGCAGTCTCGGATGTCCAGGTGTACTGGTGTAGCACATGATCATCAGGGACTTCCCGTCGACCTCTGGCCAACATCTCAGGCCTAGCAAAAACTTGGGTCTTGGCGGGATTGAACTGAAGTCCAATGGCGTGCAAGGCCTGCTGTATCCTGGGGAGAAGTCGCTTAGCCACAGTCCAGTCATCAAAATGTAAAATAAGATCATCAACAAAAAGCCATCCCCATTGACCGAAAAAACTGCTTTCACCTTCAGACTCCCATTGTGTGAACTGCTCTTGCACCACATGACCTATGAGGTAACTGAACAAAATAGAGCTGAAAGTGTGCCCCTGTTGTATTCCCCTAGTCTGGTCAATATGCCACTCCTCCCCTTGGTACACAAAGCGAAGCGAAGGTCTGCATATAACCCGGAGAAGCTGAAGGGCTTCACGCGCAAGCTCCGGATTCGTATGGTCACAAACAAATCTGGCCACGGATGCATGGTGGATACTGTCAAAAGCCGCCTGTATATCAGCATTGACCCAAACCCTACTCTTGTCAGCAATACTTTCGCAGTAAGTTTGCCAGTGTGCTGAGGCTAGCGCATCCGCGACTTGCCCTCCCGGCAGGCCGCCAAACTGGCATGGCGCCACCGGCCAGCAACCCACGAGACGACGAACCAGCAGTGTGCAAAACAGTTTAGTAGAAGCTTCAACGAGGTTTATGGGGCGTATCTGTGCAGGAGTGACAACCTCAGCAAGTTTTGGGACAAGCGTCACAAAACTGCAGTGTATCTCTGTCGGGTGGTTTGAGGATTCAAGCAGACTGTTCAAAAATTCCCGCAAAATCAAGCGTCCGTCCGGCATTGACCACATGGCAACCAAGAGTTCATACGAGATCCCACTGAGGCCCGTGGACTTCCCCATCTTACCCTTACTCAGACCAGCAGCAATCTCCTCCTCACTAAAATATTTGATGGCAAACTCACCAGTGGCAAGCTGAAGATCTCGGAAGATAGATTCGACTGACACCTCTTGTTCAGCGGGAATCTGCGGACTGAAGAGTTCACGAAAGTGCTCCTTGACACATCGAGCAGCAGCATCAACGTCACCACCTTTGGCCCGAACCAGTCCACTCATGTCAGAATGTTGTCTAGTACGATTGCGAAGGTAACGAATAGACTGCGCATGACCATCAGCTGCTGCTTTTTCAAGTTCCTGCAACCAGGCAAGCTTCTCTGCCCGGCGCCTGGCAAGCACCAGCCTCGTGAGTTCCAGTCTGCGTGCTGCATCATGACACTCTCGTCGCTGACGACAAAGGTCTTTAAGGCTTTGGCTATCCCTGAACTTCTGGGAGGGCGTGGGATAAGTGGCCACTGCTTGTACTTGCTTGAGGGATTCCCACTTGCCATGCAGACTAAGCTCAGCGAAACCGTCTCTGACAGAAGGGAGCACATCTCCAAGATTGGCTCCAACACTCCAGCGGCCACACTTGGGTCTTTTTCGGGCTTTGCGTCTTAGAGCCTATTGCAGTTCTGGAACCATCATGGACCTGTAGTCTGGGGGGCTGGGCAATGTGTCTGCGGCTAACATACGCATAGTCCAACTCTGTAGAGGAATGCCTACCGTGTCTCGTCGGGACTCCAGCACGAAAGCAGACATATCCAAAGGAATTGAACAGAGCATCTAATTGAATGGCTCGGGCTGTCCCAAACTCTGCATTAAAGTCACCAATGAAAATCGCATCATCGTCCTGGTGTGTGTTGCTATGCTTAGCGATCTCATCGAGGCTGGCGTTGAAAATATCATCGCTGTTGTCATTGTGAGGCAAGTGGACTGAATAAACCCATCTATGCTCATTGGTAACAGCTTCAATGTAGTGAACCCCTATCAATCGCTCAGCTTTGCAGGACTCAAGAACACAATCAACGCCTGCACGGTTGAGCAATATCACCTGGGCTAAGTGGGATTGAAGGTCACTGGTACCTAGAGCAATGTAGGCCTGATGTTCATTGTCATCAAAAATGAATTCACGTAAAGAACCGGCTTCAGCAGGGGCCCCAGGCTTCTCCACCAAAGAGCTCGTTCCTCCCACCTCTTGAAGGGAGAGGACATCCACAACGTTGTGCTCAAGCCTAAGCCAGTCCAGGATAAAAGGTAATGGTTTGCCTTGCACGTTCCAAGAGTCAGCATGCATGAAGTTCAGCTTGGGCATCTGTACAAGTTGTCAGGCTTGGAACTCTTGCAACTTAATTGTAACATCGGCTGCTTCCTTCCCGGTCACCCCTCCCAACGCAGTCAAGTTGAAGTGGAATCGCGTGTGCTCGCCCTCCCCAAGGACCTTGGAAGTAACTGTTTCGCACTCCGTCGCATAGAGGTCCTGAAGTGCTGCGGCTGCAACACGTCTTGTGCCAATCCAAATTATCTGCCTGGACCATCCAATCTCCATCTCAGGTTTGGGAGCTTCACCCCAAATGCTAGCAAGGCATTCTTGGGCCTTGCGAGTGATTCTGTTCTTCTGTCTCCGGGCTGGAGTCCTGGACGGTGCCATCCACATGAGAGGTCCCATAGCTGTAGCTCGCTGGTTTGAGTATTTGTTCTGCATGATATAGAACCTTTCGGCAGATTCTCCAGGGGGCAGGCTGGAAAGGAAGATGTGCCCAACCTGGGCCCTCTGGCCAAAAACAACCATGCGTTCAATGGACTGAGAATGACACGGTTCAAAACCACGAACTAGTCCTTCCATGTCTGACATGATCACTCGTTTCGATGTGTCGAAAGGCCACCCTCCAACAACAACGTGGCAATGGTCGGTTTCCTCCGCCGATGAAGTAAAAGAGGGGGCACTTTGAGCAGGAAGGGGGGCGCCAGAATTCCTACCATGCGATCTTCCCGTCAAGTACTGAGACCATGGATCCGTAGCTGTGTCCTGCCCCAGCCTTTGCTTGGTACTGCTGGAAGTCTTGGCCTCCGAGCGCCCCTCCATGACAAGTTGGTGTAACTTGTCTACCTTTTCTGCCAGGCCATCCACTCTGGGGTCGCGTGTAGGGTCTTCCGCCCTAGCTTCCAAAGCAAGCAATCTAGTGTTGTAGTCACCCATCATCGACTTCATCTCTCTAAAGCCTGCTGAAAACGAAGCCTGTAAACCAGAGACCCAAGCTGGGACCAACTCTCCACCATCATCGGGCCTAGCTTCAGGGTGCACAGCTAATTCATCTTCACGCTTTCTCTTTGATGGGCTTTCTTCACCTGAGGGGGCTGATAGCTCCTCTTCATCGATTGCAACCGTCGGCACAGCCATGAATCGGAGAAGGACAAGAACTCAAGAAGGAATTTTAAGCCGAAACCCTTGAGCCGTAGCCATACTAAACTATCTAACCTCCTTTCGGTAACCCGACCCGGTCACATACTACACAAAAGGTCCCTCTTATATATATATATATGTATATATTTATGGTATGTATGGTACACATGGTAGATACACATATGGTAGATCTGGCATTACATGTACAAAAATGATATGAGATGATATGCTATGATATGTTTTGATATGGTAGCTAATGGTGGGTATGTATATATCTATGACATGGGATAGGTGTATTGCTATGTCGTGGCGCAAGTCTGCCATAGATGTGCGATCTGAAGATTCAAGCTCCTCGTCCCTGACTTGGTCTAGCTTTGGCCACTGACGAGAGTCATGCGTTGCCGCAGGGACCTGCAGGCTGCCATGCTTATGCCCAGGCTGCCGCTTCAGCAACGGAATTGCCCCTGCCTGGTGGATGAGATGATTGAAATCTTCGCGGATCCTCTGCCTAGCCTGGTCCTTCTCTGGTGCAAGAAACGGCTGTGCTGTGCCCTGCTGCTCAACTACCGCTGACCGCCTCTTGCAACACACATTCCGCTGTCCTGGATCGTGATGAACGAATCAAGCTGCTGCTGGCTGGCCTGTCACAACGGCAACTCCCTAACAGCTGCCGCTGCATGCTGCTGTTTTCTCATGCCCTTCAGTGCCGACTCAGCTTTGCTGCTCGGACGCATTCGAAAGTTGTGAGCCTCCATCGTGGTGGTGAAGTTGATAGGCTGCTGAAGAACCCAAACCTTAGCACGAAAGGATGTTGCTGCAACGTTCCCGTTCTGAGCCTTGCCACTGCTGCACGGCGATGGTGCCGTTGCAGCCGTGTGTGCTCCCAGTGCATGAAAGGATTCAAAAAGCATTCTGTGTGCATTTAAGCTCTGAGATCAATGAGCACATGAACAACTCAGCAACGGAGAGCGCTCGATCAGCACCCATCAACGCCAAGTTTCGCCAACAACCAGGCTTCCTCCCCACCACCAACACCTCCCACAACAGGAGCTTGATCGCATTCAGGAAGCTCTCGAAGCCCGAGTTTGGAACCCAGATGCCAATGTACAAGTTGGCCAAGGCCCCCCCAAACACCTACCGGGAGTACCACGAAAGACGAAAGAACGGGCATCACCACAAGCTCAAGTCAGGTAAGATCTCGGTTTTTCCGACAAACAACTCATTGCCGTTAACCAAAATACATCGACTACCAACTGCATTCCTCACTCACACTCAGCACAACGAACGCGCTCACGCACAATCGCCATCGGCCGTGACAGGTGGACGAAGGGGCTGTCAGCATCCAAACGTCCGAGAAATCGTCTTGAGCGAGCTTGCCAAGCAAGAGTTGCTGCGAAGTGATGAGCGAGACATCAATGAATGCTGCTTACTAGCCTCTTTTGGGGATGTGCGAGCTAGGCCGGCTTAACACGTAACATCACGTAACTGCAATCTTTCATCGCTGACAGACTTCCATTCCTTCAGCAGCGCAGCTGACGCCGCCTTGAACGGCGAATCATCAAGACCCGGCGCCAAATTAAAGAAATGCAGGCAGTTCAGAAAGCTCGGAAACCTGGAAGGTTGCATTGCGCACAATTGGAGACGTGTTTCCGTGTTTGTCTACCAGCACGGCTTCATGCCAACCAGGCATAAGATCGAAATTCTGACAGATGCATGTCGTACGACGATGCGGCGGCCACAAGATTCGAACTGGCAAAAACTTTCAACGGCGGCATTCGCCGCACAGGAACCACACCAGCTTTCCCAGTTGGGCTCAAAAAACACGGCATACCAACAGCCAAGGTGTGTCGTCCAAGCGAAACAAAGAAGCAGAAAACTCTCGTCTCGGTTCGTTCTCGTCCTTTCTCAGACAAACAAATATGCATGACCCACACCATGATTGCAATCCACCAAAAAGTAGTACGTGCCCGTGCACTTACAGGACATTGTGGGGCTCTTACTAACAATAAGAAGAACATATTGGGCCCCAGATCTACTATAAGACTGTGGGCGCGTTCTCTCGTTCACTGCGTTCACCTGGATATATGTAAAAAACAGGGTCAATGGTCAAGGCTTTTTCAGGGGTGAATGAGGCGGGTCATACTTTTCTTTAAGCTGTCTGAGCTGTTTGAGGACATTGGCTTCGTTGGGGGAGGGGGGGGGGGGGTGAAGGGGCCTACAGGCAAGTGCGGACGATCTCATGGCAGCAACAACGCATTGCATATGCATTGCAGCCGCACCGGCTGCAGTAGATAGCTTCTGGTTGGCTTTAGTCAACACAAAGGAATTCCAGGAGCTTTGCCAGGGGCAACTTGTCGGCAAGAAGGATATCACCTCGGCCCGAACTCTTATGTGAGCAGGGTCCTAAAGAATATTCTGAGCAAGCGCAAGCAGCCAAATTGCAACAGCATGGTTGACCCTCCATCTTTGCTGCCCAATCACTTTGCAGACCTTCGGAGCGTAGACCTTCTCGCAGTATCCGTGCCACCTGCTTTGGATACTGTCTCGGTCAACCCCCAAGCTTTCTGCCTGCAAACCCCTGCGCAATCATACGCGTGTCTGCAACCGACATGCAGGCACAGGCATGCAAACCTGTTGCTGCTCCTCAAAGAAAACAAAGAATTGCTGGTTGAGCACCTGCAACCATCATTCTTCCATGCAAGCTGCCAAAGGTCACACTGCTCAAAGAAAGAAGCACCTTGAGGTTGTTAAGCAACACTGCCTGGGTTGCACAAGCACTCCAGGACATCAGCCAAACATACATTGTCAACGACCCACATTTTCTGCTTGGCAGTTCATCCCTGTGTGGCATTGGCAAGAACAACTTGCATGAAGCAGTCCAAACTATGTTCAAGCCGCTACCCATGGCTGACTTTGTTGCAGGACAGGGCACAGACGAGAAAAGAAGTGCCAGACTGAAGATCTTGGGTCCGTATGAACTTCGGGCGTCCTGCACAGCAGCCGCAAGTCCAACACTCAAGATCCAAGAAAAACTCCTGTCCTCTGAAGAGAACAAGCCTTCTGTGTCCATCCATACCTGATGTCTTGCTGCATTCTGTTGGCTTCTTCTACCTCCGTGTTTGCCACCAGTATGTATGCCTTGTGTCGGTGGTCTCTCGGTCCCATGAGCAGTCGCAAGAGTCAAGAGCAAATCCAGTCTCACGGATGTGGGCCTGCTTTGCAGCAATCATGATTTTGCCAAGCCACCACTGTGCCACCAGAGATCTGCTCAGCACATATATCAATGCCCCTGACCACAAAATTTCAGGCGTAGAACCGAATGCCGAATGCACTGCACCCTGCGCCTCGTGTATGTCTGCTGACCATGCCCAACACCAAAGCCACCTTGATAAGGTGCCTGCCGATCGCAGTCTTGGCTTCCCAGTGGATGAGCCGTCTCAACGTTTCCGTGATCCAACAAGGATTCCCTACAGGAATCTTTGGGGGGGGGGGGGGCGGGCACAGAGAACGTGCAAAACCATCTACAATCCAAACAACCCACCCAGAGTACATGAGTCGAAGAAATTTTCTGCCACAACCTTCCCACCACGGAAGAACATGCAGATGCTCCTGACGACCCATCAAGCGATTCAGCAGCAGCGACTTCCCACCACGGTAGACACCCAGGGCCGGCACCTGCAGATGCAGATGCAGCTGACAAGTCTACCAAGTTCCAGCAGCTCAGCCCCCAGCGAGGAAGAGTGGTGAGCCTCAGCATGTCGTGACCACATTCTCACTCATGGCTGATGCGGATGGCACGCCGGGCTGGTGCAAGCTTCCGTGTTGCCGGGTGACGTTGGGCAGCCAAGTACTCTAGTCCAGCTTCATTCAGCTGTAGCCCCGCTGCCGTAGCCTAGTGGGAAACGACGAGGGAAAAAAATGACGGCACGATGTCGGCAAAACCGGCGAATTAGTCGATTCAAGGGACTTCTCCAGCATCCTCATCCTGTGAGACAGCGCTTGGGCGCCGCAAGCGCGCCGCAATTTTGTATGCTCCTAAGTCTGTCCTTCGAGACCACTTCTAGAAGTCGAACTGGGCAAAGCTGGCAGGCTGCCTTGCCGGCCTGGTCACGACGTCGAGCACGACAGACGAGCTAAACAAGGGCGAAGCAGTTGCAGTGAATGACTTTTGCATGTGCCTCGGCAGACGCAGAGTCTTCAGGGTCCTCAGGGTTCTCCAGAATCTTAGTGAAAACAATAAAAAAACTATTGCACACACAGACTGCCATTGACACCACATAGCACCACTTGGATTTCTGTCTGATCTGGACCTCCGCTTTCTCGGGGAATGCCTCTTCTACCTCCGGCAAGTGTGCAGGTGCTGTAAACCTACTAGAACCTAAAAACTACAGAACCCCGAAATCTTGGAAAGGGCTCTGATATCAATGTGCCTCTGGAACCACAGGTTCTTGAGTCTCGGTTGCCTGCACGTCCAGTCGCGGAACCCAGCTGCTCAAAGTTAGACCGCTGAAAGATTAGCCGGTGAGTTGCTCTCCTCGACCGCTGCGGGCTCTGCCACCTCTGTCGGGTCAGCATTCGAGATGGCCACGATGAGGCACCAAAGAAACAGGTGCCGGCTAGACCTGCGCGGCTGGGATGGACTCACATGCCTTTCCATGCTGGATGATCCCGCCAGCCTTGCCAACACCTGCTGCATGGCTCGTCGGCGTTGGCTTCAAGACTACGAGTAGTTGCTGTCGTGAGGCATGTGCGCTAAGCATTCTTGCCGTGTATTGCTGTGTCAGAACACTAAGGCTCTTTTGGCACTGTAACATCCGCACAATGGCAATGCGGCAATGTGGGTCGTTGGTTTCCTTGAGCCTGCTGCTGATGCCAATGTAAACTATTTGCGCAGCAAAAACTACCAGACGTAGAAGGCACATTGACATCGACATCCCGCACTGGCATTCATGTGTGGCCCCCCGCAGCCTGGACACGCACTTATCTCCACTACAACACCCCGCATCCGGACATTGTTCTGAGCAGTTCTATTGCGCAGCTCATGCATCGATCAACTGGCATGCAAGCAGCTCGGCTCTCGCAAAGCTCAAGATCCAAACGCACCAATGAGTTTCTTGCTCAGATTTGCTCAGCCTGTTTAATAGTTTCTTCTGGGCCTTCTTGATTGTGTTCAGGGAATTCGCACGAAGCAGGCCCTCTTTCAGAAATGTTTCTCTGCACCGAGTCCGTGACTGTTCTGTTCAGTCTGAACAGGGATGATACCGAAGCCAACACGTTCACCCACAGCACAGGTTTCTTTTGAGCAACCCAGAGCGAAAAAGGAGGAACGCGCCACCTCGCAAGATTATGCGCTTCGAATTTTCGACATGATCTATGGACGGCTCTTAGAATTTTGTCATAATTACCGGACAGCAGATCCAAGCAACTTCCGTCTCTCCCTCTCTGCATCTGCCTCTCTGCCTCTCTCCCTCTCTCCTTTTCTGCCTCTGTGCCTCTCTCCCGCTCTCCCTCGCTCTCCCTCGCTCTCCCTCGCTCTCCCTCACTCTCCCTCACTCTCCCTCGATCTCCCTCGCTCTCTCTCTCTCTCTCTCTCTCTCCCTCCCTCCCTCTCTCCCCCATCTCTCCCTCTCTGCTTTCTTTCTTTCCTTCTTTCTTTCTTTCGTTCTTTCTTTCTTTTTCTTTCACAACTCGACCCCTTGCAGCAATCCAGCAGCTTCGCCCAAAGGGTTTTCTGTGGTGCCTCGCATGATCTCGCATGCGTCCGCAGACAGCTGGGGAGGCCAGAGAGCCTACGTCACACTCACCCAACATGGCGAGTGTGCCAGCTTCGAGCAGACTCGGGCTTGCAACAAAAGAGCAGCATCGGAAGTGTGACCAGTGCGCTGCATCTCCTACTACGAAGCCTGGAGTGCCTTGAGCCTTCCGACACCTGCTCCATCCTGGGAGCTGCCACTAGCAGAATTTGTTGCGGGCAAGCCCCAGGAGGAACGTCCGAATCTGGAGCTCATGTCTACGACATGGCTGGAAAAGTTCGGACACACTGCAAGCAACCACTGAGTGGCGCAAAACTGTTCAAGAGCAAAATCCAAACATTCTCGCAACTGTGAAGCGAAACCAACCGCTCTGATTCCCAAAGCGGTTGTGTTTCTTCACCCCTGGCTGCTTCACGAATCTTACGGAACGGCCGCCTGTGGAGATCTGCGGAGACTGCGGAGCATTCGGAAAGCATGCCGGGTTCATTCGGCATTCGCTCAAGCCTCAGCGGCTGGATAATCCAGCTGTGCATGTCATCCGGCATGAGAACCAACAAGGTGACGCAAAAGCGACTTTGATACGGCATAGTCGACTTGTGCACGTGCTCGTGCACGCGCGCGCGCGCGTGTGTGTGTGCACGTGTGCGTGTGCGTTGTCGCATGCACGCCCGCACGCCCGCCCGCCCACCCGGCAGAACATCAAGGTGTTCGACCAAGGTCAATCACAGAATTCCAAGGCATGCGACGACTCCAGATGTATGCTAAATAGACCAATTTCAGATCTCGAGCACGGCAAAATGTTGCGTTTGCATTTGCTTCATGGCAGAGGCTCCCCCGCTGCCGCCGCTACAGTGTTCATGCTGGCTGGCAAGCTAGGGGCCCCCGTGGTAATCCAGCCATGGCATCAACAACACAGCTTGGCTTTGCCTTGGCTTGTTGGAGTGCCCCATCCAGGCAGTGTTGCTGCATCATTGAAAGATTACCAAATTTTTGCTTTGTCAAAGGAGTGCCCAAACCCACGAAGGGCCTGGTTAGGTTTGGCTTGAAGTTTTCCATGCTTCCCGTGGGCGGGAATTGGAGGATGAATGAGCCAGTGCTTTAGTCTTGCTTGGCTGTCTGATGGAGTGACTGGCTTGCTTATTGGTCTTCTCGAATGGATTCCCCCCCGTGAGAAGTCAATAGAATCAACAGATACACGTGGAAAATCCATGCCGACATCCTTTGATGCTGATGCGAGAACTGTGCACCACGAGCGGATTAGGTCACCTCCACAGCTACGCGGCTGTGCGAAGCTGTGCCCTAGAGCTAAGGGCAACTGCAAGAATTTGCCAAGCTTCGTTGGAAATCTCGGCGTCATCACTCGCCGAGACCTGCTTGGTTGATGTGGTGGTGGCCTTCTTGTGGCCGCGAAGCCTTCGCTTCGACAACTCGACTCTTATCCTGAGCGGACGAATGAGATCAGCTAGACACCACGCAGGACACCAGTGAGGACACACACAAAACACTCTACTTAAGACTCCAGACTTGCATGCGAATGCTCACTCCGAACTGATTCCTTCTCCTTCTCTGTATCGCTCGGATTTTTGCGTGACGCTTGCCAACTGACTTCCACTCGACCGGCGTCCAGTTGATACTTACTTTGCAGACTTTGCATGGCTTCCAAGCAGCAACAAAGCCACCCAAGCCAGCAAGCGAGCTCCCACAAGGTAAACAAGAATGATCCTGGGCCATGCTTGCCGGCTATACCCGAGGCTATCAACCGAGACATTTGCAGCAACATCTCTTTGCAGCCTGCACATGCCCTACAAGATACACGCATCCAAGCATCACCCAGTTTACGGCTTGGTCGTCCCGCTTGATGCCTTGACTTGCACAGGACGCAACGGCTTGCTTTGAACCACGTGAGCTCTCACACTCCACTTGGCCGACATGGTGCCGAAGAAAGTCAGAACGGCTGCTCCATTTGCCAGGCACGGCGGGCCCGGACCTGTGCTGATGGCATGCTTAAAATTGCTTAAAGGTATAACCCTCAACATAGCCGATGGCAAGCTAAAGCGTCGCTGCACACATAGCGCAATACGTGAGCTGGTCTCTGGAATGGCATATAGACTTGTCGAATCGAAAGGCAATCAAGATCACCACGGCTGTCCCAGATTGCGACTGCATACCTCAATATCCCAAAACGCAAAAAATTGACTTCGAGCATTCCAAAGCAATTTGACGGGGGTACTCTGGGGCACTGTGGGGGTCGGAGGGATTAAGCAATCCAGAAATATTGAGATTCTTCTGGATTGGGCACCCCAAAGATTCCTGGGGGGGCTTTAGCAGCTTAGCAGTCTGCCGGAATTTCTGTGGGAGAAGCTGTGTCCCTAGGGCTCGGCACGCCAGGGAACCTTATCGGGGTTCTCTGCGGGTGGGCACTGCAGGGATACTCTATGGGTCTCTGCAGTATGCTCTGGCTGAAGCAAGGACAAAGCAATCTCACAACAAAACGGCGGATTGACTACATAATTACATAATAATAATCAGCTTCACAAAGCGCAACTGCACATCCAACTAATGCAGCTGGGCCGCTCCGAGAAGATTGGCCTGAAGAGTCCGATAACTTGAATCCACCTGAAGTACACTGGGATGTCCTCCGTGGTGATCAGGAACCCTTGGCACCAGCAAGCCGCTGATACTCAAAGCTTTATAGAACATGCCGTGCATTCAAGACTGCTTCTTTGCCATCCAGACTCCGTTGAACGTCATAAACGGAAAGACCGTCAGCAGAAAGAGTGCGAATGCATACTCAATTCTGCCGCCGATCATGCTGGCAAGGTAGCCCCAAGCAGAGCCAATATGCGAAGTGATCACAGTCAGCAATACGAACATGAGATACCTTGCCCCACAGCTTTGGCAAACTCCTTTACCTAGAACGGCAACACTGCAACGACTCAAAGCAGCATACATAACCATGCAGCACCGGCGAGCTTAGGGTTTCGCTCCTCTTTGATTTGACATTTTGCCCCCAGGCAACCCTCGGCCTGCCCTGCAAAGTTTTCTTCTGAAAGAAATGCATGCCGAGGATCGATTCCGGCGTCTTGCCAATTCCTGCCATGAGGAACACCGTAGAGGAGAGGACGATGGGAGCCACGGTGTCCACAGGGAAATCACCAATGACTTTGGACCAAAACCATGCAGAGATGGAGTACATGCCTCAGGCACAACGGCACTCTTCCAATGGACATGAAAACAAAGACGCGTAACTGCATGATGCTGCATGCAACCTCTGCATCCTCTGCAGCACCACTGAGCCCGGAAACAGCATAAACGGCAGAGCCCAAAATGATATCAAAGAGAGCCAGAAAGAATCTCTGAAGGGAGGGAGGGGGAGAGAGAGAGAGAGAGAGCAAATAAAAATGTAAAAAAAAAAACAAACGAAAGGCAAAAAGAATGAGATAAAGGAGTGAGTCAATGAGTGAGTGAGTGAGTGAGTGTGTGAGACAGAGACTGCGAAGGACAGCCAGAGTGTGAGGGCGAGAGCCAGACAGCTCGTCGAGTGCAGGCACCATGCAAAAAACGAGCAGTGGAATGCGGTATGACAACACGCCCGAGGCTCACCCTGACCACCTGAACTGTTGGCAGGATACCTGCGGTGGTTTCGCGGAATGCAGGCCTCAAAGCCAGCGGAAGTTCTTGCGTGAGGCCAAAGCCAGCCGTCATAAAGGTGTTGATCATAATCATGTTGAGCAAGCCCATGACACTCCTGAGCTGTTCTGGCAACCACTTCGCAAACATAAAACTTGCCGTCCCTTCAAAAAGAATCATGCAACCAACAAAAGCAAAACATGTTTTAGAGTATGGTCCAGACTCTGCCATGAGGCCTGGTCGTTCGGAATTTGCCAGTACATCGCACCGAAAAGGACGGCCATCAGAACTGTCCTGGCAACGACGGCCTTGAAGAGGATCTTGCTCCGACGGCGTAGCAAAAACTCACGCTGCACCAAAGCCCCCAGGGCAGCAAGTGATGAAGTTTTTAGCGACTTCTCCTGTCCCTGACTTGCTGGCACTTTGGGCACCTCGACCTCCCGCACGGCCCCAAGAAGCTTCTGGACGTTTTCGCGGGCTTCCTGCCTTGCGTTCTCCTCACCGGCGTTGACAGCCACGCACCGCATGAAGAAGTCAGCCGGACTTTCGTCATGGGGGCACATCAGACCAAGCGATTCATAGTGTCCCAAAGCACCGGAAGGAGTTCCCTGATAAACGGCCTTGCCATCCACCAATATCATGACCTTTCAGCTGGCATTTATACATGGAGAGACCTGAAAATCTGTCAGACTGTCACAAGACAAAGGTTGCGGTTTCAAAGAACGTCGTTGCGTTGTCAAACCCTCTGCACCTTGTCAAACAAATTGAAGACCTCCTCACTCGGCTGGTGGATGGTCGCGAAAACCGTCCGCTTCCGTGAGGAGCCCTCGCCTTGCGCGAAATCCTTCAACATCTTGCACACGCTGTACCTCAGCAGTTAGCAGGGTACTTCCCCGCAATTGATAACCTAGGGGAGGCACATGCATGTCAGCTGACACGACGGAACACAACAACAAGCCACGCCATGGCAGAATCCAGACCACTCGTTGCTTCGTCTGCAAATAGCACGGAAGGCTCGGTCAACAGCTCCGTTGCGAAGGCCAGGCGTCGTCGCTCACCGCCTGCAGGTTGTGTTATGATGTCTTGTTACCAAGCTGTTACCGCAGGGGGCGGGGGGGGGGGGAAGGGGAGGACCCAGCTGCGCTCATCTACCGCAGAAAGTATCGCTACCCCACAACCCACCCCCGCCTACTTTATCGGCTCCCCATGGTTTGGCTGCAAAGTTTCTACCAACTTGGGGCCTACTTTAGGGAGATCCTGGCATGACTGGCGTCTTCGCATGAAGCCTGAAATTCCGGCTCCGATGTTGCCGATAAGGGTATTCTGGCACTTCATCAGTCCGAGCTCCGTCAGCAGCGCATCCACCCGCTGTTCCCTTTCAGCTTTTGAATACAGGCCCATGCGAAATCGGCATTGAAAGAGCAGGTGCTCGCGAACAGTCAGTCCTGTCAAGCTTGGCTTAGGACTTAGGGGCAAGGCTAGCAGAGGAATGTGTTGTTATTGACTGTTTCGTGCAAGTCAGGCCTGAAGAATTAGCGGGAAGCAGGAGTGGGCGTGGAGGGGGTGGAGAGGGGTGGCTGATTTATCAGGTGGTTCTTCTACATGCCAGCTGTGTTGCGAAAGAATCAGCTTTCATGACCTCCGCAGAATGCCAGTCTATGGCATTTGATATACTTGTCATCTTCTTGTTATCAAACATGAGTTGTATGTTTGTATTAGTGGCTGGTACCAGACCAGGAAGTTCTGCTTGGTGCTGATGTTTGCACAACTTCATATTGTTGACAAAACTGATTTGCAAGGGCCCACTGGAACCATTCCTATCTGCCAGCTTGGTGGATGAAGACAGTGATTTCCAGGGAGGATGTGATTGGTATGTTCATGAACAAACCGCTTTGGCCGGGAAAGGAATGAGAGAAGCATTACATGATGGTTCCCCTTCCTAGTGTTCTGGAAACTCACCCAATCGCATCCTGAGAAGAGCTGCTCGTCTTGAAAGAGAAAGCCGCAATGATCACGCATCATCGGAGTCCATTCGCCACCATTGACCTGCACACTGGAGCCTGGCAGGGATGCGGCAGAACCACGCAAGCGAAGAAACAGAAGCGTGAAGCAGATCATCAACACACACACACACACACACATAAACACACGAGAGTAAACCCTTGTTTAGATCACTCTTGTGATCCAGTCCTGACATCAATGGTAGCTCGCCAATTCCAGCAATGGACTTCAGGAGCGTGGACTTCCCGGAGCCGGAGGGTCCCATGATGGCCATCAGCTGTCCCGGCTCGAGGTGGCCACCGGGACCATCCAGAATGCGGCAGGTCCTTGGCAGAACTGTCTCTCTACACCAGAAAAGAGCTCTGCCAAAGTTATTCCGAAGACCTAAAGCAAGATCACGTTGGCTTGACCGTGCTTTCAGCGCTCTCCCCAGAATCTGTACACCATCATCCTGATTACATGGCACCATAGCATACCACAAGGCCATGTCCAGAGATCTAAGACGTTTTTGAGCTGGATTCCTGAGTTGAACAGTTCCTAGCCCCATCCTCATGTTTCAGGAGCCTTTGCTCCTGGCAAGCGCCTCCCACGGTGTGAACGGTTTATCTTGCTTCATGAGGCGGTCACCGAATCGCGAGTTAACAAGGGTCGTTCTCCCATTGAAAACAGAAATGCTACCAAGAGATTAGTTACCAGTAGGGGCTCGTGCTGAGCCTCCGCTCCATTCTGCACCGCCTCAAGCTAAGTGCACAGCGTGGCCGAGTTTGGGCTCGAGGCTGGGTTCGGACACCACAGTCATCAGCGACCTCCATGGAAGCAGTGCTTCAGGCGGCAGCGGGAGGTGGACGTGGAGGTGGCTCAGGCACAGGGACTTGGAGAAGGTGATGGCACGACCAAGGAAGGGGTTTTGACCCGGACCCCGACGCGACAAAGCCGAGACTTGGGGAGCCACTTCATGTTTCCAAGCCCGAAGATGGCCCCGTCCCTCTGTCCCTCCGTCTCTCACGCCACTGTGGACGAATTCTGTGGGGACATTCGGGCGTGAGTAGCTTGACACCATGCGTGCACCCCTCGGAAACGCGCTGAGTCTAACGGCCAAGGCAAACGGTGGAAGCGATTTGTCAGATTACGCGCTTGATATTTCAAGCAAGCGGCTGCACCTTGCCAATTTCATTTCGCTGTACTTCAATTGTAAGATTTTGCCAAGCCATCAACAGCTCCGGCCGCGGAATGTCCGTCAACTTCGGCTTTTCCTCATCTTGACCTCGTGGGGGACGACGATACAGCTCATTGAAGCTAATTCTCCTGAAACCAACTGACTATCTGTATGCGGGAGAGTCGCGACGGAGCTCGCCCTTCGTATCATCTTCTGGGGCAGCACCCTCGAACTGCCGGGGACGTGCTCGACGCATCAAGCAAAAGAACGCCAAGCCGTGATAGCAGCCTCGACGGGGCTCTGTTTGTTGCTTTGTTTGCAACAGCGCCGGGACTCTAGGCTGAGGCATTCTGCAGACAAGGAGCAGAGAGGAATCAACAAGTAAAGCATCGACACTGTGTAACCTGGGAGGTGCCAGGCTCGCTCTGACGCGTCAATCTAGGGGTGCAGGGATTAAGTGATCCATCTGCTTGAAGGAAACTGGCGCTGTCTGGATTGATGCCGCTCCATACTAAGACATCCTCACCGTTCTCTGCAATGCATGGTCCCTCGCACGGCAGGGTGCCAAAGTCTTGCCACTGGTTGATCATCAAAGCCTGCACCCACAATCCGAGGGGGGGCGGGGGGGAATTATGGGATTCTTCCACACTCTTCCATATGCTTCACTCCTGGACAGTCATGACAGTCATGACAGCGAAGGAGTTAGGGCTCAGCGCGAGCCACCTCAAAGCTGTAGCGGAACATGGATATGGCTTTCAGCCAAACCAAGCCAACGGGAACGGACTCCAGATTGATGAAGAGGCCACCCATCATCATCCTGGGCTCCCAGTCGGTGCAAGTGTGCGCCGCAGCGGTCGTGCCACTGCTACTGAGGCTAATGAGAAACTCACGGCCACTTCTGGTCCAAGGCCGTCAAAGGTCTGAGGCATGACGTTCAGCAGCACAACAAGCCTTGGATACTTGACAGGGCTCAGGGCAATTCGCCGAGATTGGCGTGTTGAACACAAGTCGAAAGCCCCAACGAGACTCTCACTAAAGTCACCAAAACCCATTCTTACACTGTTTGTGCAACGTGTTCTTCGGCTTCACATTTGATGTTGTCGGAGAAGCCCCAGAAGAATGGGGCCCTCAGGGAGGGAAAGAGCTCGATGAGTTCGGTGTCTGGCAGTCCTCTTATTGCTTCGGTGCTGCCTTCCCCGATGTTAAGGTCGCCACCTCGTTAATTGTGGTCTCAGACGGGTTGAGTAACGCTTGAGGATGAGCCTTCACTTGCGGCCTTTTACTGTCGGCCCAGGGCCTCTACATCCTTCCTTACATCATTCCTTCAATTCAGTCTTTTGCGCCTCTTTGAGACCGGCAACCCTGAGGGATACGCGCGGAGCACTAAGAGAACTAGTCGGTTAGTCGGAATGCCACTCTCGTGAATTGACGCGTGCGGAAGCACCGTGTTCCAATGAGTTCCCACAACTCGCACCAGACCTTTTGAAAGAGTAGCATGGCCACAGCCCCGACTGGCGCAAGGTAGCCACCCAAATAACCAACGCCAGAAGCCACACAGGTGAGGAGGTATACCGTCAGGAAGAAATATAAGAAGTTCCTTGCGGCGTACATTGAGCGCTTCGAACCACTCACTTAAGCACGTAGCTGACACATGATTACAACAACTTTCTTCCATTCGGCTTTTCATGCACTTTGGCCCAGTCTCTCAAAGGAACTTCGGAATCCCACCATCCAGAACATCATCGTCGACCACAGAAGGGCAACCTTCGTTGGCCCACGTTCCGACAGATGTTTGTAGATCTAGAGGCCTGCATTACACCCGGGTCCCTGAAGCTGCAGTGCCAATGGAGGCATCCTGCTGCGCTAATTACTGCAGATGAATGACAAAGAAGTCAAACGGAAGGTCGGCCAGCGCCTTGCTGATGTAGATGGCTGGCACCTCACAGAAGCGGCAAAGCCAAAAGGAACATCAGAGCAAAGGAACATCGGCCCGCTGCGGATGCACTTAGGAGCCGGCGGAGTATGCTCCGTTTCTGTGCTCCCGGATCAATGTGGGCAATCGCGTTGGGATGCCCATGGAAGCACCCATGCACTTAGTCGAACACAAGACTGGGCGAACAGTGATGGAGCATGCTATGCTGAGTGGCTCTGAGAAGGCGCTGATTGAATGTTTCGGCCGTGTGGATAGCATAAATGAACTCTCCGCCAGCTGCCAAGCCACACTGATTCGCAGACATCGTTTTACTGGCGCAGTCCGGGTCCGGGTCCCGGTCTGGGTACCCGGATCCGGATCCGGGTCGGCTCCGAGTCCGGGTGGGGTTTGGGTTCGGGTGAAGTCCGGGTGCGGGGTCCGGGTCTGGGTCCACGATGGGAGGGAGGGTCCGAGGAGGGTGCGGACGAAGAGGCGCGAGAAGAGCAATTCATGCACTGATCACACAACTGGTGGCCACTTCGCACAGTGCACCTGGAATTTGAAGGCAAGCGGCAGTGTTCATCACCTGCATCATCATGACCTTGCCAAGTGCGTATGCTTGGCACGCTTGCCAGCCCAAAGCCTAATTCGCATACTGTAGGATCCGGACAAAGAAAATGCAGCCATTGAGCGCGAAGAGAGCCTGCTCTTTGTTTGGAACGCTTGCTTTGGTAAACAGAGGCGCTTCCCAACTTCAATCAACATCAGGCAGAACAACCGTCAACCGTGGCCAAGGTTCTGTTTGGGTCTTCTCGATTTGGAAGAACGTCAGGCCAAAGATTAAACCCAAGACAATCGTCCGCAGCAGACTCGATCGCAGCTCTGCTTTCGCACGGGTTTTCATGATGACCTCCACTGTGCATAAGCGCAGCTCGGCCACAGACAATCAAAGCACCACAGCACTCACAACCATCAAAGCGCGAACACCATGGCTGCCACAATCACTTTCGAGCCAAGGCCGCCTCACGCTTCGTCATTTGCATCAGCTGCAGACACCAGTTCGTGCCGCGGTCGCCATCCGGGCTTTCAGAAATGGCCTGCGAAAGTACAAATCTCTTACCGGTTGATGCTGCAGCTACAATCCTTTACAGTCCTTGCTGGCCACCATCATCGGCGCGCCGTTGCTGCGAGCATCCGCCTGTTGAGCCCAAACTGTTCTTTGAGTCAAGTCCCAAATTGGAAGCCAAACAATTGCTTCTGGTCCAAGGGTCATTCGGCCACTGCTTCTGCCACGCATCGCCTCAAAGAAAAGCCAAGAAAAGCCAAGCTATTTTGTGTTGCATTTGGGTGTGCTGTTAACTTTGCTCGGTTTAGCCACCAACCAAAGCTAACTCGTTGGAGAATGTGGATTGGCTTGTCTTTACTTCTGAACATGGTGCTGCTTGCCTAGGAATCAAGGGAATAAGTCCCAGAATCATTCCTTCGATGTTCAGTCTGAACATGCTGCTTGATTGATGGGATGCACAGCTCGCACAGAATCAAAGATGAAATGATCTGGGGCTGAAATATTTTCTTGCTTTCTAGATGCGAAGGTCAGACACAGCACTAGCGATGTTGGTGAAAAAAAGGCAACCGTACCCCACACCAAACTACTTAGCGCTCCAGGGATACTCCGTGGGAGACAGTGTTTGGGCATCTCAGGACTTCGTCTCTGCGGAGTTCTCTCGGGAGTGGGCACTCCAGAGATACTCTGCAAAATTCTCTGCAGTGCAGGATTCTCCAATGCTTTTTATTCCGTGGGGTGGGCACTCCTCCCTACTCTACGGAACTCTGCGCGGGCTTGCGCTCCGGGGATACTCTGCGGCATTCTCTGGGGCTCGCATCCGACGACTCTGCGAGATATTCTGCGACTTTCTCTGCGAGATTTGCAGGAGGTGCGTACAGGGAAGCGGGTCCAGGCAAGTTACCGAAATTCTTTGCGGGATTCTCTGGGGTTGGGCACTCGGGACTCTGTGTGGGATGTGAAATTATTTGGAACCATGCTCTGGGGGGGGGGTGGGGTATCCATGCAGGGGGCCATGTTGGACATTGTGCACTGGACGGCATCACTGCTACCAAGTCTCCGATTGCAACACGCCTGCTTGCGGCACCTTCAGGGTCTCGAGGGTTTATGCACCTGAAGAAAGTGAAGAACGTACTACACCTGCTTTGCCATGATCCTAGGAGTACCTTCAATAGCGTGCAGCTTCGGAGCAACTTCATGACAAAGTCCACAGGCATTGTGTGATCAGGCATCGGGTAGCCAATGCTGGAGAAGTATGCTTCGAGTTGGTTCACAGGGCCGAAGTACGCTGTCCTTCCATCGACAAGGAAGCTGAGCCGGTCGAAGAGCCGGAACACCTCCCGATTCAAAACTGGTGGCTGCTGCACAGCAGCACCTCTCAACTGCTGTGCTCAAGCCTGCGACGACGGCTGATGGATAGAAGCAATCACGGTCACCTTCTGGCCCTTCTGCCCTTCCAAGGCGATGGCCTCCACAAAACGTGGTGAATTGGAGAAAAAAGCCAAGGGGCAAGGTCCGTTGTAAACCGGCAGCAACGGTAGCAACAAGATGCTCCCACGAGATAAACAGTCAGCGATGGACATGCTAAGAAAATATCATCCTTCCATGCACGGTGAAAGCCTCCGTTCTGCAATGAGCGATCCTTCAAGCATGGTTCGTTTCGATTGTCTGAATCGCAAAGGCCCTGGTGAGGCGAGGATGGGGCGCACATCCTAAAGTTATCTGGCGTTTCGTCGGGCCATGCAAGAATGCAAGCCGCCCCCCCCCCCCCCCCCCCCCGCGCACGCACACGTGCAAGTCACTCGCTCTTGAATTTGATGCTCGTGCGGAAGCAAACGCGTGCACACAGAGCAAAACCCTTCCACAAGCCAAAGGTGTCAGGTTGCATCCCTACCCAACCATCGCCGCCGAAACGCGGCAGTGAGCCATGCAAAGCAGATCACGGCACGTGCCAAATGTTGCCACAACATGTGCACAACTGAGACTTGCCTTCATATACCTCACAATCACCTGCCAGGGATCTCTTGCTTTACGCAGCAAGGGCAATCACAGATTTCACAGTCTTCCGTCAGAGAGTCGCCTCTGCCATGACGCTGTCCTGAGTCGGGTATGGTGTGAAGATCGCTCAAGACACAGTTATATAAGATTATGCTTTCACTCGCTCCCCTCTTCCTTCTCACCCTTTCTTCTGCCTGCCTGTCATCAAGAAGTCCTGTAAGATTCAAGCTTCTTATATATACATATATATGTTACCAGAAGGAAGCCCAGATGGACATTTCTCAGGCTGTAACCTCTGAATAAAGAGTCACAATGAAATTTGTTACGAACAGGCAGGCCCCAGAAGAGGATTTCGTAGACTGTAGCCTTTTGATATAACCATCCAAGCATATCTAAATGCGAACGAGGCCCCGAAGAGGATTTATTACAGTCTGTGGGCTTTGAACTTAGATTTCTAATTGAACCGCAGTACACATGAGGTCAGCGGATTGCTAAAGGAAAATCTTTAAGGGTGTGGCCTTTTAATTCAAACTTCGGAATCGATTGAAATATGAATTTGATGTGGCCGAAAAGCTTTCCGACCTAGATCATATGGGGGTTGGGGGTGAGCTAATACATATATACACATAGATGTAAATATGTGTATATGTAATACGCTAGCCTCACTCACCCGCGATGAGACTGATTGTAGCTGGGTTTGCCAGTCAGTGCTCCACAACTGAAAACTGAAAACTGAAAACGTTGTCCCGATCAGCCGCTTGCCCACGCGTTATCAGACTTCTGGCTGATCTCTGTCACATCTGTTTTTGCTTGCGTTGCTTGATTAAGAGCATTGTATGTTGTCGGTCTGCACGGGATTTGGTACAGGCATGGTGTTGATTTTTCGCCAGCAATGCATCCGTGTTCAGGGCATGTCTCCCATCTCTAGGTCGCAGCCTCTCCTGTGCACGTGCAACCCCTGCGAAGTCGAGCCACCAAGCCAGTGGTGGGCTCATCGCAGAAGAGAACCGCGGGCTGTGTCAGAATCTCCTTCATTGCAACAAACACCATGCGTAGTTGCGAGAACCGTGCCCATCTCATTCGATCTTAGTATGCCAGATCTTGCCCAGCAGCAGTGGCAAAGCAAACTCTGCGCTTTTCGTTCTTCGAGATGCCGTGGTAGATGTCACCTGCAAGTTTGGCTCAGGTTGATGCAGCCTCCCCCCCCCCCCCCGGCAATCATATCGAAGCTCTTATCGAAGAACGGCTGCCTATCAAGCTGTTCTGGCATTTCCTCAGCATGACATCGTGCCGATCGAGCAAGGTGCAACCAAGAAGTTGATGTTCTGCATTGATTTAAACCTCTGCACTTACTGCAGCAACGTGTCTCCAGCCCCAACCTTAGCTGCGCTGAGATTGACATCTTGCCTGCAAGTGCAAAACCATGTGGCCGCCGTTAGTTGAAGGGCTGCTTCCACACCTGCTTTCCCCCTTTTTCTAGGTCAATTGGGGCGTTGTGCCACTAAGAGGCAGGTGGAGGCACTTTGCAACGCGTTCTCGCCGCTGGCTGGACGTCACGTCTCGAGGCATCCGGAGAGTGCTCTGGAACAACAAGTGCTCCTTTGGAGTGTAGCATTCCAGCAGCATCTCCTGGGAAGATACGAGCCAAACATCTCGAATCACGGTTCAGCTTCTGACCGCTACCTGAATTGCCAACGAAAAGCCTGCTGATGAACGTACGCGATTCGACGCTTGAGGGAGGCAGAGTACTCTGTCCTTACGGCAATGGACGTGCGTCACCAAAATCAGATGTAGCTATCAGTACACTTTTCTGCAGGCACCTAGAAATCTCACAGTGTCTCCGCTTCTGTCGGTCGAGAGTCGCATTGAAGGTTAGGCTGCCCTCCGTTGGGCTTGTACGGACAGCCAGGCAATTCAGCAGTGATGTCTTGCCGGCCTGGGCCATTACAGCATCCATACATACAGCAAGCAGCGTTCCACAGCAGAACAGGAAGCTCAGGCAAGCAACACCAGAAGGTCCCATAATCGCGAGGAGTTCACCAGGAAGCGCAAATCCACTGACTTTGTTCAGGATGCGTTTTTCCTTGTAAGCATGATGGTCCGCGTGCATAAACCCTGCCACGAGATGTTACGAGCGTGGGCCCCACCTCGGCACCACCCTTGCCGACTTTTGCCACCAGGTCCACATCCTGGGCGAAGGACTTTAAGCGACTTTCTCCAATCTACCGATTCTTGGACTGCGAAAGCCAAAGTAGGGAACCAGGGAAACTGCAGCGATTAGCTTTTGGTCATCGCAGAATAACGTGTGCGCATTGAGCTCAGCATCATTCCAGTCAACCCGGATTGTATTTGGGATCTCGCTTTTCACGCTTTTGCTCGACGGTGTCGCCATGGCTCCAGAATCGCAACGGCCAACTTGAGACAACAAGCGCGACACGCACGCCACGAAAATGTCCAGGTGCAGGGTCGAAAGTGGCAACAGGCTCCAACTTTCGGTAGAAATGTGCAGAAGCCGGCCGTTTTCCCTTCCATGCTTCACACACAATGTTGCAATGTTGCAATGTTGCAATGTTGCAATGTTGCAATGTTGCAATGTTGGCCCTCTTCGTGGCAAACCGTGGCAAAGCATTGATACACTTTGATACTGGCTGGATACACATACTCACGGCATGTCTGAGCCTCGTCGTTAAACGACATCAGCCAAGTGAAACCGTGGTGGACTCGCGATAAGCGTTTCTGAAGATCCGAGCAATCAAGCCTACTTCTGCTACCCGCCGGACATCCTTGTGGCCTGCTGTGCCCTAAGTACTTGGAGGAGGGAACCTGCCGTGAATCAGGTGAGGGGCTGGGGGCAGAGGTACCTGCCATGCATCTCAAGCTGACCACCATTTGGACAACTTCATCTTCGAACAACCCTGGCGCACCCGCAGAAGAATGGTACCAGGCTCGCGGACCTCCGACATGACCAAGTGGCCGAATAGGAGGTGCCGATGTTATGCGAACACCCCGCCTGCTTTTGGAGCGCCCTGGGAGTATTTTCTTTCCACGCCACCACCTGGTCAAGGCACAAGGGGATAACAGTGGCACCGGTGACTCAGTCCAGGCGAAACTGCGGTCAAAATGATATTGTTTTTTTAAGAACATTTTGGTCAAATTCTAATTTGTGCATCTCTGATGCTCTGGATGTTCCATGATGTCCTGGCTACAGCACCAGAGGAACATATTCGGTGAACTCGACAGGAGTCGGAGGCGTCTAGCTTCAAAGGACAATAGATCGATGGGAAAAGAGATCGATGGAAAACAATGGGGAAGCTGACGAATCTGACAGTTTCGATTCGGTGCTGTCTGTTTCAAGCTGCTTTGCTCTCGAGCAGGGCATGCCTGCTTCTGCTTGAACTCCGTTTCCCGTAGATCACAACATGCGCCAACATGCGAGACTGCAAGGTGCCTCGCCCTTTGCGTTCCGCACACTTTTCGCGTGACGCTCCCAGCCCGGCTGCGACATGAACCTCGGCTTTTGCCATCGCTCCCTGCAAAAGAACGAAGAAAACGCGGGGAATCTGTGTTCGACAGCTGTTGGACAAGCAGCTGTAGACTCTCTTGAGACAGCACTGGCCGTCGCAACGGATCCTCAGGCCTGGGTTTAGTCTAGTAGGCTCCCAGCCACCACTTCGGCAAGCAAGAAAAAGACAAAAAGGGCGCCAAGGAATGCCCAGGAGCTTCTTCAATCGGCGCTTGTGAGCTTGAAATCCCTGATACGTCGCCTCACAACATATCTGGGCAAACATTTTCCAAGTTCTGTTTATCTAGTTATGCTCGCCACAAACATCTAAGAAGGCCACGTAAAACCTGCACAGCCGGTTGCGAGTGTCATGCCAAAGAGGTTGCTAGGAGACAACGTTCAGACGTTCAGAAGTCAAAGCGCGCGAAGCGCATGTGGCAGGCATGGCAGGCATGGCAGACAGTTTGCGCCCACTTTTCTCAACCAGTATTCCTGGCCGCCGGGTGGGTTTTTACGGCACGGCCTAACGCCTGCCAGCTACTGAATTTAGCAATAAAACACTTGAAGGCACATGCTTTGAGCTTGCCGACCCCTGCATTCAGCGCGAAAAGGGCTGAACCCGAAGGGTTGGCCGACATCACGTCATGAACAGACCACGGCTCGACCTCCAGGCTTGGTTAAAAAAACACCAAAGCTCACGCCTGCGGTCTTCTGAGGCCATGACGTGGCCTCGAGGGCCTACAGCTCCTGGCCCAGCACAAAGTGCTAGTAGAGACATGACCAGAGTCACGAGAGAGTGACCCGACATGACTATGCGAACCCATCTCAAAAGAGGGCGACAACCTGTGGCTTCTTCTTTTTGGCACGCTCTCTGTCCACCTAAGTTCTTTGGCATCAAGCCATGCCATACAGATCATACAACAAGTCAGCCTGATGGAGCTGGTTGGGGTAGTGCACAACTCAAGACAATGAGATACAACGAGTCTGCAAACAAGACGCGAGTGATGGCTTCTTGCCCACACCCTCTGTTAGCTCCACGCCCTCCAGATTGACTGCATTCTCCACCTGTCAAACTCAACACGAGCACAGGCAGAGATTCAAAACAAAGCTTCGTAGAAGCTACAATTGAGAAACAGGACTGGCGTCGCGAAACTGAAATTTCAACAGCAAAGCAATCTGAAACTTGTAAAACAAAGACTGACAAGCACAATCTGAGCAATGAAACAGCTTGTCAAAATAAAAGCGAGGTTTAAGAGCCGAAGATGAATGGAAATTGGTCGCACATGCCCAAGAAATGCTCAAAAGTCCTGACTGAGGATCACCAAAGGGATTGGAATTGCCCTGTAGCATTGCTACCCACATCTTATGACACGTGTTTAAAGATACTTGAAGTCTCGATTTTGCTAACAAGATTGCTCAAGAGAATCGTTGCTGATGGATGTTTCTCACTGAGCATCATTTCGATGAGGCAGTATCTTTCGGTGAAAACAACCTGTTCGAAAAACACCATCGGTGCAGCATTCTTCAAGTGTGCAGCTTGCCATAAAAAGCGGACAGCAGGATAACACTGAACAGCAGTCGCTAGGACTTAGAGCACTTATCCAAGGTACTCAGGCGGCCGCCAGAAAATCCAAGAGCGGGTCAAAGTCCCGTGCTCCTTGATAGACTAGCTTCTGGCGAAACCTTGGGCACTTATGCCAGTGCTCGTGTCATGCGCACTAGGAATGTCAGCTTCGTGCACAACTCTGAGAATCATGCTTCTTCTCCTTTTTCACTGCGGGGTAGAAAACAAGGTACGGGTAACCTGAAGCAACAGATTTCCGGCTCTGGCGGGCAAGTAGCAACAGCAAAGAAGCACGTCACCACTCACGCACGTCACCACTTACGCACGTCGCCACTCACGCACGTCACTGTGCCTGAGACTTGCTCCTCGGACTCGTTCTCCTCAGCTTGGACACATGTCTTGCCCTTAAAGGCAATACAGTCAGCCCAGTTGCCGTGGAATCCATCTTCGCCACAATGACACCTTTCTTGGCCTGAGGGATCATGATATTCGTGCTGCTTACCACTGCGTGGCCATGCTATTTGCCAACAAGTCTCATAGCCAAGTTTCTCTACCTGGCCACAGAAAGCGACGAAGACAATGCTCAATCATTCATCAGACCTGTCCTGCCTTCTCAGCCAACTGCGTCCACACTGGGGCCAGTTTTTGGCCTAAGTGTGGAGTTTGTGTTTGTGCCAAGCCTCGCAAACAGCAGCTCACCTGTCACAAGTCAGAGCCAGCACAGCGCAAGCGCCGCGCAGTGGCCGCACCAAGGCCTCCAACTGCCGCACTCGCACGCGCACGCGCTTGCGCTGACAATAACAGCACACCCCGAGCAGCCAACGCATAGAATTCCACCTTTCTATCCATACACTCGGCATCTCCACACTCACTATACGCTCTGGTACGCGTGGTCCAAAGCCCAAACAAAAAGTACAAACAAGAGCTGCAGAAAAAAAGCTGCTGATGATCAGCAGGTCAGCACAACTCGCTTGTGCGAGTGCAAAACCTGATTCGACGTCTTGAGTGCAGCTTAGGTACAAAAACGTCCTTCTTGGAATCTAAGACGATCTTCTCAAATGTATCACCTCGATGCCAGGCGTGATGTCTTGCTGAGGGGTCCAACCTGCTCCTTGCAAAGCCTTCGAGCTTCCATGGCCAAGGCACCTGTCAACACCGTAACGCCTCCTTCAGTCGCCTGACAGCGAAGCTAGCGAAGCTACAACGACGATGACACCGAAGCAGCACATCTTAAACGCGTTCACCAAGAATCTTCTGCCACTGGGCAATGGCGTGGCACGACTAGGAAAACTTTCCTTTAAGCTCTCATGGATCTGCATTTAAAGCGGCTCTGGAGCAAGACTTGCCAAAAAACCTGTCAGCCTTGACTGTAAAAAGTTTGATTTTGGAAGACGTCCGGTTGAACAAGGTCTTGATGACTTAAGGCGTCCTCCTCTTGACCAACACACCATTCCGCTTCCAGAGCTTCTCAGCATCAGGATGTGTTCGGCAACTCTACGAAAGCCATGCTTTCGCCATGCAAGGGCCAAGAAACTTGAATGAAAGCATATGAAAACACTCTCTTGCCAGAAGCCGCGCGGCCTCACTTGGAGGCGCTGCGCTTTTGTAGTACCTCTAGGCAGTCGTCTTATGTGCAAGCGTGAAACTGTGCGGCTTGTTGTGACAAATTGCTTTCACGGTGCGGCTTGGCTTTCTTGGCCAGTATGTCTGCGAGGAACTGCTTCAGAGCCTGAGCTCATGGCATCCTTTGGTCACTTTAGTCACGATCGGAGCTCTCCAGCTCTCCTTCTCTCTTTCCAGCTCTCTACATCTCTCTGCCTGCCTCTTCTGTCAGGTCCTGGACACACTTGTGTTGGACCGCAGCAACCAGTCACCGCACGATGCGCAACGATCCTCACAGGTCATGGTCCTTTAGCACGTACTTCTTCTCTTGGTAAAGCACGGAGATCAGCGCAGGGATGTCCTCAGAGTGCAGATCTCAGTTGTCAAGTGCGCAACGTGCCGACGAGCGGAGGCGGCGTGAAGACTGCAACGCGAATCAACACTTGAGAAGCGCGCCTTCCTGGCCCCAAGCAGGTCCAAGTCACTTTGCTCTAGTTTTGATCGCGAACTGGTAGCAAAACGCCACTGCCTTGAGAGTCTTTCGAGACTTCAAAGCCAAGTTTCACATAGCTGCACTTGCAGCCCTGCAATTTTGCCATCAAGTCTCGTTTCTGCTGGGGCCACCTGCACGAGCAAAGGCAATCTTAGCTCTTCAGTCTCCAGGCATGATGCGAGTACTTGTTCACCAAGTACTCGAAGTAATAAAAGGCGTGCAAGATTCTTGCAGGGTCCGCGCAACACGGGCACCAGATCAACCCAGCCAAAGCCTTGCGCATGAGAACTTCCATGTCTTTGCCGGCATCGTCTGTCTCAAAAATGCCAACGACTGAACCTCAAGATCAGTTCTGTCTATCGCGCCACAAGGACTCACCATGGCTCGGATCCGAGTTGAAAACCCTTGGCTCCGATCTCCTGCACGGCCTGATCATCGACTGGGAATATGTAATAAATAAATATAAATATACATATAAATATATATATATATATATATATTTCATGTGATATGTCAGAGACAGCATCGGTTCGCCGACCTCCGCAGAATATTTCGTGGACGTGAAGGACTCGCCAACCAATGCATATGTACTCTGCCTGACATCTCAGCACGAGAGCCACCAGCCATCCAAAAAATTGACTCCATTCTGCTTCCATTACTTGCGAGGGTCTTGATCCACTTGGCCAGTCCGGAGTCTGTCCATGACCCAGAGAAATCCTGAACAGCGAGATCATTGAAACACGCGATGGCGCAAGACCCCGCGCTTCTGCTCAGAAACAACTCAAGGACAAGTGTCTAGCTTCTCGGTTTCCGGAGCACTGAGGGGACCTTGCATCAAGGCTTTTTTTGCAAGAAGCGGAAAACTTTTCGAGATTTGTCTCGAACAAAACTAGATTTGGCATCGGTTGATATTGAGGCGCGCGCGAGAAATGGAAAGGTGAGCATCCTTCTTTGGATCGGCTGCTTTTGGCAGCCAAACAGCTGCAAACCTCGCAGGGCATGCCGCTGCGCTGTCAGGCAATCGTGCACTCTTTCCGCGGCCTCAATTTCGAGCCCTTGTGGTCTATGAGACTCTCGGCAGCCTTGGCAAACGCCTTTCAGAAAATATGCGGCGAGGGAGGGTGGGGAGAGCAGACGCCAGTCACATCCACCCCTCTTGCAACTGGGCACGGGCCTTGGCCCGTGCTGACTTTTTCTTCACATGTGCCACCAAGGCCTGGGCTTCATAACGTCACACTGATGTCTCTCATCCCAACCAAGTAAAGGCTTCCAAGATGCAAAAGCATGTGCATCCAAAGTCTTCTTAATCCAACTCTCGACCTGGGCATCTGCTTCTCTCGATCACGAAGAAACTCGCTTACCACATGATTGGATGTTCCACTGGCACGACCCCTGACCTCTGACTCCGTCATCTCTTCCACTGCCGGCTTCTCTCGCTTTCCTGAGCTATGCTTGAGTCATCTTCAAAGCTGCATGCCGTGAAGCCGTACACCAACGAGAACAACGCTCCGACAAAGAAGTATATGTTTGACCACTGCATTCCGAAAAAAGACTTGAACTTCTAGCATGTTGCAAAAGCATGTTGCGAAGCTAATGACAGATGCTCACAACATGTCGGAAAAGCCCTGCTTGGCCAATCTGCACAGCCCCACCTTGCGTAGGACCAAGAAGCAACAACAGCACGGTCGGGGTGGGGGAGAAAAGTGTGACAAAGGGACAGGATGGGACCGGCAGGGGGCCACCCAACAGGTCTCAAGTCCGACAAGTCCCTTTTCGCCCCGGCCATTGCCGCACATGCGTGTCGACGTGTTTCTTCTCGTGTGGGGCGAAGCACGTATGGACGCAAAAACCAGGACGAACTGGTAGAACCGGCCCATGGCGAAAAGTGATGTCGAGTCTGGGGCGTGGCCAGCTTGAGGCGACGGCCCGATCAAATTCCAGTCGCGCCATACCCATGCCCGCTCTCCCTGCATTTGGAAGGCCATCCATGCGTGCCAAGCGAGGCCATTTCTTATCATGGCAATTGATGGTCTTTGCATGCCATGGCCATGGTGGAATCGTTTCCGGTCCCCGTGCCCTCGTGCTAAGGCACAACTGTGCGTGCACAAGGTAGGCATTCGTGTCAGGAGTCAAGGGGCAATGAGAGATCGCCCCCATGCTCGTTGAAGCAACACCGGCGGCAACGTATGTGTCCGCCACTCTGGGGGTGCGGAGGACCCCGGATATAGCCTTTGGTCCAATGGCTGTCTCACCACCCGTGCAACCCACCTTTTGTGAGGAAACCGGCGGCCATTCCGGAACACTCCGATCTCGTCGCCGAACCCTTGAACTTCCAGGACGGCAACTCTTGCAACAGTCCGCACATGCTGCCCACTGCAAATGCGCGTCTGAGCCATTCAGCAATACCATCGGCTTCTCGAGGACCATCGTACTCAACCGGATCGCCTGAAAAAAGCAAGAAGCCAATGCACAAAAATGCCCATAGTTTGCGCGCCAAGGGTTCACTCTCAGGCCTCCTCGCACAAAGTATTTCAATGTCGGGTACGACTGCACCTACAAGGTGATCTGCAAACATGAACAAGCTGCTGCCTAGACTTGCGCGCTCTCCTCCCACCAAGGCCTGGTATTGTTGTGCCAAGGCCGTCTCTGCAGTCGCATCAACCTGGAGGTTTCAAGGGGTTCAATGATGGTGCGCCGGTGCAGCTGCAGCCACCTTGGCCAGCATTGTTTTGGCACCTTCCATTCCTCAAATGCGCCAGCATGACACGTCAACGCACTCAAACAGAGCACTTCAAAGGCGACTCGCTGCCAACTACTTCTGAGTGGGGCATGCCCTTCCGGGAAATCTGAAGGAAGCTGAACTTCGCAAAGGCTCGCAAAGCATCGGCTGCCTGGTTGTAGTGCGGCTCGAGCTGCTGACAATGACCACACCAGGGCCTCCCCAAGGTGCTCCGTTCCAGTCCTCTCGCTGCTTCTTCCAAAGGGCTGAGCAGCGTGCGCATAGAACTCCACCAAGACCCTCTCATTGGTCGTGATGAAGTCCTGGAAGGAGCCTTGGTCGGAATTCTAGTCAAGATGCAGCGGTCCCCTAGTTGAAAGCATGTCAGACACGTCAGAGTTGACCACTGTCAGTGAGAGTTTTCACAGACTCTGGAAAATCTTCGTCATCTTCGTCGTCCTGCGGAAGGGAGCAGCCAGACACCAAGGTGCTTCTCTTGGCCGGATTTTCTGAAAAATGGCGACCTGAAAATGCAGCTCGCTCTAACTTCAGCAGCCTTGCTGGGTCATCAATCAATAAAGTCTCCTCGTCCATCTCTGTTGCCTGCAACATCCACCATTCTCCAGCATGCATGCCCACAGAAATAGCTCATGTCATCCAAGAGAGAACTCAACCGATGTACCGGGGTCCCGCAAGAAAAAGCGGAATTGCCACCAGAGCCCGTATTTGAAGACTAAATTTTCGCCAGGCATTACCAGTGACAGTGCGAACTATTTGGTGAAGCAATTAGCAGCTCATTTTGCCTATCCTCACCACGAAAACACGACTTTTCAAGAACTACCTCTACCAGAGCCATCAGTATCCTATCCGTGCCAGTAGCGATCCCGACTCTGAGCTCGCAATGATTCTAGCAATTAGAACAAAAGGAGCATCCTTCTGAACATCGCCGCTCAGGGCATGGGAGCCGGCAGCCTCAAATTTCATGCTAGAAAGATGGGGGCGGCTTTGGCTTGACTTCAGACTGACAAGGGTTGCGGGGGAGGAGTCGGCAAAAACCCCCCGCCGCTCCCCCCCCCTGAAGTGAACAGAAAGAGGCACATGAGAACCAGGAACGAATCCCAACAATAGCAAGCTTGCAGAAAACACGAAAGAAAAATGTAAACAACAGGACTTGCAAAGCAGAACGCATAGATCAAGACCCTAGTTGACAGGAAGCAAAGAGCAGAAACCAACGTACGATGAAGAGCCCAAAACAACCACCCACACGGGGTAGACAAAGCATGAGCCCAAGGCCTGAAAGATGAGCGAAACATGTTCAAACAAAATCAAGAAAACAGCTCCTGGTAATTACAACGGAAAACGCAGCGTCTTGCACGTGTTTTGACGCCTCATCCGTGCTGGCTTCTCCAGCAGTGTTGGTTGCAAGAACACCTCAAAGGCAACGTGCTTGGGCCGCAGGCATCTGGCAATGTTGACTTCAGGATCTGATGCCAAGTCGCTCAGCAAAAGAAGAAGCAGGCCCCATCGTGCAGACGCCTGTCTTCGGCCACAGTACAGTTTCGGCAGACAGGTCAAGGTCAAGATGCCACCAAGCTTCCGCCATCGCGGCAATCGGGACAGTGCAAGCGCAGCTGGGCCACAAAATTGCTGAGGTACGGTGCACGCTCCAAGAATTGCAAAAGGCACCCGAGAAAACAAACTGACCGAGAATCATCCGGAGCCAGACCTTCGAAGCTCAGGCAACGATTCAGGTCTGGAGAAGAAGGTCTTCTGGCCTCAGGCACGGGCGCAAGGACAATGTGTTTATCAGCATCTGGAAACTGATTTGAAATTGTGAAAGGAAGCACCCCGTCATGGTTTTTCTGGTATCTGCCGCGCCTGCTGCATCATTGCAGCTGCTGCACGCTTTCATTTACTGCAGCTGTCAAGCAACTGCATAGGGACACAACGTCCGCCGGCACACTTTGCAACGCTGGTGGGAGCCTGATTTCGCTCTGCAAACGAAGCCTCTACAAACCACATCCTTGACAGGTTGCAAAGCTCATGTGAAACAGAATTGCAGCATCCGAACCGATTTCTTTAACTGTGCACAAAGGTAGAACCCATGTACTTGGTGATGTATGGTAACGCCTGTTTGGCCACATCAAAAGTTGGGTCCAGTTGGCGCACTAAGCCTTCACTGATTGAGATTGTAAACAATGTAGAAGCGACGTCACCCTTGAGCAACATTCCGTGCTTCCTTAGCATGCAAGATCCACGATCAACGATTTTTTGGAGCACCAGGCATCACGAAACGAAGGTACTCTGAAGCTCTTCATGCCATGCGTCTGTAGGGTAAACATGACTTCTCCAAACATGTCTGCCGCATTCAACGGTCCCTCCTTGTCTAAGCGGAAAGGTCCCATGTACCTTGGATGGAAGACCAGTACGGCAAACCACATGACTCTGAAAAGGCATCGTGCCAACTGCTTGAGGCGAAACAGGAATGCAAACTCGAGAGGTTGAAGCCTCATGCCTCACCAGATCTGCACGGGACACTTGTCCATTGTTTCCTGGATGTCCGTGTGCAACTGCTTGGTGTTCACTACCTGCTGACATGAATGGTGCATCTTTGCGACATTGGCCAAAGACTCGTGATGACTCAAGCCAACCATGCTGAGTGGAGAGAAGTCTTGCAGTGCAGGTGCCATGTTCGATTCGTTGAACCGCTGCAAGTATTCGACCACCTTCTCCGTCTGTCCAGAACAAAGTGCGTGCAAAAAGCGTCCTGGCACGACGAACCAGCATGCACAGCGATACAAGCATCCAAAGGAGCTTCTTGGCCAAAGCTAAGAGTCGCACCGAAAGGAGCAAACGTACGTTTGTCCAGTGATGTTGCGATTCCAGCATCCAGGACTGTGACATGGTCATCATTCTTCGAATACAAAATGTTGCCGCCATGCAAGTCACCATGGACAAAATTGTCCCGAACCATCATCTTCATACTCATGTCATACAGAATTTTTGAGAGATCACCTGGCCAGGGACGGCGCACGTAACCCAAACAAGAAAGAGCGTTCCGCGAGAAACTGTTGCACGCGTTTCTTAATGGAGCAATCCGCCTTGAACTTCGCGTTTTTTCATCTCCAAGGCGGTCATGGCATCTTGGCATGCAGCCTTGGCGTTGTCAAAGTCCTCCAGCGGCTTGTCGGAAAAGTCCAGTATGCTTCAGATTGGGTCAATACACGTGTCACAAAATGGACTGCAAAAGCAAAGGAAAGCTGGTGTTCCATTGAATGTGCTGGGGGTGCACTTGCGCTTAAGCCTCGAACTCGGATCGGACTCGGTGGCAGTCATTTGTGTCATATTTGGAAAATACGAGAACTGGATACTTTGGAGACATGGAGTCAAACAAACGCTTCAGAGCGCAAAACCGGAGCTGGCTGTGACACATGCAGTCCTCCATGACATTCGAAATGATTTCGCCGTTTTCCCAAGTCTCCACAAGTACTTCCGGCGTGACAAAGCGGGAAGATACTTTCGGAAACCTTCCCAGGTCAGCACGCAGCTGGTCGACAACACAACTCAAAAGTCTAGGCCTTAGCGCACCTGATCCGGCGCTCGCCTTTGAAATTGCGTGCAAAGCCTGGGACGCCCGCCACACTCTCACTGCCAGAGCTGCATCACTGCGGCCATTCTCAAGCCCAAACAAGGCACGTTGAAGGTTAAAGGCTTCTCTGGTGAAGTCCATCTGAGCTTGGATCACTTCGTCAAAATCACTCCTGCATGAATTGTGGACAGCTCGTGTTTACAACTGCACTGAAAAAATGCAAAGCTCTCGCCTGTCGAACGGCATGGTCATGTGCAAAAAGTTTTCGGAAAATTCCACGATCTTCCACACCTTTTTGCAACAGGCTTTGCCTTAAGACAAGAACTTCCCCTAGGCATAAGCACTACTTACCGGGGACAAAAGCCCAGCTTTGTTGGAAACTCCCATAAGCCGTACAAAGTCACAATGTTGAGATCCATGAAGGCGCTGTCGATGACCCCCGGATGCTGTACCTTCACTGCTACATCTCGGAGCTGGCCACCTTGCGGCGCAATTGCCAATGCAATCGCATGCAGGGTTCCAGCTGCAACGTACACTTGCCTACTGCAGCAAACGCATTTGCCTGGGCCATCCAGGGCATGCTCCGCTCTTAGGCGAGCCCGATGCACCTGGCCCACTGATCCACTGGCCACAGGCTCCTCCTCAGGGGATTCTCGGAAACCAGTGCAAAAAAGTGCAATACATGTTGCATTGATCGCAAGAGGAACGCCGCCTGAAATTCATCAAAGAGTTCATCCACATCCTCCGCTGATGAATTGCGAAAAGCTGTCAGGACCCTACTTCGCTGCAAAACAGCATGTGATATCTTGTTGAGTTGGGATGGCTTCAAATTATGTTTGAGCGAAAGCCTTGCCGAACTGATCCTTCAGCATCTTTCGAGAAACAACCTCAGGATTCCAGGCCAATGCCAATGCCAATAGCGGCCGAAAAGCCCTACAGTTACATCAGTTACGCAGATGTGACCAAAGGGCCCCAGAGTGCGCTGGCGCATCCGCCCGCAGCTTGCTGAGGACAAGAATCACGTCTGGGGGGAACATATCCGGCCTCATGGAGAGCCATTGGCCAAACCTTGGCATTCTTTCTTCCTTTGCCTACTCTTGCGGTTCCCGAAAAACTTTGACAAGACTGAGAGGGACGTCGTCTTACTCGTTCCTTATCAATAATCTCGTACATTTTGTTCGTCGTTCAAGACAGAGAAGATAAAGACTGCGCAAAGAAAGGGATGCAGTGCCAACAATCACGTAGCAAAAAATGACTCGCTGTTCTTTCTTCTTGTCATTCTTTGCAGCCCGCGCTTGCGAGCTGGGGAGTGGAAGCCTGTTTCTTCAGTAGAGGAAGCGGTACGGGCCGCTCTTGCTTAAGACCTGGGGGGCATGTTTTAGTGGTAGTTTAAAGGGGTGCGGGTTGGCAGCCAGCGCTTGCTTAAGAGCTGGGGGGCGTGTTTTTGTGGTGGTGAAAGGGTGGTTAAGAGCTGAGGGGCGTGTTTTTGTGGTAGTCGAAGGGGTGCGGACTGGCAGCCCGCGTTTGGTGAGTTGAGGGCGTATTTCTGTGGTAGTGGAAGCGATGCAGGCTGGCAGCCCGTGCTTGGTTAAGAGCTGGGGGGGGTGTGTTTTTGTGGTAGTGGAAGGGGTGCGGGCTGGCAGCCCGCACTTGGTTAAGGGCTGGGGGGCATGTTGTTGTGGTAGTGGAAAGGGTGCGGGCTGGCAGCCCGCACTTGGTTAAGAGCTGGGGGGGGTGTTTTTGTGGTAGTGGAAGAGGTGCGGGCTGGCAGCTCGCACTTGGTTAAGGGCTGGGGGGCATGTTGTTGTGGTAGTGGAAAGGGTGCGGGCTGGCAGCCCGCACTTGGTTAAGAGCTGGGGGGGTGTGTTTTTGTGGTAGTGGAAGGGGTGCGGGCTGGCAGCCCGCACTTGGTTAAGGGCATGTTGTTGTGGTAGTGGAAAGGGTGCGGGCTGGCAGCCCGCACTTGGTTAAGAGCTGGGGGGGTGTGTTTTTGTGGTAGTGGAAGGGGTGCGGGCTGGCAGCCCGCACTTGGTTTTGCGCTGGGGGGCATGTTGTTGTGGTAGTGAAAAGGTTGCGGGCTGGCAGCCCGCATTTGGTTAAGAGCTGGGGGGGGTGTGTTTTTGTGGTAGTCGAAGGGGTGCGGCTGGCAGCCCGCACTTGGTTAAGGGCTGGGGACGGCTGGGGGGCATGTTGTTGTGGTAGTGGAAAGGGTGCGGGCTGGCAGCCCGCACTTGGTTAAGAGCTGGGGGGGGTGTGGTGGAAGGGGTGCGGGCTGGCAGCCCGCACTTGGTTAAGGGCTGGGGGGCATGTTGTTGTGGTAGTGGAAAGGGTGCGGGCTGGCAGCCCGCACTTGGTTAAGAGCTGGGGGGGTGTGTTTTTGTGGTAGTGGAAGGGGTGCGGGCTGGCAGCCCGCACTTGGTTAAGCGCTGGGGGGCATGTTGTTGTGGTAGTGGAAAGGGTGCGGGCTGGCAGCCCGCACTTGGTTAAGAGCTGGGGGGGGTGTGTTTTTGTGGTAGTCGAAGGGGTGCGGGCTGGCAGCCCGCACTTGGTTAAGCGCTGGGGGGCATGTTGTTGTGGTAGTGGAAAGGGTGCGGGCTGGCAGCCCGCACTTGGTTAAGAGCTGGGGGGGGGTGTGTTTTTGTGGCAGTGGAAGGGGTGCGGGCTGGCAGCCCGCACTTGGTTAATGGCTGGGGGGCATGTTAATGTGGTAGTGGAAAGGGTGCGGGCTGGCAGCCCGCACTTGGTTAAGAGCTGGGGGGGGTGTGTTTTTGTGGTAGTGGAAGGGGTGCGGGCTGGCAGCCCGCACTTGGTTAAGAGCTCGGGGGGGTGTGTTTTTGTTGTAGTGGAAGGGGTGCGGGCTGGCAGCCCGCACTTGGTTAAGGGCTGGGGGGCATGTTGTTGTGGTAGTGGAAAGGGTGCGGGCTGGCAGCCCGCACTTGGTTAAGAGCTTGGGGGGCGTGTTTTTGTGGTAGTGGAAGGGGTGCGGGCTGGCAGCCCGCGCTTGGTTAAGAGCTGGAGGGCGTGTTCTTGTGGTAGCAGAAGGGGTGCGGCCTGGCAGCCCGCGCATGGTTAAGAGCTGCGGGCGTGTTAAGGGGTGCGGGCTGGCAGCCCGCGCTTGGTTAAGATCTGGGGGGGTGTTAAGGGGTGCGGGCTGGCAGCCCGCACAAAATCTGGGGGCGGGGGTGTTTTTGTGGTAGTGGCATGGGTGCGGGCCGGCCGCCCCCGCTTGGTTAAAAGCTGGTGGGGCGAGTGAAGGGGTGGAATGGGTGCGGGCTGGCAGCCCGCGCTTGGCTAAGATCTGGGGGGGGGTGTTTTGGTGGTAGTGGAAGGGGTGCCCGCGCTTGGTTAAGAGCTGGGGGCGTGTTAAGGGGTGCGGGCTGGCAGCCCGCGCTTGGTTAAGATCTGGGGGGGTGTGGTAGTGGGTGCGGGCTGGCAGCCCGCGCTTGGTTAAGAGCTGGGGTGTGTTAAGGGGTGCGGGCTGGCAGCCCGCGCTTGGTTAAGATCTGGGTGGGGTGTTTTTGTGGTAGTGGAAGGGGTGCGGGCTGGCAAGCCCGCGCTTGGTTAAGAGCTGGGGGCGTGTTAAGGGGTGCGGACTGGCAGCCCACGCTTGGTTAAGAGCTGGGGGCGTGTTAAGGGGTGCGGGCTGGCAGCCCACGCTTGGTTAAGAGCAGGGGGCGTGTTAAGGGGTGCGGGCTGGCAGCCCGCGCTTGGTTAAGAGCTGGGGGGCATGTTAAGGGGTGCGGGCTGGCAGCCCGCGCTTGGTTACACGCTGGGGGTGCGAAAAGGGGTGCGGGCTGGCAGCCCGCGCTTGGTTAAGATGTGGGGAGGTGTTTTTGTGGTAGTGGGTGCGGGCTGGCAGCCCGCGCTTGGTTAAGAGCTGGGGTGTGTTAAGGGCTGCGGGCTGGCAGCCCGCGCTTGGTTAAGATCTGGGGGGGGGGGGGGGGGGCATTTTTTGGTGGAAGGGGTGCGGGCTGGCAGCCCGCGCTTGGTTAGGAGCTGGGGGCGTGTTAAGGGGTGCGGGCTGGCAGCCCGCGCTTGGTTAAGAGCAGGGGGCGTGTTAAGGGGTGCGGGCTGGCAGCCCGCGCTTGGTTAAGTGCGGGCTGGCAGCCCGCGCTTGGTTAAGCGCTGGGGGGCGCGTTAAGGGGTGCGGGCTGGCAGCAGCCCGCGCTTGGTAAAGATCTGCGCGGGTGTTTTTGGTAGTGGGTGCGGGCTGGCAGCCCGCGCTTGGTTAAGAGCTGGGGTGTGTTAAGGGGAGCGGGCTGGCAGCCCGCGCTTGGTTAAGATCTGGGGGGGGTGTTTTTGTGGTAGTGGAAGGGGTGCGGGCTGGCAGCCCGCGCTTGGTTAAGAGCTGGGGGCGTGTTGAGGGGTGCGCGCTGGCAGCCCGCGCTTGGTTCAGAGCAGGGGGCGTGTTAAGGGGTGCGGGCTGGCAGCCCGTGCTTGGTTGAGAGCTGGGGGGCGTGTTCAGGGGTGCGGGCTGGCAGCCCGCGCTTGGTTAAGATCTGGGGGGGTGTTTTTGTGGTAGTGGGGGCTGGCAACCCGCGCTTGGTTAAGAGCTGGGGGGGGGGGTGTTTTGTGGTAGTGGGTGCGTGCTGGCAGCCCGCGCTTGGTCAAGAGCTGGGGTGTGTTAAGGGGTGCGGGGCAGCCCGTGCTTGGTTAAGATCTGGGGGGGTGTTTTTGTGGTAGTGGAAGGGGTGCGGGCTGGCAGCCCGCGCTTGGTTAAGAGCTGGAGGGCGTGTTCTTGTGGTAGCAGAAGGGGTGCGGCCTGGCAGCCCGCGCATGGTTAAGAGCTGCGGGCGTGTTAAGGGGTGCGGGCTGGCAGCCCGCGCTTGGTTCAGATCTGGGGGGGTGTTTTTGTGGTAGTGGAAGGGGTGCAGGCTGGCTTGGTTAAGAGCTGGGGTGTGTTAAGGGGTGCGGGCTGGCAGCCCGCGCTTGGTTAAGAGCAGGGGGTGTGTTAAGGGGTGCGGGCTGGCAGCCCGCGCTTGGTTAAGCGCTGGGGGCACGTTAAGGGGTGCGGGCTGGCAGCCCGCGCTTGGTTAAGATCTGGGGGGGTGTTTTTGTGGTAGCAGGTGCGGGCTGGCAGCCCGTGCTTGGTCAGGAGCTGGGTGGGTCAAGGGGTGCGGGCTGGCAGCCCGCGCTTGGTTAAGATCTGGGAGGGTGTTTTTGTGGTAGTGGAAGGGGTGCGGGCTGGCAGCCCGCGCTTGGTTAAGAGCTGGGGTGTGTTAAGGGTGCGGGCTGGCAGCCCGTGTTTGGTTAAGAGCAGGGGGCGTGTTAAGGGGTGCGGGCTGGCAGCGTGTCAAGGGGTGCGGGCTGGCAGCCCGCGCTTGGTTCAGATCTGGGGGGGTGTTTTTGTGGTAGTGGGTGCGGGCTGGCAGCCCGCGCTTGGTTAAGAGCTGGGGTGTGTTAAGGGGTGCGGGCTGGCAGCCCGCGCTTGTTGTGGTAGTGGAAGGGGTGCGGGCTGGCAGCCCGCGCTTGGTTAAGAGCTGGGGGGCGTGTTAAGGGGTACGGGCTGGCAGCCCGCGCTTGGTTAAGCGCTGGGTGCACGTTAAGGGGTGCGGGCTGGCAGCCCGCGTGTGGTTAAGATCTGGGGGGGGTGTTTTTGTGGTAGTGGGTGCGGGCTGGCAACCCGCGTTTGGTTAAGAGCTGGGGTGTATTAAGGGGTGCGGGCTGGCAGCCCGCGCTTGGCTAAGATCTGGGGGGGTGTTTTTGTGGTAGTGGAAGGGGGGGTGCGGGCTGGCAGCCCGCGCTTGGTTAAGAGCTGGGGGGCGTGTTAAGGGGTGCGGGCTGGCAGCCCGCGCTTGGTTAAGCGCTGGGTGCACGTTAAGGGGTGCGGGCTGGCAGCCCGCGCGTGGTTAAGATCTGGGGGGGTTTTTTCGTGGTAGTGGGTGCGGGCTGGCAGCCCGCGCTTGGTTAAGAGCTGGGGTGTGTTAAGGGGTGCGGGCTGGCAGCCCGCGCTTGGTAGAGCGCTGGGGGCGCGTTAAGGGGTGCAGGCTGGCAGCCCGCGCTTGGTTAAGATCGGGGGGGGGGTGCGCTTGATCAAGAGCTGGGGTGTGTTAAGGGGTGCGGGCTGGCAGCCCGCGCTTGGTTAAGATCTGGGGGGGGGGGGGTGTTTTTGTGGTAGTGGAAGGGGTGCGGGCTGGCAGCCCGCGCTTGGTTAAGAGCTGGGGGGCGTGTTAAGGGGTGCGGGCTGGCAGCCCGCGCTTGGTTAAGCGCTGGGGGCGCGTTAAGGGGTGCGGGCTGGCAGCCCGCGCTTGGTTAAGATCTGGGGGGGTGTTTTTGTGAGGAGCGAAAGTGGGAAAATAGGAAATGGGAGAGGGGCAGGTTGGGCATCCTTCGTCTCCCGATGTCCTTGTTGCTTGTCTGGTATCCTTCTTGAACTGTACTTCCAAGAAACACGGCAAAAACATAGACTTTCAGAAAAGCGTACGAACTCAAGAAAAGATAGTTCAAACAACTGCGGCGAATCCACGAATCCGAATGTTTGGGTTTTCGCTGTCGTTGGCTGCAAAAACCTGCTTTGGCACTACGGCTTGGATAGGAGGCTCCCTCACATCCCTCGAAGGCACTAGAGATGATCACAGTGGAACCCGATGTTTCGGGACAGAGTCTGGTTGGATATTGGCCTGCACTCCTTCTGCACATGAAACATGGCGGGCCGATAGCAGCAAATCTTGCCCAAACCTATTTGGTCAAATGTTGCTTCTATTGGCCTCCCTCGTGTCAGCCCAATTTGGGGATAAGAAGGCGGCGCATGGATCGCACCAGATCACTGCTTCGGAAGAAAACACGATGGACAGAGTCTGGTGCGATCTACACGACACGATCAGAAGTTTAAGATAAGCAAGCAGGGCGTAGATCGTCTCTTTCGACCTTGCTCTTTGAAGATGATCAAATGCCCCTTAAACTCCTCAAAACCCTCAAAAACTGAAAAGGTCACAGGGCTTTTAATTTGCTTGAAAGCCCCTGAAGGTCTTCAAAAGCCTTAAGGCCAAAAGCACTGGGAAAAACATGATTTCGGCGAAGTGTCAAGGGTCTTGGAAATTTGAAAAGTTTAAATAAAATTTCTTGAAGTTTTGAAAATCCGAAGGCCAAAAAAGCACATAACATCTTTAAACCTCGTAATACACACCTTGCTTTAGAAAGCCCCTTGAATCCTGTAAAGGTCTTAAGACCCTTAAAACCCTTGAAGTTCTGATAGGGGAAACGGAGCGGGACAAAGAGGCCCCACATCACACATATACGTATATGCATGTGTAAGCATGCACATACACATACACTTACATATACATATGCCATAGAACATGTACAAAATACACGTACACTCATACATATGCCGAAACATATACGAAAGCAAATGCAGACACGACACATACACATACACATACACATACACATACACATGTACACACACACACATAAACACTTGTGCGCGCCACATGTGCAGATGTGTTTCACATATTCATACATATTTTGAGTTGTTGTATGCGATATTATTCTCATGTTGCATTTTGCCGTATATCATCAACATTTGGACACATGTGTGTATATGTACATACATATGTATACTTACATATATATATATATATACTTATGTACTTATAGAATCTTATAGATATCTGTATATGATCTCATATATATATATGTGTACATATATGAATATACATATGTATACGTGGTTACACTTATGTTGACATGTGTGTTGGTTTCATGGTTCATGTTCTTTTTGTGCTCACACTGTCGCACTTACGTACTTTTGCACACAGATTTGCATTGCCATCTTATGTTCATAAACTTTGTTTCATCTTTACATCTAGCAAATCATAACATCAACATAGGCACATACTTTTTTGCACAGTTCTGCCCTGGCACCCCCTGCCCCCCATCCTGGCATCCCTCGCGGGTTGGTTTTAGGGTTTTGGGGTTTAGGGTTTCAGTTGGGGCTCTGCAGTTTTAGAGTTTAGGGCTGAGGGTTGAAGCTAGGGGTTTTACAGGGGGGTGCAGGGCGGTTGGGCGGGGAAGGGGGGGCGGGGGCGGGGGGCGGGGGCGGGCGGGGGAGCTAATGTGTCTGACGCACTGGAAAAAAGAGAAAGTGCTGCAGGTTGGCTTCTGGAAGGCGGCACCTGCTCTCTGTGTACCTGGTCGTCACTTCACGCCAGCTCACCAGCTTTCCAACATTGGGATAAAACGACACAAACTGCACAGTTCGTGCTTGGCAAGCTGCATTCGAGCATCTGGTGTAGCCAGTGTTCGCGCCATCTCCTGCTTTCCTTTCCAAACACCACCAACAGTGTAGAGGCACCTCGCTCCACAAGTGATGAGCAGCGCTACTTCTCACATGGCATATTAGGCCACGCATGTACATAACCACAGTTGCACGGTTTGGAACACGCTGAGTTTGGCACACATGAAAGGGGCAAATACCCAGGCCAAGAAAACCTCAAGAATGACAAGCGAAAACGGAAATGGTCCTGCAGTCAATACCAAGCAAAAAAAGAAGTTAAGAAAATCGATAAATATAAAGGCTGGTACAGGCTGGTGGTAAGCGGAGGAGCCGACCGCTTCAAAGCAAACCAGGCCTTCTGGTACCAGGGCCAAGTCTCATAAGGATGCACAAAATGACCACTTGGTTCCGGGACGGCTGGCAGCTCCACATCTTCGGTCTGATCCCAAGCTGAAAGTAGCCGGTAGCAGCTGTATCCAGTGAAAGCAGTAACGGAAGTGCCAACTGCACCAAGGGTAAGGGAGCGAAGGCCTTGTTGCTTGCCGGTCGCCCAAAATCGAGCTTCCACACGTTGCTTTGCAGCAGCTTGTCCAAAAAGGCATTTGCGGCCGGTGCACAGACGCCGACCACCTGGCGAGGTTATCGACTGCTTTCCTCCGGGACTACAGCGGATGACCAGTCGACGCATCATGAGGAAAAGTGGCCCTCACATTTCTGCATTTGAGCTTCGACGCTGCGAAAACACTCATGACAACGAGACTCAACCAACGAGACTCAACCATTCCCCTGAAATGAAGCTTCTGTCCCAGAATTCTGCCCATTAAACTTCTGGGCACGGCTGGCATCTTTTGAAACTTGGCACCGAGGAAGGAGATCGGTCAGCACAGCGGTGTGCTCTTGCACAATCCCGTGCAACCGGGTCAGGCGATGTGAGCCGCCTACCAGCTTTAAACAGCTTTTAAACACTGCTCAGCTTTGCTCCCTCACTCCACGCTGATTTGAAGGCCATAGGTCGGGGTGCCTCGCTGGCAGGAGCGAAGTGAATAAAGGATGGGAAGTGACATGACAATGAGATACAATGAGCATCAACTGCATCATGTGCCTTTCTTTGTGTTGTACTTCACGCCCCCAATCGCGCTGAATCCCTTCGCAAAGACTTGCTTCACCTTGATCGCTGCCGACTCCCGAGAAACACACTGCAGCCAGAACCAGTGAAACCAGCGCCGAGGGGCTGAGCAGCTAATGGAGCTGTCTTGCTCAAGCTTCACCTCTCCACAGCTACGCCTCTAACATGGACTCGTGACACGAATACGCAGCAACAGCATGCCTTCATGGTCGTATTCTTGTTGCAAGAATACAGCAGGCCAGCAGCAAAGGTGCCATTCCTTGATGTGGAATTAAGCCAAGCACCACTAAACTATCATGCAATGTAAGTATAGCTTAGCATCTTCGCTCCACCGTGGGTGTAGTTTGCTGCCAGGCGAACATTGTCAGCTGCCTGGAACGTGCTATGCTACGTGTGACAATCATCTCACAAAACCTCACACACGAAGGCCTTGTAGTGGCAGGACGCCATGTAGCAGGAGAACTTTTCCTTTGCGTACAAAGATGCCTGGCACAGACAGCCAGCAGTTTCGCATGACCCATATGTCGAGGAGGAGCTTCGCGATACCCCAAACACCCCACCCTGCATGCCAGGAGCTAAGCATGTGAAGGGTGTAACTCTGCCAGTTCGCAGAACTCATCAACCGTGCCATGCTCATGTGCAAGTCGTTTTTCGTGCTCATCTTGCTGGAAAATCTCTTGCGTGTGGTCTACATCGACTCAACCAAAAAGAAATGGAAGAAATGGGACGTAAGCTCCGAAACAAGCTCACCAGTGAGAATGACCAAGAAATGCTGAAAGATAGGCTAAAGAGGCAATCATCGAAGCCGCAATTGTGCTGTCGAAGGGAGACCCAGGGCAACGAACAACTTAGGCTCATACACTGTACATTGCTTGTTCAGTGGCTGTTTTGGTCTTTCCGCCGGGTCGCGAAGAAGGGGCCATGAAGAACACGGACGCCGACGTCCGGGCACCAAGGTGCGGAGATCTTGGCCCCGAGGGTTGCCGGGCCGGCCCTTGGAGCTGCTGTGGCAGAGCTGTGGCAAGAAAAAAACCCTCGTTTGGCTTCACCTTACAATCTCTCGTAACAATCAGGTTCTTAGTTTTTGCAAAGTCTCTGGAACGTGGCTTCTGCAACAGCATCTTGAGGACTGACCCCCTTCATTTCAAGCGCGAGGCGCGCGTCCTGCGAGCTCCAAATTTGCAGTCTTGCAGAAGCTTTGGCCATTGGATGCCGGGGAGAAACTTTAAAACGTTTTGAATTGTCGCTGTTTCTACGAGTATGTTTTGGTGATGTGGTGCTCCTTGAGGCCGCTGTAGATCAAGCCTGCACGCGTGCAACAGATGTACGGCAAAGTCAAGCATGCGGCCACGTGTGGGAATGCCTGGCCTACTTTCGTCTTCATGATGTCGCTGAGCTCCGGCTTGCATTCAATTCGCAACCCTTTCACAGCCTCAAGCATCATGGGCTCACAAACAAACAATTGGTATATATACAGTTATATACAAACAGAAGAAAACCAAAAAAAATCCATCGCCAAGCCTTCTCAGTAGATGCTTCAACTTTGACTCCTCCGCTCTTGTCCATCTCCACTTTGTCCTGACGACGTCAACTTTATCTGCTTTTGAGGGCTTTTGGGGCTAGCTTGGGTGTTACCTAAGGCCGGCACGATGACCACAAATGGGCAGCCGTAGGGAGATGGAAGTTTCCAAGTGATCTTTCCTGGGGTCATTGTGTCCTGGACATCACACTGTCGCGCATGCACCCAACATAGTCTGTCATGTTGAAGGAGAAACACAGAAGGACAGAAAGACAGAAAGACAGAAAGACAGAAAGACAGAAAGACAGAAAGACAGAAAGACAGAAAGACAGAAAGACAGAAAGACAGAAAGACAGAAAGACAGAAAGACAGAAAGACAGAAAGACAGAAACTGGACAGAAAGACCGAAAGACAGAAGGACAGAAGGACAGAAGGACAGAAGGACAGAAGGACAGAAGGACAGAAGGACAGAAGGACAGAAAGACAGAAGAGAGAGAGAGAGAGAGAGAGGTTGGGAGGTACGGGCATCGAACCTCCTAGTGCCTTGATTAGCATGTCGTGAAGTTTTTGGTCATCCACCGAGATGGGTTGGCCCCGGCTCAATGGCATCAGTCCCCACGCCCGGCGAAGTGGTGCCCGGGTAGACCCGGGTATAGGGACAAGCAATCTGCACAATCACACGCGCCACACACCACCCCGAAAACACCGAGAGACTTGTCGTTCGCGTCCAAAATTTCGAGGCAAACAGGAAGCGGGTTGTCTTTCGCGCCGAGGTGCTGCGCTTGCGTTGAATCAAGCTGCATGCCACTGGGGAATGGGTCTAAGGGCCGACGCTCAAAGCGAAACGTGCTCAGAATGGCGAGGCATTCTCTGGCACTGGTGATGCTAAAAGACGTTGCATGGAGAACAACGACGACCATGGCACCATTCACAGTAACAAACTGCACATCACATCTTTGCAGGTACACAGGGCTGCTCAAGCCCCACTTCCAGCACAAGTGGACAGCTTCGTTGGGTGTTACTCTGAATCCGTGGCCCTGTCTGCTTTTTCTGGTTTGCTGCGGCTCAATGGGTGTGATCCCATTCCAGTTTGAAATTACTGGTCACACTCGCCCTCAATTGCACACACACACACACACACACAATATATATATATATATACACACCTTCAAACTGCAACATACGCAAGCAGGTATGTCTTTGCGATGCTGCGAGGTCCTTTCCGGGAAGCAGGTCCACGGCTGTCGTGACAACAGCTCCATGCCAGTTTGTCTTCTGCTTGGCCTGGCAGCGCCGGAAGTAGCTCTTCAAATCTCTTCAACAGCAGCTAAGTTGCCGTGGACGTGGTAGGGAAGCGCCAGACTCAATGCACTAAATCAGACGTTCCCAAACCGATTCAGTCAGTAAAGTATCAGGACTAAACCATGTCCGCAATCTCTAGTGGGCGCATGCCGGGTTATCCTTGAACTGATAGCCCAGCTGGTAGTCATCGCTGAGAACTTCCTTGGAAGTCCTGCGCCATGCTCACATGCGACTGTGTGCGACGACGTCCGTGGAGAAAGGCAGATGAACTCGAACAGTCTTTTCGATGTCGTCGAACTTCACAGGCCCCTAAGCATCAGAGTGCAAAACGAGAAAAGTGAATCATGATAACACACGCACACTCAAAATCGCTGAGACTGGCGCCATTCTTCACGACAAGCGAGAACAGTCAGGAGCTCAAAATTTCACTCTGAGCCACAGCGCTGCAGCAACTCATCATGACAGCTCGGTTCAGTTTGGCCATGTTTGGCCCGTAAACATCTCAAGACACAAGCTGCGGCGCGGGCGCTGACATCCCCGCCAAGCGATGTTCTGGCCTGTTGGATCCTGACAAAAGCCGCAGGTCAAACGGGGCGCAAGTCGGAACGGCTTTCAACTCTACCTCTCATCCAGGATGCCTTCGGCACCGAATTCCACTCATGGGCGCTCTGCCTCACATCACGAAGATTTGCCGAAAGATGTTTACATCATTTTACATCCAAGCCAAGAAAACACTTGAACATGGATTTGCACTCGCTTGCTTGTGCTTCTGCCCATTGACAGCTTCAAGGGAGCCCTTGGAGCCTGGCCATGGCGCAGACCTCAGCCAAAGAGCACACATGAGCACACCCACTCAGCTCGAGCTCTCGATTGACAAAACGCAAACATCTGCCAAGTGACTTTCTGTGCCAAAGCCCAGGGGCTGGTCTGAAAATCTTCGGCCTCAGCTGCCACAAGTTTACCACGAGCTCACCACAACGTTTCTGCAGGGGGTTTCTTTTTCGTCGCACAAAAGAGCCAGCTGAGCACAGCGCTTGGCACTGGAAGTTTGAACCATGCCTGCGAAAACCGTCCGCCATTATCTGCGAAACTCCCCGTTTCACCGGTCTCTCCTTCAACAAACATCTTCTGCGCAGCTATAACTTCTTGCCACATGTGGGTCGCAAAATCAGCCCTCAGCCAAGTTCTCATGCAGTTCTGTGTTTTGAGCATCACAGCACAAGCCTAAAACATTGCTGTCACGCTTTGGCAAAGGGGGTGGGTTCAAGCAGGCAGCAACCGCAAAACACTCTCGAAAAAGCGGTAATTAGCGGCAAAAGCATGCCAGGTATGCCGTAGTATGGCCACTTGAGGCTGTGAGACATTGCCTAGCTAAGGCCCGCCTATGGACGGCCCTGCCATTTCCGACCTGTGCGTCTTCAAGCTCAAACAATGCAAGCTCCCAACATCCGAGCTGAACGCTGGGGTCTGTGCTCATTGAGCTCTTCCAGCACAGGCGGTGCTAGACTTGTAAATGCCTTGGACAACGGGACAAGAATGGAAAAGACGAGTTAGCTCAGCCGCGGCGAGAAAAAACAGGGGCCCCAGCCTTGGGCGCTGTTTTTGCCAACCACTTCGCCATGGACCGCTTTGATATTCGGCCAGAACCTGCACTGAAAGCGGGTTCGCACGGCGCTCGATAACAGGGCCCGGTGCAAAGTGAGGTCATGGCGAGCTGTGTCCAATTGAGTCCAGTGAAACTGAAATTCCTCAGATCTTGCGTTGCGGCCCATGAAGTAGCCTCAGCAATGACTCCAAAAAGACCGAACAACAATGCTCGACGTTTGCTTCGTGTGCACATTCTTATCAACCTCAGATTTGGACGCCACATGTCCTGGAAACTCTCAAACGGACTTAGTGAAAGCGCAGAAGAAGAAGAAGAAGAAGAGACACACAGATACACAGAGACAGAGACAGAGAGAGATAGGGAGAGAGTCGGAGAGAGAGATAGAGAGAGAGAGAGAGAGAGAAAGATTCTTGGGGCTAGTCGTCGCAGCTAGCCAGCTCCAACGATCAGGAAACAACCAATGGGCTGGATTGGCTTCAAAAAAACTCGGGTATACAGATTCGGTTTCAATGCGGAAGCCTGGAAAATCGGAAAGGATCTCCCTTGCTGAATCGCCTTTGGCCAGCGCAGCCTCGACCACTTGTTTTTTCATTTTTCCGTCGCACCTTCTGCATCCGCCGGTCACATACTGTCGGGTCTACAAGTCCAAGGAGTAACAAAACTACGCCATCGGAGACATTTGGAAAAGCGTATCTTCGTGCTTTCGCCCCAAGCACTTTCAGATCTAATTGGCAAGGGTCAATGCTAGCGTGGTTGGTCATGGCGTTGCCTTCCTGTTGCGCGGCCCCGCAACAACTGAGCATCGCGACGCCCGCCCGACCGAAAGCACAAGGGCAATCAGCCTAACAGAGCCTTTGAGAACCATGGTCACCAAGCCGATCATTCGGCGGCCTCGTCTATCGATTTTCGTTTCGGCAAGGAAGCGACGTTTTTTTGTTTGTGTTTTTCGATAAAAAGATCGGCCCACTGTGTGCAGCAGACTGTGTGCGTTTTTGCCGGCATTTCGGATGCATGTTGGGCAACTTATTCTTAAAATAGGCCCTCGCCACCGCCGCCGCCGCCACCCGCCGCCACCCGCCGCCACCACGCCGACTGGAAAGGAGGGAGGGCAGAGGTCCCGGAACTCGTTCTCTGCAAGGTAGGCATCCTTCCACGACTGCGCATTTGCCACAGCACATCCGCCGGCTGCACCCAAAAGCAGGTTTGCAAACTCTCGTCAGTCCGGATCCGCATCGAACATCGACATGTACAGTGTTGCCAGCTCCTGGGAAGCCAATTTGTGCCGAAGGCCTATTCTGACTCGCAGATCTCTCAAGCAACTACATCTGAGGGTCCATTGGATGCTTCGGCTTGCGCAGACTTCTCAGGAAGATCTCGAACTCCTACAAGGCACGCAAGGCGCAGGGCACGCAAATCACCACAAGATCAAATGGAGCAAGAGTTGGGCCTCAAAGCTCAGGGTTCCATCGCGATTGGTATCTGCCTTCTTGAGACAATAGTGCAAGACCTGATGGGCTGGTAAAAGCTAAACCTTCACATACGGCAGCACATACTACTTGGCAGCGCCTGCTTAAGATTGAGTTCGGCCCGTCCGTAGCTGCCAGCCTTCACACAGGAAGAGAATACGTGCACAAACTAGACACAAGAAGCAAAAACCGTCGCACAAACTGACAAACCCATCGTACTCCACAGGGCCCGCGCCGAATTCTCAGCCATTGTCGGCGTGAGAATAATCCGCAAGGCCTGAGTTCATTCACCCACCCGGCCTTCGTGATACCATTGCTACACCCTGCTCGTTCGCCACATCTCATGCATCTCATGCTCAGGACAAGGCTTCTAAGAATTCTGAACAATTCAACTCATCCAGAGTCATTTCCTTGCCCGTGCAATACCACGGGTGGAGGTGACTGTCATGGGAATCAAAACGGGTACTGCTCAGTATGTTACTATATTGCGAACCCGTTGTTGTGCACTGAAAATGTATGCTCGAATCGAAAAGCAACCGGAAGCTGAGTGCGTTGTCCTCATTGTTGTCTCGGTCCATACGTTTCCACCTTATCTGCCAAGCTCGTGGCGGCCAACACTGACAACACGCATGGCCTATCAACCTGAGCCGCAAACAAGGCGTGTGCCCACTGCTTGTGCTGATGCAATGTCATGGCCTCTGGGGCCTGCAATCTTCAGCAAAGCTTCCACGCAATGCCAGGAAGAACCGCGAAAAATACTTGGCACAACGCCGTCGGTGCATTGTACTGGGTTTTCCTCAGTAGCGGCACTCCCATCGCAAAAAAAACATGCTGCTGTTCATGAAACCTGCTCTGAGACTGCGTGCCCCATTCCGGGCGACCGCGAATGCAATGTGGCCACCTCCGACAAACCTTCACAGCATCACGCATGACCAGGCATTGCCGGCGTGCCGCCTCAGAGGCGTACAAATGCCAAAACGCAATTCCAATTGTTCTTTTACTAGGTGGTGTTGATTCTTCTTGCGCTCATGACTGTGCTTTGCATGCTTGCTGGGAATCATGACTGACTGATGAACGTCTTGATAGAAACATTGCATACCTCGTTATGACAATAGTCTTTACAGGCAAAGCCAGGAATCCATGCAGATGCCTCACATGCCCTGCTCTTGCAAATCCACTTTGAACCTTTAATCCGGCATCATTGCACAATGATTGAAATTGTTCATTGCTGTGAAACCCGGCACTGTGTCGTGAAGCGCTTCCCGTGCAGGCCCCAGACTGGGGCAGTTTGCTCGAGGGCATGTTGTGGGGGCGGGCTGGTCGCTAAGGCTCTGCATCGTGCTTCTACCTGCTTGTAAGGTCTGTGGGGTCGTCTTCAGGTGGAACGGTTGGCGCTGCCTCCAGGCCGGCGTTCTACGTGGGGGTCTCGAAGCCTGCAGCTTGTAGAGACACTGTGGCCTCTCGAAAGGCCGCCAGGGCAGCGGCCAATTGGCCGGGGCCGTCCACGGAACGCGCAAAGGTATGTAATGTATAAGCGAAGGTCGACTCGAGAGGGCTGGAAGCGGGAAGCATGTCGGCCCAGCCCAGTAAGCCGCAACTGCAACTGCGTGGCGCTCAGTGCTGCAGAGGCCCAGCCCACTATGTCGCTGCGCGAGCTGAGCCCCTGTGGTGGCGAGCGCCGGCAATCCGGCTGCGGCATCGGCGTGCCGCAGAGGATCCCGCAAAGTATCCAGCACTTGAGGAAAGCTGGGTTGTGCCCAGCTGCCTATGTTCACGTGCTCACATGATGCAACACGCGATCGCCGACACATCAGCTAGGAGTGGGAGTTTTTTTTTTTCTCGGCCTTTTCCGACTGCAACACGGTGCCAGAGCTACGTTGGTCGAACTACTACCACAGCGGGCGGTCCCGGTTTAGGGCCGCAGGGGCAGGCGGCTAGGCCATTCATTGGTGGCGAGGTCGAGCACGCGGTCCAGTGCAGGGCCGTCGCTCGGCCCAGGCAGTGGCGCAGCCGGCCACGCTCGGCCCAAGGCTGTGCTCGCCACGGCGAGCTGGACCGCACCGGAAAGTCCCCACCAGCGTCTTGCCCAGCCGGAGGACGCCGCAGCGCGCACGGCAGGCGGCGCACGCAGAGCGCGGAGCCGGACGAGGTCGCAAACAAAGTGCTGCGCAGCAGTGCTCCAGCGGCCTCCTATCTCGGAGCCTAGGACCACGAGCTTCTGCGGGCCGCCCCTCGCGAGTTCGGGGTACGTGCAGCGCTTGCGTCGCTCTGCGACCTGCAGCACGGCACCGTCAACCTCCACGGCGCATGGATGGGGATGACCCGTTCTGGTTAGAGGAGATACGAGTGTTGCGTCGCAGCACAGCGCTCCTCCGTTGGCGGTGGCCCCGTAGACGACGAGATCAAGGCGGCGGCGGTCGTCGGCAGGGACGCCTGCTGCAGTCGTATGGGCGAGCCACTGCTGTGGCACGACCTGACCTTCGGCGCCGACGGCCTCTCGCGCCACGCGGACCCACGCGCGCTCGACGACTTTGGCGCGTCTGGCCAACAAGCCTGTCCTCGGGCAAGCGAGGGCATGGTCGCCATAAGGGTCGACGACGCCACCACATCCCGGGTTGGGGCCGCAGCGTCCGGTGCAAAGAGGTAGAGGCAGCCGTAGGCGACGCCGCAGGGCAATTTGCATCGCTTGTGGCGGGATGCGGCTTGCTTCGTCGCACGGCATGGCGAGTGGGAGTTTCTGTTCGACTCGGCCGAAAGCGGCTGACCCGTCCCGGGCACGGCAAACAAAATCAAGCCGCCTGCGGTCGCCGGCAGGCATGCAACAGGCCGTCATATGCAAACCCAGCGCGCTTAACCGTTTTTCGGGCAAAGGTATGATAACTTGTTATTGCAACGAAGACTGTTCGTTTGCCGCGGTGCCGCATGCTGTGCGCCATCAAGCGTGGTGGCAATTGAAGCTCTGAGACTGCCCTGCTCATCCACTTACTCGCTCCCCCTCCCTGCCTACCGCCAACATCACTGCTCACCTCCCGCTTCCGCCCTACTCGCCTTTTGCCGCGGCACGTGCTTGGGTTTCCAGCCTCCACCGAGGTTCCCAATGTGGATGGGACAATCCCTTATCTCCGTGTCGTCCTCGCCGAACTCCCAATCGCCAGTCTCCTCCCTCCACGAGGCTATAGCCGTGGCCCGTGAGAAACAGAAACCCATCGTAGCTCGCCCCGACCTTCGGACCATCGGCTGCAAACACAAGATCATGCACAAAAATAAACCGGCCAGTACTTTAAATCCATCACGAGCGGTGTGGGCCCAAAAGAGTTGTCAGTGAACTACACTTGGGTTTCATGTGGGAATACGCAGGGAAAAGCAGGGTTGTGGTAGCACAGCCCTTCTACAAAGGCCCATACGGTTCCCCCCCCCATCCACTTGCCATCCTCGCAATGACAGGCAGGAGTTGTTAAGCAAGAACTTTGGACTCACACTGTTTTCCCCTTCACTCCACAAACGCGAGGCTAAGTCACACACTTTGTTGCAGACACCTGGCGAAGGGACACGCCGCAAGCCGAGCACTGAACACGGTCCAGTCGAGTTTCAAGGGCGTGTGCTGGCATTTGCCACGGGGAATAGCGTTTGTTCCACACCGCTCGGTCCTATTCCCCGCCAAAACTGCCAAGTGTGCTAGCCTTCGCACGTGCATCATTCACAAAACTGCCAACCATGGAGCATGCAAGAATGCCACGTCAAGGGCTTTCGAATTCCGAGGACGACCTAGGTGCCCATGCCCCTGCACAGGGCGAGCCTCATGAGGCGGGAAAACGGCTGGCGGGCACCGGTTCGGCATCGCGAGCATCCGCCAACAAGTCACCCAGGACGCCGCATCGAGATATTGGCAAACGGCCGTCTACTTTGGCATAGTGCCCAGGCGGCTGTTGACACCGCTGACCGTGTGGCCGGCCAGTACGCGCTCAGCACGCGGAGCGATGCGGGCAGCCACGGAAGCGGACCCGCGCACAACGCTCCTGGCCTGACCTCGCTCTGCTCCTGCCCTTCGCAGGGCAAGTGTATGGCTCTGAAAGCCCCCACAACTGGGTGGACGACGCGGGCAACAACCACATCATCACGCACGGCGAGGGAGGCGCGATATTCCCTCGCGCAACACGGCGCGCTATGGCGCGCTTCAGGCACTCGCTCGTCAGATGCAGCCCGGAGAAGCCGTCCTGGCCTTCCTTGACGATACATATGTCGGAGCGCACCCGGCCGGCGCGTGCCGCCTTGTCAGCTGCCTTGTGGCACTATGCCCGGGTGCGCGTATGCGAGGGCAAAACGCGGATCTGGAACGCAGCCGGGGAGCAGCCGCCGGGCATCGCTGACCTGCAGCCTCCCGATGCCGATCCCCTTTGGACTGGCTCATGGTCCTTGCGGTCCTTGCCCAGGGAACGCCAGGGGATTGTAGTGCTTGGAGCTCCACTGGGCAGTGATGAGTTTGTCCGCTGCCAACTGCGGGCCAAGCGTCAAGCCCACGACAGGTTGCTGGAATGCATCTCCGCCCTGGGTGACCTGCACACTGCGTGGCTCCTCCTACACTTCTGCGCCGCGACTCGGGCCAACTTCCTCCTGCGAATGTTGCCCCCAGTCTCTACGGCCGAGTTCGCCCAGGCCCATGATGCGGCAGTCAGCTTGCTGTTTCCGGCGACGAAGGCGTGCCCATCCCGGCATCTGCCCCTGCGTTTCGCCGGCTTGTGTTTGCGTTCTGCCGCTGAGGCTGCCCAGGGCGCCTGGTGGGCGTCTTGGTTTGACTCACTGCCCGCCATCCGCGTCCGCGCTCCGGACGTCGCGGAGTGCCTCGTGCAAGGGCAGGGTGGTAACCAGCCGCCTTCGCTTGTATCCGCCCGCACCGCGGCAGCGCTCTTGCGCAGACGCGGCTTCGAGGTGCCGCCGTGGGACTCCTTTTCCCCCGTCCCGCCGGGAGGTGGCGACCGTGACGACCCCTTGCGGGGGTGGCAAAGGCGCGCGGCCATGGTATGTGATGAGCGCGCGCTCGAGATGCACCTTTCAGACCTTGACACCGCGTCTCGCGCGCTGCTGCTGTCGCAGGCCGGCTGCAGGCCGGGCTCACAGTAAGGTCGACTTCCGCGGAGCTCCTCATCCCACCGACCCAGTTCCGGGTGCTGCTCCTGCGCCGCCTGCGGCTCCCGCTGCAGCTGGCGCCGCGCACCTGCAGCTGCCACGGCCATTTGGAGGCCTTGGGAGACCACCGGTCGGCGTGCGCCACTTCCGTGTCCTGGCGCCTAAGCGGGAGGGCGGGTTTGCAAAAACGTGCGACTGCAGGCGGATATGAATGTCGATGTGTCCATCGCAAACGCACGTCGGATTGAGGTTGTAGCCAACGACCTGTCGCTGTGGAACGGAGCGCAGCTCGCCGTTGACGACCCCATATGCCCCCATCGTCACGCAGGGGGGATGCGCAACCGGGCGGCTGCCTAGTGCTGGGGGCAGGCGGCTGGGTTTGTCGGCCAGGACTTCGTGGAGGTCTGGCGTTATGCCGCCTTCGCAGCACTCCCCGGCCAGCGGCAGCTCGAGGAGGGAACTGGCATATGCGCGTTGCGCTGCCACCGCTAAGAAACCAGCCCAGCACGCGACCCGGGCCAACAGGCGGAGGAAGCGGGCGGCCTCGGCTCCGAAGCGGCCACCACCCTCGACCCCGACGACCACCAAGCGGCAGCGCCGGGCGCGCGCGAGCTCGGGGTACGTTTGCTGTCGCTTACGGCGCGCTGTGGTGTCGATGGCCTGGCGGGGCGAACATCAACCCCGGGCGAGTGCCTCTTGTAGGGTCGTAGGATGTCGTAGGTGGCCCCCGACCCTTTGGCCGTCGTCTGCAGTTGCAGCAAGGCGGGGAAAAAAAAAACATGCGAAATGGCTCGCAACCTGCCCAGGCACATCCAGGCACTCCAACACCGCTTCATCGAGCGCAGCTGCGAAGGAGGCAGTATCCCGCAGGAGGTAAATCCAACGAGGGCCAGCACAGAAGAGCAACAACAGCCACGAGCACTGCAGATCCTGAACGTCCGGCAGCCAAGACGGCACGCATGTAGGCCGCACAAATGCTTGGCATGTGCCTCCTCCAGCGCGGGTGCCGACAGGGCTGCCCAAAACGAGCTGTCCTTGTTTCGCCGCCGGCAGGTTCCAGTCCCCTGGCCAACACGAGACGCCGTCCTCTGCGGGCAGGATCGCCACGACCAGTTCCCCTGCAACACTTCGCGTGCGTCGGCATCGTAGAAAAGGTATCGGCTACTGCGGGCATAGAACATGGTGGCGAAGGGGATCAAGCCGGAAAGCTGAGCATGATCGCGAAGGCCGCCAAGCACGCTTGCTCGGGAGATTTGGTCGTGAGCCCACGCCGACTAGGCGCAAACTAGTAGGACCTCTGGTTGCCGTCGGCTACGGCGCATTGGCACGCGGCGTACTGAGCTTTCTGGGCGGATACCATCGGGGCGCTCAAGGATTGCGCCCGATGCTCGGGGAGGCATCTGCCATGCCGCCCAGCACGAGGGAGGCAGATGCAGCTGCATGGCTCCGCCTTCAGGGTTTTGAGGCGCCCACGTGGACGTTCTTGATACATGGCGCCGCGCCCTCGCACGCGGCAGGGGCGGACGATGGCGGCCCCGCTAAGCACGCGCAAAGGCTGGCAGCGTTGCGCCGGGGCTGCAGTGGAGAAGCGCGCTCGGGCTGTTTTATTCAGACCTTGATCCGGCATCTCAAGCGCTGCTGCTGTTCCAAAGCGCTCCCGTTTTGCCATGTTTTGCCCACAGGCCGGATTTCACCGTCCCCAGCAACGAATTCCGGATCATGCTCCTACGCCGTCTCCACGTACCGCTTCCGTTGGCACCGCAGCAATGCCGCTGTGAAGGGGCGTTGGAAGAGATGTGGAGACCACAGTCAGCGTGCGCTCAACCCCGCGGCCCAACGAACAGATCCCCTGGAGCGAGCTGCGGCCTGCGTTTGCCAAGAAGCAGGAGCACGCGTAGCGGCCAGCACTGCGCTACCCAGAGACTCCAATATCCCTTATTTAAGGAATATTCCTTAAATGATAATAGGATCCCTAGTATGATTTGAGGTATAATCCTTAATTAAGGGATATTGGAGTCTCTGGGTACGCAACATGAATCTGGACCTTTCCACCAGCGCGGCGCATAGAAGTTGTCGCCAATGGACTGCCCATCTAGCGGGGGGTGCAGGCGGCTGTCGACACCCGCTTGTTAGCCCAGTTCAACGTAGTGGGCTGGTTGCGACGCTGTGCCTGGACTCGCGCTCCAACGCCGCACCTGCCCTGAGCTCCGCCCCAACTGGCGTGGCAGGTGCCGCCTAGTCGTATTCGGCCTCAAAGTGGGCGGATGCTTTGGAACAGAGTTGCTCGGCTTCTTGCGGCTGGCGCGGGCATGGAGCTTAACAGCGGGGCGCGTGCTCGTCCGCTGGACAGGCCTTTTCTTCTGCGGCGCTGCGGGCGCATGCAGCCACTCTGCTGGAGTTGCCGGCATGCCCCGTCGACCCCAGCAACGGCACCAAAGTCCCCATTGGCAACTTGTTGGTGGAGCCTCCGTAGTTGCCAACCCGGACCCCAGTCGAGCAGACGTAAAACAAGTGTGAAAAAAACAAATTTGATGTTCAAGCTGCATTTTCCAGCTGCGCAATGGGGGAGTTTAAAACTTGACGAACGACGAACTGCTGTTGAACAGGCATGCCCGAAGAAAGCGCGAAGAGCACTCGTTGGACACGGTTATCAGATGCAGCATAACTTGCAACTTGCAAGCAAGTTGCAAGATCTCTCTTAGGCCCATT